GTTAATATGAATTTTTGACCTACCAGATGTTTGAAAATCAAGGATTACGAGTCTCGTACTGCACGGTTTTTCTTCAAACTTGTTCCAATCAAAGCATAACAAAAATCCCTTTCTGTTGGTACATTATTCTCTTGTGTCAGTGTCCCTACTTCCAGCAGCATTTTGGTCCCCAGCTGTAAGAAGGCCTTCTAACAGCTGGGGACCAAAACACTTCTAGAACGAGGGACTCTTTACAATAAAGTAATGCACGGACAGAAAGGCAATTTTGTTTTGCTTTTAATGGTATAAGTTTGAAGAAAAACGGTGCAGTATGAGACTCGCAATCCTTGATTTTCGAGCATCTGGTAGGTCAAAAATTCAAATTAACGGTCGAAGTTAGGACCGTGTGTCAATGCACATCATGATGTACACTGATAAAAAAGTTCACTTAAATACTGAATGCAAATGCAAAAATACTGAACCCAAATGCACTAAAATACTGAACGCAACAAATAAATAATACTACCAACAACAGCGTGCGAAAACGAATGAAAAAATTGGAGGTCATTGATTCATTTCAACAATATCAAAGTTAAAGCATGTCAGACTACATTGGAAAATGAACTAAGGAATGAGCAGGTAAGACATTTGCATGAAAATGAGATTGGAAAAGGTCATTGTAAGCAGATTTATTGCGACAACAATAATACATTTTTGAATCTGTAAATCTCCTTATTAATATTATCAATGCAAATTTTCTAGAACCTTGGTGATAGATACAGAAAAACAAAAATCAGGACCGATATATGCTACCCTTAAGGTCTGAGCTTTTAAATTTATGTAAAGTGACACGTGGTGACTGCTACATTTATTTTGAAATTCACAGTGCTAGTTAATGTTAGCTAGGTGAATCTCAACATGGTATATTATAATACTGAAAAAGATTGAATTGACGACTTTTCCTGGTTCATAAACTTGGATACGTCCTCACCTTAGCAACTATACATAACAAATGCGTTATTGATTATTTCATGCACAGATGACGGATGTCATTTGAAATACTGGGTTCGGATTGACTGGAATCGGACACACTTTACCTAGCTATATGTGAATTATTTTATCAAGAATTAACCTCACGCATTGTAGCTGACTTTCTAATTCAGTTACCAAAATCGATAGCATCAGCTAGAGTTTGACAGATAATCAATAAATATATTTTTGGGATGTGTTTTTATCCTACCACCCAAAGGCAAATAATACGAGAGCCAACTTAGGTTCAATTGGTCACTTGTAAAATAATAGCTAAGATTTTCGACATCTAAAAAGTTACTTGATTTTTTTTGTGATTTTGAATCACAGAAAGCATTCTGAAGTTTCAAATTGGCACCACATTTAATTTTTGGAATCCGCCTAATGTATACCACTTACCTTTTATTGATTCTTTCATAAGTTTCGTCATAAACTCAGTTTGACCAGAAGTATCTTTGTTGCTGCTCGATTTTTTTTAAAGAATGTCCCTTTTCTAATCACCCGGATGTGCGGTTTACTTGGACTCACCCAAAACGAGGGGTGTCAAACGCAAGATGGTAGAGGTGAAAACATGTCGCCACTCTCAGAGAATCTATTCCATAATTTCAACAAAGGGCAGGTTGTATATAGGACTTGACAAGATGAAAATAAATATTCTAAATAGATGACACCCCTTTTGAAATAAGATGAACTGAACCTATCACGTGACCGATTTCTTAGAAAAAATTACGTCAGAAAAGCAAAAGCTCCATAGAGAATTTTGGCTTGAAATGTTGAAAAGCAAGCCCAGTTTTCTATGGGAATATACCGTAATTAATAGTTACGTGTACAATATTACCGAGTTCGATGCCTGGTTCGATGGTGCATAAGTTAGGCCGTGGATCATTTTGTAAGTAGTTTTTATGCAAAAAAGTCTAGTAACTTTTTGGATGTCGAAAATCTTAATCATTTTCTGTAAGCAGCTTCTGCACAAGAGTGATGCTAGAGTAGATCTATGGTGGTACAGGACTTTCCTGGTTTCGACTGTCTTCCCCAAGTGGCTGTACCAACTATAAATTAAGACCATACACTTATTGTAAATATCTATTCTATCTATAAAATATGAATTGGATCCCGGCCATTCTGGGCTATCAAATCAAATGAAAAATGATGTCTTATTTTTTAGTTTGATTGACGCACAATCCACATAAATCACAGAGCTTTACTTTGATCAGTCAAATGTTAATAAGACTAAGTATACTTACGGGCGATTAGTAGTCATGTCCATCAATTGGCTCTTGCGTGGAACTGTTTGAACAAACTTTTTTCCAAAGTTCTTTTCCAAGTCTCAGATATGCCTCGTTTTCGAAACTGCACTGAACGAAAATGAAAGAGGTTCCGTATCGGTTACCGGGATGGGAAGGACTATGAGAATGGGACTCGGATAAGAGCCAATGTTAGGGCCAGTGTCAGTCAAGGGTATACTGCAAGGACCCTAATTGGCAAACTCAGTGCACCCAAAGTCATTGAATTGTATATTTGTGACAGTTTTTGCCCATTCATCACTTTGCCATAGTTTATCATTCCCTTGGAATTTATTTCCGCTAATCATGACTTACACCCCTCCCTCTGCCTTACCCCGGTCGATTCTGAGTCATCAGGACATCAGGCCCTCAAGGAAAATATAATAAGCAACATGCGATAAGATCATAAAACCATTGCTTATATTTATAAGTGAGCTAAGAGCAAAAAATATTCTTGTGGGGCAGATGCTACTTAATTTAGAACATCAGTCCGATAGGTAATTTTAATGAATTCTTTATTCATTCAAATAAAATCAGAGTTCTCTCGATCTGGGAATAACTATAGTAACAAAGTTTAATTCTCATATGTGACTTACACAATCCTTCATAACCAGATAGTGATGAAAATCGCATAAGTATTTCTGTCCGTCAATACTGACCCGCCATAATTTCTGATATCATTACCTTTATTTCTATTGAATTATTAATTACCTTGACTTGTAATTGGTTTAAAAATTGAACAACTTCGTTGTATCATGATCAAGACTTCAGAAGTCAATAACTTTACAAATTGTTGCTGATACGCCTAGTTATATCAACTTAATAGGCAGAGACGCTTATGGGGCAGATGCTACGTAATACAAAAGATTTGATAAACGATTATTTAAAGACAAATCATTTCATTTTGAGAATAATCTCGGTAAATTACGAAGAAAATACAATACTATATTCAAAAAGCAATAAGAATGCTGTTTTGAAAATAACAAAATACTAGACGTTAACAAAGACGGAAAGAAAAAGCATTCCTGTTTGGGGTAGATGCTACGCACATTATTCGTCTCCAATAAAATCGTTTTTTACCCTTAAAATGTACATATTTGAAATTTTCTTTCATTGAACCTCTTGTTTAAACATCAAGGAACATTCTCTGAAAATTTGACGACTCTACATAAAGTAAAATATGATGAAATAGAAAGTCACATAAATTTCTCTGCTCATTGTAAGCACACTACAGAATTGTGTACACTTCAACCTCATTTTTTCAAATACTTCAAAATTCCGTACCAGCAACTTCCAATTTTCTAGGTGTGACATGGCGTAATAATTGGCCTCTCAAATGTGTATTTTTTACCAGTGGATACTTTGTTTTAAATATTTTTAGAACGTGTAAAAAAATGAACGTAGCATCTGCCCCTGTACGGACCGCTAAATTGTTAATAGCATTTTTCCCAGTAATCTATATTAAAATATTATTATTGACAATTGTAGAACAAAAGACCTTTAAATCATAATTAAATGCAAAATAATTAATTTGTAAATCATAATAAAGATAAAATATGTTTACATTTCGGCGTCCGTACGTAGCATTTTTACCGGGGCTTTACCCGAATGGACGGACGGACGGACGGACGGACGGACGTACGTACGGACGGACAGACGGACGTACGTACGGACGGACGGACGGACGGACGGAGGCGTTCCCTATATCCCTCCGAACTTCGTTCAATGGGATAATAAAATATGAGTATATATGAGAGAAATTGGCCATTTCGAACCTGTTGAAAGTTTGTGGCTCTCGGCTACACCGGGGAATTTACTTCCATGAGTACAGACATAAATGTGGGGCTCCCCAAGAGGTACGCGAGAAGGTGACCTGGCATCAAATGTACGACTAAATTCTTCTATCGAGTAGATAAAAGAACGAATACGACAATAAGTTATTGCAAACGACAATTCCGAGCATTCATCTCACTGAAGTATTTTGAAGTGAAGAAAATATGATTTTTGTTTTGAAACATGGATTCAGATGAACGTAACTTCATTCTGACAATATAATCAAAACTGAACAAAATTGATTATACGTAACAGACGATTTATTGTTTTACAATGTTTTGATCGGCTAAACGAATGAAACCAAGAAATTATGACATGTAAAATGGCAATTTTGAAATGTAAGATTTAAAAGTGACAAACACAACCTCCCTATCCACTCTTTATGAACCCTAATATGGACATGCAGCAGTGGTAGTGTACAGCTTATTATCACACTACTGGGCTTTGTATTCTAAAGCTTGGTGTTTTTTATAACACTGTTCACTCGACGTAAATGTTTTGTGTGTGCGCAGTCAACGATAATCATTGTTTTATCCCGGTCATATGACCTCGGCAATTATAACAAAACCGTACTAAACGAAAAAAAACGCAAATAAGAGAAAGCTTTCACACACATATAAAAAATGAACTAGTCTAATCCGCCAGTATAAACTCTGTATAACTGCAGCTGATATTTAAATTATCTAAAGTTTATACGGGCAGACAATTCAATAGTATAAGTACATTAATAAAGTCATCGGGAAAGAGTAAGTTAATTCACGTATTTGGATCTCAAAACAGGATTATCAACAAAGGTCAAACAGGATTAAATCCCCAAATATTTCAATTGTTAAAAGAAACATGATGCAGCTTCAACAAAAACTTGGATCATCAATAATGTGCGTTCTACCATTGTTTGTAATCGTCACAATACTGGCAGTGTCATATGTTGTAGACACAATAACCAAAGATGATGCATCTTACAATTACGCAATATTAGGTAAGTAAGGGACATGTGAAAAAAACATTTTTGAAAATTGCTTAACCACATGCTATTTTCTGGTTCAAAATATAGTAATGGGTGTACTTCCTTATTTTTTCAGGAAAGCATTCTTGTTGCATCTTGCAGTGAATTAGGTATAAATTGTACGCGATCAATCATGTCTTGTTTAGAACTTTTAGAAGATGTTTGAAAAATTCAAAAGGCTGCCATTTTGACTGTCTTTCAGCATTTCCCGTTCAGGAAATACACTCGTGTCTTCATACTTTGTTTAGTCTATTTATTTTGTACTAGAAAATAACATGGGCAGGTATAGCAATTTTTCAAAAATGCTTCCTTGAACCATAACCTCGCACAGTATGGACAACAATACGTGAATTGTACAGTCGTGCTTCAAATTGAGGATCGACTTACTTTTATTAATCCCTGATCGATAGTCCCCGATTGTCCCATTGGTTACAAGTGTACCAAGTTGATTGTCACATATCGGGTAATCCAAAAATAACAGAAATGACTTTACGGAGGAGAGTATACTAAAATAAGGTTTTAATATGTTTGTATTTATCCATTACTATTTACTAATTACTTTACTTGATTCCATTCGTCTAACTGTATACCTAGCGTGTCTCAACGTACATATAATGCGGGCTTATTAACTCAGCAATTAATTCATTTTCTACCCGTTTACCCAGCTCAATTTGCTTGTGATCATTTAATTGCGTCTAAAATAGTTACATAGACAGTTACATATTATAAAATTATTATTTAAAATAAGAAAAGTTAATTGTATAGTAAGAACTGTCCTACATGGTTTAGATCATTGATACCCTGGCTCAATGCATGGAATATATTTACAAGTGATATGGAGCAGAGTGAGTCGATGCTCTCTAAGCTTGAGCTTAGCCCTACGGTCTTCACTCTCCAACAATGTGAGTAAAGTCTGTCGTCCATAGGTATCACATTGAAGTATAAAATGTTCAATAGAGTCTCTTGAACTGCAGCGCAATGGGCAAACCCCATTACTTATAATGCGTTTAAATCTGATTTAGAGAGATATCCCCAAGACTTATATGTTCATAGACAAATTGGCAAAAGTGTACCGTTCAAGTGTTCTCCAAATGATGGAAAGTGGAGAGTTATGACGTCCATTACCCCCTATAAACCACAGCAATCTATGAACCAAGACTGTTTTGTAAATATTATTATTCATTGGTAACACTATTATACTCCAGAAGAACATCATCCTTGAAAAGTCTATCTGTCTTCTAATAGAAAGCCATCCAAGGCCTGAACCTACAATCGGGTTCGGCGAAATTTTTGGTAGTTCCTGAATTCTTCTTCCGATTTCATGGTGTGATATTTCCACTTGCTCTATCTCATGCGTGGATATTATAGTCTATTACCTGACAACCGTACAGTAGCTTGCTATATATAACTTACTAGCCATTAATGGGCAAAGACCTCCTGTTAAAGAGCCAAGTCCAAATAACGAGAAATATTTCTGTATTGATTTGAACATCGTTTGTTTTACCAGGTCGTTGTGGTTCCCAAGTGGTATCCCGACATGCAGCTCCTCTGTTTTTTGTTGAATTGCACTGGGGCCAAGTATGGGGGTATCTTTGCCGTCGTGGGGTCTGCCGGAAATAAGGAGCGATCATTTCCCGGGGTGGATAGTAATTCGCCAGTTTGAGCTGTAATTCCACACGACGTGGGTGTCTGTTAATACTTTGCATGCTCAGAGATACTAGTAATTGTAAAATTGAATTTCTAAGCCTCAGTCATATTTTCTCTACGAGTCGAGTACGACAGTCATACGACCCGACAACGGTCGTAGCTTAACAAAATCGATATAGAAAATCTACATCTACGCGTATTACTATATCCCTTTATTTTATGCGGCATATCATTTCTCTCGTTAGGAAGCTATAGCTACGATTGCCGTAGATGAAATGTGACCGATGCATTACTCGAAAGATTACTGCATTTGGTTTCTACAAATCTGTTTTTGATATCTGGTCCTATTCAGATAACAATGTGAAGGACGGCAAAGAGACAAACACAATCACAACCGGCACTATAAGGGCGAGCTATGCACCACGAGGGAATTCATTTCACTCAAGACCACAACATCCGGATGCTGTGAACAAAAAAACATGCAACCAAAACCGGACCCAGTCTTTCCCATATCTCAGCGGCATACATAGCAACCCATCTGTAAATATTGACTTTAAAAGGGAAACGTTTGTTTACAAGATCGACGTTGACTACCACATCTTTACTGTTTCAATTTGGTCGACAGCGGAATATTGTCACGCTGAAGGTTGGCTCGATGGCAAAAGAGAAAATATAAGGTATGGACAACAAGTGTGGAAGATTCATAAAGAAGCAGAAATTGTAGAATTGTGATGCACAAGGTTTTGTAAAAATGTTTTGAAGAATCAAAGACGTATTTGGAAGAACTAATTTTTATTGAACATGATACTATTTTAGTATTTCATCTATTTCATCTTTGTTTTATAGGGAAAGTTTTGTGATTGGTCTGTCGATGCCCTTAACAATAAGAATATACGTGGTAGACACTGATATGGCTCGACATATGCATTCTCGACTCTACTACACATTGATACTCACCCGGCGACCGCGTGGCCAACTTGGGATGTTGCCCAGAAACGCCAATCATAGTGTGTGCCTTATAAAACAAGAATGTGACAAAATGATTTTCCCTGATGAACCGTGTGGATTGCAAGCGACTGGTCATGGTTCATGGAACACTTTTACAAGCCAGAGCGCCAAGCTACCGGAATGTGAGTCTGCAAACATACAGGGTAAGTGCCAAAACATTTAATTGACGACTTTCAATTTACTTTATCTGTCATGTTAGACGAGATGGTCTTCAAGTCCGATGCTTCATGCTCTTTTATCTATATCTTTATAGTTAGGCTATCACAAGGTTTCTGTCCCGCTGGATTTTATATCATGAGTTGAGGATAAGCCTTGCTTCTAGTTTCTTAACCCTCATCTACTTCAATACCAGTTGGGATGTTTTATGGGGGAGTTATTAGTATACTTAAAGTGTTCATTTTCAAATGGCCGATTTATGCACTTTAGCCCATAAATATTTATTTCTCTCCTCGGAGAGTCAACTCTATAGATCTGCAGTTGTTTTATCTTGTTATCCAGGGAGTTGGCTGGTACCATGTGTTCAGTGTTCTGATGACGACAGTTGCTATTGGAAACAGGCAATGTGGCAGCCTTACGGTGAAAAATGTAGCTATCATATGCCTGTTAAGGAAGAGGTAGAAAGCAGCTACAATGATAAAAATGTAAGGCAATTAATGTTGTGTAAGCTTCCTTTTTGAACAATTGCATTGTATTAAAAATGTTGCTCTTTTTATGAGAAATATCATAGAGTCTCTTTACAATTACAATACAAAATTATGTCAATATATGTTTATATGATTTTAATTAATAAATAAAACAAAAACAAAAAACTCTACAACCCTTGAAAGGAGATCAATTAGTGGACACCATGTATATACATATTGTGTTATTAAAATTATTGTAGATTCTTTTCCTTGGCGATTCCACTCTTCGCGGGATGATGTACTATATACTTGAGTATCTTAATGGAAGCCTCACTGATTGGGAAATGTCCCATGGGGCACTCCTATACAATAACATAAACAGAGGACGCACAAATATGAGTTTTATGTACTATCCCGGCCTCGATGAAGATCCACCCACTATCAAAACTGCTCTGAAAACATTGATAAAATTGTAAGATGTTTGCATATGAAAATCCAGTGGTGCAGCTAAGAAGCGACTAGGCGAAAAGTATTTCCAAAGCCTGGTCGAGGCAAGCGCCTCGTCTGTCTCATCCTGGCTACGCTACAACATTTCCATTATTCAGATTCTAAACTTATGCCTTGGAAGTATGAACGCAAAGTTATACTTATAAAAACACCATTAAAATATGAACTTAGTTCGACGATGGCAATAGAAAAACATACCTCTTACGTGATGAGATGAGAAAAAACGCGCGAGTGGAATGAAGCAGCCACAATGCATTGAAGTCTTGAGCCTTAATTCTTTTCACACATTACAAAATATTTTCTATGAAATCACCTAAAAGATGCAAAATCACTAAAAGGACACAATTTCAATGAAATTTTTTGCAAGGGCCAAGTTGGCAAAGTATCAATTTCAATCTGGACAGTCAACTTGTCATCTTGACAACTGTTGACAACCATGCAAGTGACCTTGTGTGCAGTGATTGGTGATATAACCCTATGCAGTTATATGAAATACTGTGTTCGGATTGGCTGGATTTAGATTAAAAATCGATAAAAATTAACAACTGATTTACAACTAATCATTGATAGAGGACTATTTTTGAAAGGTTGTTAAAAAGCGACGATGCAAAGGCCTCGTCTGTCTCGGGGGGCCTGTCTCGTATATAATAATCACCCTATAATGTGAAGTACAAACACATAGTATGTAATGGTCATAAAATATATTTTAATATGATCTCTTTTACACAAGTGCAGGTGCCTCATTGACTGAATTAATTCGTTCCGCATTTATCTAATGCAGGTACTAGAATCATACATGTATTTATGTGCAAAATACTGTATGTTAAACATGAACATCAGATAATTATCTCATTTTTAACTTGTCGTATTATGTGGGTAGTATTATATGGAAATCTACAAAACATCTTTGAACAGTTTAATGATAAATGCGAGAACATGATTCACACATGGCTAGGCAAGTTGTGTCCGATTCCAGCTAATCCGAACAGAGTATTTCATATTACTGCTATGTATTATGAAACAGGTCGTTACACAAAACCAATTACCCCTATTGAAGAAAGAAAATGTTTAATGTGTAACAAGAAAACCGGTTCAGAATGCCATTTCCTATTAGAATGCAATAAGTTAAAAGATGTTCGGTCAAGTTACATGGATAAAATAAAAAAACACTGTCAAAATTTAGAAAACATGAATAACGTGGAACATAAATTAATGTTTCTATTTAATTCAGAGGGAATAATATTAAATATACTAGCAAAATATATATCTAATATTTTTATCGAGAGAAAAAAAACACGAAATGCATCCAATAAAATCTTGCAATGATCAAGCACCCTTTGATTAGTTAATATAATATATAGATAATTAGTTTAAGCTTTTTCATTTTTTTCTGTTTAAGCTGTACACTTTGCCCAAATGTGGGATACAAGTATAATAAAGCTCATAATAATAATAATAATATGTCACCAATCACGCATCGAAGGTCACTCCTTGTGTGGTTGTCAAGGTATCTTCACTTTTAAATCGATGCTTTACCAACTTGACCATTGCAAAGTTTCAGTGAAAATATGTTCTTTTAGTGATTTCGTGGCACGGTAGAAAATATTTTGCGATGTGTGAAAAGAATTTCAGCCCAAGACTCAATGCATTGTAGAATGACCATTCCTTTCAGGCATTGTTTCCTACCAATGATGCGCATCTCGTGCAAATTTTGGAAAGCAGCGCCTTCAAGGAATGGCCAATACACATAGCAATAAGTCCAGGGCTTAAATAAAAAACGTTAGAGAATAAAATAAGTGGACGACCAAGTAAATACGATTAATAATTTTGACAAATAGGTGGATCAATTTTTAAGAATGTTCTTTTTCAAAATCAGTTTTAATCCCTGTTTTATTTTCCGGGAAGTAATAGAATCATTGTATAAAGAAAACATGAGTGACAGAAAAACATAAAGGGGTACGACCGCAAACCGACTTCTTTGTAAAAATAAAACATTCAATATGTGCCTCACATTTGCTCTCTCTGACTTTCAGGTCTCAACCAGTTAAGAATTCTAGCAGTACTGTGCTAGTGGTGGGACGCTTTAAGGATATTGATAAGAGGGACTTTCCGCTCCTGATGTCGACGCTAAAAGAGCTGGGACTAACTGGGATCAAGTTAGTCATGAAGACAATGGGTTTCAGCAGATGCCAGGTAATAACATACGTCGGGTAATAATAACATACGTTGGGTTGTAATATACGTCGGATAATAACATACGTCGGGTAATAAAAACATACGTCACATACTTCGGGTAATAAAAACATACGTTGGGTTGTAATATACGTCGGGTAATAACATACGTCGGGTAATAAAACATACGTTGGGTTGTAATATACGTCGGGTAATAACATACGCCGGTTAATAAAAACATACATTGGGTTGTAACATACGTCGGGTAATAGCATACGTCGGTTAATATAGACATACGTCGGGTTGTAATATACGTCGGGTAATAGCATACGTCGGTTAATAAAAACATACGTTTGGTTGTGATATACGTCAGGTAATAACATACGTCTGGTAATAAAAACATACGTTGGGTTGTAATATACGTCGTGTAATAAACGTAGTATAGAAATATCAAGAAAATGTATTGTTACAACATTGAATCTGTTTAAAAAATATTTTCAGGTAGATGTGGCTGCTGCTGTTAATACAAATTCTGACCTTACGGCGATCGCTCAGCGTTGCGGATTTGAAATCCTACAAGTTTTCCCTATTATCATGCCAATGTACAAAGATGCAACTTATGGTAACTGTGCAATGCATTACCACTTTATCAGCAACAGAAAAGAGGTATGTTAATTTATGGTAACTTTGCATTGCATTATCGCTTTATCAAAACATATAAAAGAAGAATGGTTAATGTGAAATACATTATAACTTTATCAGCAGTCACATAAACGAACTATTTTGAATTATCGTAACAGTTTACTTTAAAAAAGTATAATGCTTAAATGTTCTCTTTTACGGCCTATGGACGTTGATCAAAAATAATGCTTTAAAACAGTCCCAGTTAGGAAAAACATACAAAACTTGATTGAAGATAACAAATATCATAACATTAAATCTCAAATGTAACTATTAACAATATATACATCAACATAATGATATTCATGAATGATTTTACATTTATTCTATGTAGGGTCGAAAACTAGAAAACTACCATGTCAACGGGAACGTCGTAGCAGCCTATTCCAACATGTTTATAACCATGCTACATAGGCATTGGACAAATAAAGCTAAAAAATATTTGATTGGCAGAATAAAGGTTTGAAGAAAGTTGATTGGATGTAATTTGACATAGAATTTTCAAAGTGCACATGAAAGGATGTGGTGTAGATGAAAGGATGAGGTATTTTTTCGGAATAAGTGTGATACATGTACAGTATATCTGTGGCTCCAGGTACTGAGAATTTGAAGATCTTACTTGATGCCAATAAAAAGTTTCAGAGAAAAAACGTAACTGTGGGGGTCATTTTGCCCCCCCCCCATTAGGGCGTATAGGGTTAAGGAGTCATCGTAAAGCTGCGTCGGCGTAGATCAGATGATTATCATGACGCAAACTCCACTTTATTTGCTTCATCCCAGACCCCGATGAGTCAAGATTTCACTATGTTGCCCGCATTGGTCGCATGGTCTTATGAAATATCCTAGTTGTCATACAAAAACCTATATTATCAACACCTCACGAGGCCTGTTCTCGGGGTATAAGTACTTGTTCAGAAGGCTTATATTTTACCGTATTGACTTTAGCAATAGTGGCTGGCCATAGTTTTGTACTTAGTTTTCAATAGGCTGTGATAATAGTAATGGCCTCCTTTCAACACCGTGCGTGTTCAAAGGGCAACATAGTGAAATGAGTGGTATCGATATGGTGAACTTTTTGAACACACGTTTCTCTTAAACCAGTCATCAAAAAATTCTGAAAATTTTACATATCGTCAATTTAATGGTCATCTTTTGAATGGTAACGATAACGTTCGAAAAAAATATTTAATTTTTCTCTATATTGTTTTAGAAAACACCTCAGACACTTATTTTGTTCTTGGTATCATATGTTCGGAATGAAATGAAACATCTATCCGAACCTCATTGGAACAAAACGACATAAACACAACGTGTCTAGGTCTCTCAATATTGTAGTAGTACAAAGGAAGTTTTGGTTGATTTAAAAAAAGTATCTTGTTAAAGAAATAAAAGGTTGAGTTCTATCTATTTTTTTGGGGGGGGGGAATTTTGTTAACTTTTTGAATACCTTTTTAAAATCAACCAAAAATTCCTTTGTATAACTATACTATTGAGAGGTCTAATAATATGTTGTATATGCTATTTTGTTCCAACAAGGTTCGGAAAGACATTTTATTTCATTCTCAAGAATTGGTTGAAAGGAGCAAAAACAATTGCACTAAAAAAATGTTAACAAAAACAGTTAAACTAAATATTTATAAATAATTTTCGCATTAAATTGTTGTCAATCAGTCAACATTACATAAAATACCGTTTTTTTACAGAATGTTTTCAATAATTGGTTTAAGAGAAAAACATTGTTGAATTCAGTTCACCATATCGATACCTATCCTTTGCAAAAAAATCATTCGCAAGTGCAATGCAAATCGCAACGCTAACACCCCAGTCACATTTGTCGTACGGAGGGCGTGCGTCGACCGCAGATCAATTAAATCAGTGTATTTCTGCGGCGAGCGTAGGAAAACTACGCTCGCCTTGCGGCCTCCGTACGGCGTATCCAGTTTTTTACAGGCCGCAGGGTCGCCGTAGAAATTATAACTCGGAGTTGTAATATTTGTTCATTTCTGAGGTCCCTGTAGAAATCAACTGGCTCAACAAGATTGAATCATTAATTGTCAATGTTTCACGATCACTTTTCATTTGATATCACATCCTAGCACTATGAATAACATTTATGAATTGTCCTGATGTAAATAAAATGAAAAAAAGTATTATTTATCAACAGAAATTTAAAATTCACCGTGCGGCTGCCGTGAGAAATGTGACTGCAAAAGTATGAGAGCGCAGGAATTCTGCGGCGAGCGTAGAAAAGCTACTGGCCGCAGAAATGATAGACCGCACGGCGGCCGTGGGAAATGTGACTGGGGTGTAATTTGGCGATGACCTCCGATGCGCGAATCCACATCTAACGTTGCTTTGTATACATGTAGATGAAGCGAAGTGAATCATATTTGTGTGTTAACGGCAATCACCCAGCTGTGAACGGGGTTAACGGCTTGAATTTTTACAAGCCTGGGTGATCAATTGAAACCAGCATGCCAACTACTATAAATACATTTTATGAATTTTACTGTACAGTTTAATATGTACGCTAGTCAGGCTTACTCGGAAAGACACCCAGCATAAATCTGGAAAAAGTAAATAAAAACAGAATGCGACTGAAAGAAAAACTTGGATTATCATCACCATCATGTTTTTTTCGCTTAATCGTTTGTTGCGTCATTTTAACGACAGTGCTTATTGCTATACTCAATAATGGCTCTATGTCGTTCACGTATAGGGAACGATATAACAAATTTAAAGTCTTAAAATCCACAAGGAACAAGGAAGATACTACTACATATGATGAATTCCAAACTTTAGCATTGAGTAAGTATAACACAGCTAAACTTAAACATATCACGAAAAAAGTAAAAAAGGACTAAAAATACCAACGGGTTATAAGTACAGGGTGGATCAAAAATGTTACTGTTTTTAAAGTCCCCATTTAATAATAATCATTGATAATTTATTATTGGCATGATTGGTCTCAAACATTTTGAGATGAACAAGAATTTTGGTGCTGCCAATCAAATCATGTCAATTTTAGTGAAGCCACCAATCTGGGCATGTCAGCAAGCAGAATGTGATATTCTGGGCTGCTATAAGGCAATGTTGAGAAGCAGTATGGGAAAGGTACTAGAATCTGATTTGCAAGTGTTTCCTACCTGCCTTGCAACGGAGCAGACGGGTAAGAATGAGAACGAAGTGTAATTTTTCCAGCACCTCCTCATTGCTCTACAACAGCCTGGGATATCAAGATGGGGTTATTCATGGGGATAGGCGGCTTATCTCAACCAGGACCCCTTACATATGGCCATCATACTCTCCAGACGCCAATCCCTGTGATCACTTGAGGGTTTTACAAAATCCATCCCAACAGAACTGATGAACATGAGATCAACTGACCAAATATCATTGGACACGATTCACCGAGTTATTGATAGGCCTAACTTCAATATGCGTCCCCCCCCTAACAAATAACAATGGAACCATTAGATAGAGTGATCAAAGAGCTTTAAAATGCTTTTTATTTGAAGCTTTTAGCTCAATTTTGAAGGAAGTACATCATTTTTTGTATAATTCAAAACAAATCTTATTTTTGGGGGGTTGCTCCCCCCCCCTTTGATAGTTTGACTGGAAGAAAAATCCACTAACGTGGAAAAATGTTAATAACCATGCACCAAAAAAGAAAAAGGCGATTTCAGAACTTTTAAGACCAATCATGCCTCAAGTTCTAGCCGAGGGATGAACAATCTAACATATAAAATGACAATGAGTTAAATGTTATTGAATATAAATTTTCATATTTTTTTTAGTTAGAAATGTTACCAACAGCAAACAAAGAAAGAAAGTCACAATCCCGTTAAGTGAGAGCTATTCAACAGTGGAAAATTCATCTCACTCAAGTATACAACGTTTTGTTGCTGTAAACAAAACAGAAACAAGTAAACAAGACCGAAATCAATCTTCCCCTTATCTTGGGAAACAAACAAACAAAATCACAAGCACTATATTGAAGAGCTATTCACCAGAGAAAAATGCAAATTTCTCAAGTGCAGAACTTTCCATTGATGTGAACAAAACAAAAATAAAAACTTGCAACCAAAATCGAACTCAATCTTTCCCTTATCTGAGCGGCATACACAGTGATCCGCCTCTGGATATCGACTTTAAAAGAGGAAAGTTCGTTTATAACATCGAGCTTGATTACCTTATATGGATGGTTTCTGTCTGGTCGACTGCAGAATATTGTCACGCCGAAGGTTGGCTCGGCAAAACAAAGACTACAAGGTAGGACCAACAACAAACAAGACTATGCCAGTGTCAGGGGGCAATGTTAGAGTGCAAAGCCAACAAGCCATAATTCATGTAATTCTCTCGAGGATACTTAATCAAAACGTTAGAAAAATAATGAGTACAATTGTAGAAACAATTTTCAAGAATTATTCAAATAAATATGTGGCCATTTTCAAGAGGACTCAAATAGTAAAATTGCAAAATCAATGAAGGTAAATTAATTTTCCAGTCTTCTTTTACACATTACCAACATTTCGCTTTTAGCAAAAACATAAATTACAATACGATAATAAACATACAGAGTCACATCTTATCTTTCTGGTTCCAATATTTGAGGTATAAATCAAATCATTGTAAAATTATTGCAGCACGTATGACTCGGAATTTGCAAATACCCGAAGTGTACCCATGGACTCTATCCCTGGTTAATCCTTTTTATGTAGCTGATATAGCTGTGTGTAAACAACAAACATCACTTGTTTTATTTTTAATACACAGGAAAGTATTTGTGGTTGGCATCTCAAAGGCAACGAAAATCCCCATATATGTAGTAGACATAGGCGTGGCTGAACCAAATAAAGTTAAACCAGCTCAATACACATTGATTCTTACTCGACGAAGTCGGGGTAAACGAGGGCGTTTTCCCAAAAAAGTTAATCATAACGTGTGTCTAATGAGGCAGGAATGTGACAAAATGATTTTTCCAAAAGAGCCATGCGGACTGCAAGCAACTGGTAATGACTCTTGGAACACGGTAAAGACACAGAACGCCAAACTACCAGAATGTGAGTCTGGAAACGAACCAGGTAAATAGTAAGAACAGCAATTTCATTCTTTTGAGGTGAATTCCAAGAGCTACATCATAGTCCCTGTAGTCTGTGTTGCTTTGGGAATAATTGTGGATGTGACAGGCCTTTCCTAAAAAGGATACCCTCATAATGTGAGCCTTGGAATCACCCACACCCACTTCCTATGTCCACCAAAGATAGTTTTCAGATAAATTCAAACTGCCTATAAATTATTTCTTCAGTCTCCCGATATTGGTCTTTATATAGGGGCTTGGTTGGTACCATGTGCGGATTGTTCTGATGCTAACAGTTGCTATTGGAAACAGGCATTATGGCAGCCTAACAAATGCAGTCACCATAGGCCATCACTAAAGGCGGTACAACGTAGCTACGATGGAAAAAATGTAAGTCCTGTTGTAGTGCGTAATATATTCTAATTACTAATATGGATCTACTGTCATTATCCCAGTGGGTTCGCCCTATTTTTAATCAAATAATCCAAAAGGTGAACGCTAAATACATATCTATTACTCTGATTACAATTATCTTTAAAACTAAGATTAGAAGTGATGTCAATTTTAACCAAGCGAACTAAATGTAAATGTGAATGTTTTAGATTCTCTTCCTTGGGGACTCGACTCTACGTGGAATAATGTATTATATGATGGAATATATCAATGGCAGTCTTACGGAATGGGAGATGTCTCATGAATCTCTTGTATATAACAACATTAACAGAGGACGCACAAATGTCAGTTTTCTCTACTATCTCGGCCTTCAAAAAGATCCGCCTCCTATCAACGTAGCTCTAAAAACACTTGTGAACATGTGAGATTTTTATTTATATCTACCATTAGGTTAGAACAGTTAATTTGCCATGCATTTAATGACAAACAAACTGCGTCATCAATCAGTAAGTTAATATGTCAAACGTCCAAGGCCTATTTCATACTCATTGATACAGGGAGTGCATGAAAATATATGTATTTTTCATATAAATATATAAACGTAAATCAAGGAGAATCGGATGCCGTTATTCAAACTCGATACTCCGTTGCCCGCGTGGACCAATTTGGTAACAATGTTATACTCATACTTTGAAGACTACAACTGCCAATGAAACTTGAATATTACCATATAGTAATCTAATGTACAGGGAGTGCATGAAAAATATATGTATTTTTCATATAAATATATAAACGTAAATCAAGGAGAATCGGATGCCGTTATTCAAACTCGATACTCCGTTGCCCGGCGTAGACCAATTTGGTTACAATATTAATTACTCATATTTTGAAGACTAGAACTGCCAGGGAAACTTGAGTATTACCATAATATTTTTAATGTCCATCTTCAAACGAAATACTTGGTCCAAAGAGAATCTTATAGAAATATTTTTACTAAATAGTTCCACGCCTGGCAAGAGAATGTCGAGTTTAAATAATGACTGCCAATCCTCCTTGAACGTTCATATCAATTTGTTACATGTGTTAATGGGTGGAATAATGAGTTTAACAATCCGGCTGTTAATATAATGAAGCAAAGAGAATAAAAAAACACAGCATGAGAACACCCAATGAAACAAATCCCAACACCCCAAAACTATGAAGTAGTATGAATTAGTATTTAAAAACTGGGCCTCACATTTGCTCTCTGACTTTCAGGTCTCAACCAGTTAAGAATTCTAGCAGTACTGTGCTAGTTTTGGGACGCTTTAAAAGTTTTGATAAGAGCGACTTTCCACTCCTGATGTCCACGCTGAAAGAGCTGGGACTAACTGGGATCAAGTTAGTTATGAAGACAATGGGTTCTAATAGATGTAAGGTAATGCAAAATAGTTTTAAGACAATGACATACATGTATGTGACAACATCACATTGTTGCAATGCAATTTTTGAGCTAATATTATAAAATTATGACCTCGGAGAGGTGTGGTTTATTTTATATTGTCGCCACCAAAAGTGGTGAGATATTGTTATGGCCTCCAACTTTTTTGTGTCGGCGGTTAGTGTTCGACACAACAAATAGCAGGTGATGCCACTTTGTATGTTACTGCCTTGTTGTATCTGAATTGCAAACCTGGTTTTTGGATAGAATTATGATATATGCCTCGATCTATGAACCACTCCCATATTCACATTAGAGCTTTTGCAGTGTTTTATAATCTTCGTTATAATTGCTCAGATTTAGAAATTAACACCAGATGGAAAAATGGTATGGTCACGCAAAGTACTAAACATTTTGAACTTACGGTTACCAGACGGTTTGTGTGCATTTTACACAAGTATAATGTATAATTAATTGGTCGAATCCATGTCCCAGAAATATCAGTAAATGTATAATATTTTTTTTATGATTTTCCATATTCCCAGTTTTGCGCCGTCATTCCACTTTGACTAAATTTTATAAAAGGGCCAGACACTCTACAATGGGGTATGGCATATTCTGTTTGATTACCATAGCAATGCCATTGCTAAAATTAAGATTTGCCACTATGAGATTTCATTCTGTAGCATCACTTCAATCGCTAAATAAAGAAAATTAATTTAGGGCAAAATAGGGTCTCAAGTGAGCTCAAGTTGGACTGTTACATGCCATTATGTAAACACTCACCCGCATGTTCTCATGTAAGTACACTCATGCCTCATCGAATCAGTTCGTTAAGCAGCGCACTGGTGAGCCTGGATCGGAGAATATCAATAGATTAAGCAATATATATATATATATTTCCAGAAAATAGCTAAAGATATCACGATTAATGCTGAAACTACTACAATTGCTCAACGTAATGGGTTCGAAATCTTACAAGTATTTCCCATCATTTTGGGAAGGTACAAAGATTTGACTTACGGCCGATGTGCATTACATTACCACTTTATAAACAACATTAAAGATGTAAGTTAACTTATGGTAACTATACAATGCATAACCACTTTATCAGCAACATAAAAGAGGTAAGTTAACTAATGATAACTGTACAATGCATGACCACTTCATCAGCTGCATAAAATAAGTAAGTTAACTTATGGTAACTGTACAATACATTACCACTTTATAAACAACATTAAAGATGTAACTTAACTTGTGGTAACTATACAATGCACGACCACTTCATCAGCTGCATAAAATAAGTAAGTTAACTTATGGTAACTGTACAATGCATGACCACTTTATCAGCCACAATAAAGAGGCAAGTTAACTTATGGTAACTGTATAATACATAACCACCTTATCAGCAACACAGAAAATAGCTAAAGATATCACGATAAATGCTGAAACTACTACAATTGCTCAACGTAATGGGTTCGAAATCCTACAAGTATTTCCCATCATTTTGGGAAGGTACAAAGATTTGACTTACGGCAGATGTGCATTACATTACCACTTTATAAACAACATTAAAGATGTAAGTTAACTTATGGTAACTATACAATGCATGACCACTTCATCAGGTGCATAAAATAAGTAAGTTAACTTATGGTAACTGTACAATGCATGACCACTTCATCAGCTGCATAAAATAAGTAAGTTAACTTATGGTAACTGCATGTACAATGCACGACCACTTTATCAGCAACATAAAAGAGGTAAGTTAACTTATGGTAACTGTACAATACATAACCACTTTATCAGCAACATAAAAGAGGTAAGTTAACTTATGGTAACTGGATGTACAATGCACGACCACTTTATCAGCAACATAAATGAGGTAAGTTAACTTATGATAACTATACAATGCACGACCACTTTATCAGCCACAATAAAGAGGCAAGTTAACTTATGGTAACTGCATGTACAATGCACGACCACTTTATCAGCAACATAAAAGAGGTAAGCTAACTTATGGTAACTGCATGTACAATGCACGACCACTTTATCAGCAACATAAATGAGGTAAGTTAACTTATGGTAACTGTACAATGCACGACCACTTTATCAGCCACATAAAAGAGGCAAGTTAACTTATGGTAACTGCATGTACAATGCACGACCACTTTATCAGCAACATAAAAGAGGTAAGTTAACTTATGGTAACTGCATGTACAATGCACGACCACTTTATCAGCAACATAAATGAGGTAAGTTAACTTATGGTAACTATACAATGCACGACCACTTTATCAGCAACATAAAAGAGGTAAGTTTACTTATAACTGGTACTGCACTCTTCAAACAGATCCGTTTCGATAACAAAATATCGGAATCTCGAAGCTACGATTTTTCTTTTTTAACTTTACGAAAATATTTCTGTTAATCACAGGCTGATATCGAACGATTTGTCCGCTGTGACGGACCATTTTATGCTTCATAAATACACCAAGAAAACCACGCAATTTATTTTTAACTCATATGTTTCGTTATACCAAAGAAAATTACGTACTCCATGCAATGGATACATCATTTGCGGGTAACCTTCACTTCTGTTCGAAGTTCAATAACGCTATGAGTAAAAGCTTTTGAAAACAGCGCCAGAGTATCATACTCTAAAATGTACCATATCTTTTTAAACTTTTTAATGGCATGATATAGTGGCACGATAATACTACATATGTTTTCAGCATAACTCTGAATGTATCAATGAGATCTGGTTGTATTGGGTCTTTTTGATTTTGTTTTATTAAAAAAAAATTGTCCGCTGTGACGGAACAGTTTCACAGTTTACAATTTTTTGAAAAAATGAAAAAAAACACCGATACATCAATATCTCATTAATACTTGTGCTTAAAACATATGTAAATATTATCGCTTCACTATATCGTGCCATTAAAAAGTTAAAAAAGAAATGGTACATTTTGGAGTGTGATACCCCGGCGCCATTTTCAATAGCTTTTACTCATAGCATTATCAGATTATTGGACTTCGAACAGAAGTGAAGGTTACCCGCAAATGATGTATCCATTGCATGGAGTACGTAATTTTCTTTGGTATAACGAAACATATGAGTTAAAAAAATAAATTGCGTGGTTTTCTTGGTGTATTTATGAAGCATAACATGCTCCGTCACAGCGGACAAATATTCCGATACCAGCCTGTGTTAATGATCCAAATGTTAATGATGATCCAAATGTGGTAACACGAGCATTTTGAAATAAATGAGGATACCAGACGTCTGAAAATGTGATTGGAAATTGGAGCAACTAAAGTTAAAGATTTTAAACTCGTAAATGAACCCAATACAAAACCTGAAAAGGAGATTTAGAGTTTTACAAATTTTTATATAATTTGAAAATGGGAATAAACAGACTTGATAATTATACTCTTTTATACCAAGGCCACTATTTTTGCTTTAGATGTTTAATATAAAACGATATTCATTCGCTCTCAATATAATGTTTCTGAAGAATAAATTTTCGGACAATAGAGATATTTTCACGAAGAGAACGTTTCAAACCTTTCAACTGTTCATTGGACAATTTGTTTTACAATTTCATTTAACTATTTTGACGATTCATAGAATGCATTTTATTTACTAAAATTCTCACTGTGAAAGTTTGTCACTTAGCCTATATCTTTCGCTTTTCTATTAAATATAGGGTCGAAAACTAGAAACTTACCATGTCAACGGTGATGTCGTGGCAGCCTACTCCAACATTTTTGTTACCATGCTACATAGGCATTGGACAAGTTTAGAGCTATAACATCAAAGCAAAAGGACTCGAGTCAATAGAATTTCACAAAATCACCTGGAGTGATATTGCATTACATTGCAAGAAGGTACATACAGATTCCAAAGGGACGTCACTGTGGTTATCTATCTTACATGGAAACCTTAGTATACATGTACAGACCATACTTGACAGAAGGGTGAAGTAAGATCTCTGTTCTGTACATTAAGTTAACAATCAATGTACTTCTACATGGAAATTTGAAATCATTTTTTTAAATAAAAAAAAATATATAAAAAAGAGTTTTGAAATCATCATTTCAATTGTAAATATCTTCTCACTCCCCCCAGTTTTCTGCAAGTTAAAATGCTAAATTCTGCAAGTGAAATTAGTGAATTCTGCAAGGGGAAAAGGCTAATTCTGCAGAAATTCCGCGGAAAATATCGTGATAGATATAATTAAAACGGGAAAATTTCATGATAGTTACATAGGCAGTCACTACGTCACTACTCAATACATGCTGCCATCTAGCGACAGAAATCAAATGACGAAGTTTAAAACTTTCACTTCGCATAATTTGGTAATTTTTGGGTTATTTCTACAAGGGATTTGACTGAAAACGTGTGAAATTGTTGGGGAAATTGTTACAGGTAAGACTGACTATTCAAACTTTTGGAAAATATATCGATTCCGCGGAAAATTCCGCGGAGATTGACCAAAATAGTTGATTCTGCAATTCCGCGGGCAAAGGCAAATTCCGTCCGCGCTCTGCAAACACGGAATCCTGGGGGCAGTGATAAGAGAAAATGTTGTGTTGAATAATAAATTAATTGTGAAAACTAAGTTTGGTATTTTCTCTCACATATGGAGTCTAAAACGCTGTATGAAAGTATGAAAGATGAAAGTGACGTGGCATCTTATAGGAATTTTAAAAATTTATTTTAAATTGTGTGGCGAGGTTTGTTTTGGATATAAAACACTTGTTCATCGTGTTGCTATGAAAACGGCTCTGCTTTTTTAACTTTTAAAACATTACAAACAATAAATGTGAATAGATAGGCCGACATGGGAAGAAACGAGCCACAACGACCAACATAATGATACCTCTGTATTCCTTTTTATACGACGAGAAAACCTCATTGCCTCTTCACACTGGATTTACATACAGTAGAGTTTATACCATGTAAAATAACTCGTTGCTCAGTTGTTCGTCACGAATTCCGTCGAATATTTTTCGATTATTGTAAGTAAAGGAACAGATTGGAGATATATACATGCACAAAAATGAGAACTGGGAAAATAACATTACAACAGAAACATATTTTTCCCTATAGCACAATATAATTGAATCAGCACCTGTTATGTTATGATTCATATATCATTTGGCAGACAAAACTTGTGGTGATGCCTTGGGTACCGTGACCTGATGAGAACTAAATCACATATAAATTACATGGACGGAATTCGACACTCTTTATAAAAGAAGATCGCATGAAATCATAGCTTTCTTTAGGTTCCTTTCTAGACTAGGAGACAGAAAGATGTACTGGTAATTATGAATACACAAGTGCACTTATACTGTCATTGACACGGGACATATCATTGTATGGGGGCAACCTATATTCATGGAATCATAAAATACTGATAGGTCTTTTGGAATGTTTTCGTTTACTTCAAATGAAGATGACCTAAAATAGGAAATAATTGGCTACCAATAGATTCACGTGAAAGTCATTACACACCCTCAAATCAATGTAGACTGGACCTAGGATGACCCAAAGACAGGACGTGCTGCAGAAACAACGCCCATTATACACCATAACGAAAGAAAAATGTCAGGGATTCGCTTAGCCTTTCTTATTGTTCTTTGTTTATCGTCATTATCCATAATTGCGATTGGTTTAAACTTGCTGCTACATGTACCAAGGCCTGTCATAAAAGCATCCAATAGACGAACGTTCGAATTCGAAAGCATCACTGATGAAGCAAACAACATATCGACACTTATTGATTTATTGAGAAATACTCTGGTTAATTCAAATGAGTCGGTGACCACAAAAGCTGTTCATGCCAAAAAAGCGCTTAAACCAACAGCAAGACCAGACCAATGTGTATCGTGTTTCCCCCAATCTTCTTACATTTTTCCCAACTATAACGTCTGCTCAACGGAGCATCCAAGGTCACAAGACGTGAAACTACTATTGCTCATTTTTACAACTTATGAAAAAACAAGGAATCGGGAGGCACTGCGTAAGACATGGACTAGTATTGCAGAAAATAACACAGCGAGGGTCAGATACGTCTTTCTTTTGGGGAAACATGACGACCACAACTGGAATAAAAAAGCCTTGGCTGAAGCAAAGCACTATGGAGATATCGTCATCAGCGATTTTAGAGAAGTTTACAAAAACCTCACTTTAAAGACAATATCTGGTTTTCAATGGGCCGCTGGATTTTGCCCGAACGCCAAATATATTATGAAAACAGATGACGACATGTGGGTGAACACTCCAAAACTGTTAAAGAATTTAGACAGGTGGCATATTTCGAAAGAAGTTGTAGGATTCTGTCTTCCAGTTGATGATGTCCATCGAGAAAAGGATTCCAGGTGGTACGTTAGTCCACTCGAATATCCCCATTCCAAATACCCGGGTTTCTGTTCGGGAACTGGATACGTCACCACCATGAGCGTCATGCAGGCCATTGTCGGCGTCTCTCCACATATACCGTATTTCTTCCTAGAAGACATTTATGTAGCCATTTGCATTAAGAAATTGGGATATAAACTGCGTAGATTGAGGGGCTTTTACAATGACAAGGTGCCTTTTGACCCATGCATGTATCAACAAATGATAACAAGTCACAACGTCACAATGTGGGAATTAGAAGAGGCATGGAGTCCAAAATGTTCCGGTACAGATATTGCCAAAGAAACTTACCACTTAAAACATGCAATTTCTCACAAGAAGATGAACATTAAATTTCCTCTATTTAAGATAACAAGTCGAACATCGAATTTATCCCCTTAAACTTAAAGAGATTCTCGGGTATATTTTTGTAGTATTTTTATTGTATTACCAGGTTTACTAAAGGAAGACATTGCAAGGATACCTTCCTGATAAAAGCAAGGAAATACACACATGCCTTCATACTTTATTTCGTACCAGAAAATAACATGGGCAGGTATAGCATTTTTTCAAAAATGTTGTTTGGAAAGAATAACCTTAACGAAGCGTATAGCCTTTTTATTTTTTCGTGAAGCTACTCGGTAAAATTACGATTTATCTGCACCCTGATATCGTATCAACATCATTCGAGTATCTATGTGTTCCTGACACGTTTGGGCATCCGGTAATGACAACGTCTACCCAATGTTTGCACGCGAAATTGACGCAATTCATGACTGAAATCATGAAGCATTATACCAGGGTGGTCAAAAAAAATGGAAACCCTATTACCATTTTCCTCATATCTTTGTTATTTTAAAAAATAACTTCCTGATATTTTACACTTTTGTACATCATTTAATTTGCTACCGGCCTACCTTATTTCATGACCATCAGATTGATAGTCACAATGTTACAGTACTTTAAAGAACATGCCCAGTGGCCACTATTGCGTTGTGGGGAAACCTGTACTCATCGTCTAAAATGTCCCTACCTGTGGGGATATGGCAGAGATAGAGTATATGAGAATGACCTCAGGACAATTGCGAACCTCAAAAGTGAGATCATCTGTTTCATTCAGGCCATACCTGCTGAGGAATGCATTCGGCTCATTGACAACTGTGCTGTTTTGCCTACAGCGCGATAATGGTCAAATCTGAAGCATGTTATTCAAAGTGACTATCAGTCTGATGGTCATGAAATGTGGTAGGGTGGTAGGAAATTGAATGATGTACAAATGTGTGAAATATCAGGGAGTAATTTCTTAAAGTGACAAAGACATAAGGAAAATGCAGGGTTTCTATTTTTTTGACCACCCTGTAGGACACCTTAAGCAAAACAAAAAAAAAGATTGAGTCTATCAAGCACAGAAAAAAAGTTGCCTTATCACTGCCATTGCCATTGTCAACAAAGGTCAGTTGTCAATTAAAACTGTTCACATTCAATACAAAACGTTGGTAAAAATTAATATTCTATGAAGTATCAATAGCAATAAAAGATTAGGCCAACTATATCAAATGAATAACATCAGTTAGTACATACAGTAAAACCTGTCTAATCCGAACGCCATTGGGACCGGATAAAAGCGTTCAGATTAGGAGGTGTTCACATTTCAAGGTTTTTGCATTCGCAATATTCCGGATTCTGAAAAAATGTGAACACATTCTCGGTAAACATTTATAGTTCGTTTGACCACATAGCTTCATGGCATTCCAGAAATTTGAAAATTTGATTCAAATGAATCTAGTCATGCTGGAAAGCCCCATTATGAATGAGACCATTCAAGATTATTTGCCAAAGTTTTGATATCATGTTGAGCAATTTTGTATGAAACATCAGAAATTTTATGAAAAGTGTTCAGATTAGACAGGTGAATTTTTCAAATATGACTGTTCACTGTTCAAATTGGGAGGTGTTCACATTTCAAGGTTTTTTTTTAACATGGGAGTCAATGGGAGGAAAAAATGGGACCGAAAAAATTGTTCAGATTGGGTGGTGTTCGGATTAGCCAGGTGTTCAGATATACAGGTTCTATTGTTAGTACCTCAGTGTAAATACTCGCATCTGATTGGTCAATTAGCGGTCAACATTTTTGCCTGTACCTCACTTGTGCATCATGGGATATCATATTATTGACCGCGTATGTTACTGTACTACACTTGTGAATTATGGGAAATATGACGTCACAATGTTTACAGAAAAAAACATGTTAGTCGGACATTTTGTACACGTTGATGAAAGTGATATTTTGACTTTTCTACACGACGAGTATAGCAACAATACAAATAGAAACGCAAAATTAACATTAATTTACTAGTGAGTACGCAGTTATGTGCCGAAAACAGAGAGTTTAGCTTCCACTGTCTTCAGATTTTCTTAAATTATTGCTGGCGTGGTTCGTAGAAAAGATTGTGAAATGAAGCCATGATTGATGACTGTCGTATATACGTATGAGTATTATTAGTTTCTTCTGACTAACAAAACAATTGTAGACCTCTCCATTCGGTCAACCGTCAAAATCATATACCTCGACTGTAAACCTTGAAACACTGTTGACCTCGACCTTCGGTCTCTGTCAACAGTAGTTTCACGGTTTACAGTCTCGGTATACAATTTTGCCGGTTGACCTCTGGAGAGGTCAACAATTGTATACTGTACTCCATTTCATCCAAATGATGAAAATAAGTAAATACTAATGCATGCTCAGTATATCCAGTAAAGAACAACAGTAAGTTCGAATGAATACTCATTGATGAAGATAAGTAAATACTAATGAATGCTCAGTATATGAATACTCATTGAGGAAAAAGAAATTGCTGAATTTTTTCCATTGTTAAATCTTTTTGGGGGAGCGAGAGGGCAGAAGGAGAGGGATGCCCTGTTCCTCTCAAGATTTTACACCAGTTCAATACTGCAATATGCTATCTGGTTATTTCTAGACACTTTTAATGCGTAAATAAATGCTTTATATTATATTTGGGGTATGGTGTCAGTAAACTTTGATTTCAATTTGACACATGGTGATTTCTGGGCACTTTTATACTGTTTAAATTAATAAATACATCTCCACAAAAAATCTGAAAAATATTTTTCAAATTTCTGTACATGGGGTAACCCCCTCATTAGATGATTTTACCATCTCAAGATGCTGTTTAGTGATTTTTTGCATTCAAATGTGTTTGAGTCAATAGTTTTCTCAATTGTTTTGTTTTTTAGGGGGATGCCAGAAAATGTTACTATTTCAAGGTACCATTTTTGGACATAAAAGTAAAACAATGCAATTGCAAAAACAAAATCATTCCAAATGTGTTTTAACTTTTTATGGGGAGGGAGCGAGAAGGAGAAGTGGTGGATCCATCCCTCTAGGATTAATCTACACAACTGGTTGACTTCCAATCAAGGTATGCACAATGAAGAGAGTATTCTCTTTCGTCAGTATTGCAAGATAAGGCCTTCATGTCCGGTGATATTAATCAAACAATACGAGGGATGATATAATTTTCATATCTCTCTAGTTTTTCTATTTCTCAAATTAATTTAATGAAATTTTCAATTTTCACATCATTCCATTCCAGCAAGTGTCTCTACAAATTCCTTGATTTGTGACCAATGTTTCAATGTCAACACCTGAAAAAAAGATGTAATATTAAATAAATTGGAAACTTTGGAGGATCTCAAATTTTGATAGATATGATTGAAAGTTCTGATATTGAGCAACAAATTAATCAGTCATTTGCCTCATAATTCAGGCAAAATGTCTTATTCTATGATCAAATAAATACAGAGATTTTAAAATATCCATTTGTGTGTCTGTATTCCCTTCTATTCTGTACTTACCTCACTAAACGTGTTAAAGGTGGCCCCCAGTGTAGAGTTCAGAGCTTGGTGGTAAAGATCACTAATGGTATCTTTGTTTTGTTTTCTGATAAACTCTGATCGAACAGTACTTTCAGGTAAAAGTATTAGCACCCTAGAATTTAGATATTTCTTCTTGAAAAAATATACAAAAATATAGAATATCAGTTTGATCGATGAAGATCAACAGAAGAGAGTAATTTACATTAAAGGCACGTGCAAAGTGATTTAAACTATATGGTTCCTTTAAGGTCGTATATATTTAGAGATGTCACAGCTACCTGTAAAACTCTAGAATAATGGCTGCTGTTTTCACAAAGTGAGTTCTACATGTACTTACTGAATACTCCCTGATATAACAAAGTGAGTGGGTAGACATAAAATATAGGATTTGGATAATTAAGAGACTAGCAGAGAGATATCTGATAGGGATATGTCATATGAATGGAAGGACTAACAGACCTATGGATATTCCATATATAGGTTCAGTGTGTGAACCAAATGGCAGATTTGACCGTAAGAACAATGACCTAAGAGAAAGGAAATATGTCTTATATGTACCTGAGCATAGTGTAAGGAAGGAAGGCTTGTAAGACATCGGGGAATAGTGATGCCATCAAGGGGTCTCCAATATACTCTCTCACGGTAGTCATGACAATGTCTGGCCAACTGTTGGCTAATGCAGCTACTGCCCTAATTGTGGAATTAGATACTTCCTGGAAAATGGGAAAACATGTGTCACTCAATGTTACATTCAAAATTAATTGGTAAAACCGTGATGGAATCAAATTCAAAATTAGAGAGAATCGAGGGCAAAATTAGAAAAATACAAACTAATGCGATACCTACGGATTATAAGAACTATACGATTTGAAGAAAATTACTAGAATAACTATCATTGTTTTACTGTAAGTTTTGTGTGACTGTGTGTTCTTTATTTTTCCTAAAATCAAAATACATGCTGAGAGTTCAACAAGCCTACCAAACCATGGAGACACTGTGTTGCTTGCCCATATATGAGGAGTAACATCACATAACAATGGACAGTGAAGTCTCCTAAATGTAAATGTGGAATGTAGTCTACTTTATGGGGTATTGGGTGTTTCTGTTCCAAAATGTCTTCAACATTGGCATCCCTAGAGAAAACCATAACATGATATCAATATTATAAAGATTTTTTTATTTATTTAATTATTATGGAGATTCGATTATTCATACATGTGCATTGTATATGCAGTACACTGTAACACTTCAACAGCTCAACTCTGTACAAAATGTCCCCACAAATTGGTTATCATAAAATCTAGCATGTGATAATCAGTTCAGATGTACTGTGGATTTGCATTCTTCGTATTACCAAGAACACCCTTAAAAATATCATAACACTAGTATTATAATGATTCGATTGCTAACGTATAAATTACACTGTAAGGACAATTGTGTACAAAATATGCCACCAACTCAATAACTTAAATGCCCAAATTCAAAAATGCCAAACAAAATAAAAATAATTGGAAAAATATCCAGGTCAAGAGTGACCCAAATCCCCAAAACTTAATCCGCTCTGGAATAAATAATTTGATAGTTTTAGGGGTAATTGAAATAAGTTAGTACCATGGGTACTGGGCTCACATGGTGTTGCTAAAAAAGAGAAAAGTAAATAAATAAAACAGGAATCCTATCGACAGAGGTCTTAAAACGTGGCTGAGAGACAGAAGGACAAATCAATGTTAACTAAAATGGCTGAAAATAAAAAAAATGGTTTTAATTTTTTGGCAATTTTTGGTAACAAAATTATTTCATACCAACAGAGGTTTTAAAACGTGCCAGTATTGTTGAAAGATGGACAAGTGGGTGATTGCAATAGCTCACCATGTGAGCTAAAAGACAATTACATGTACTCTAAGTTCAAGGTTAATTCCAATAAATTGAACATAATTTCATACCTTTTAATGATATCAGAATATATAGCTACAGCGTTTAACCAATGTTTGTTTTTTACATTTTTATCATCTTTGATATCTGTGGTTAGTCTTAGCAAGGCAGTAGGACTGTACATGTTGGCTATACTGTTCTCCAGCTCACTAAGTACAGGAGACTTAGCCATCCAATAATTGCATCTCCTCCAGTAAAACTGAAATGAATACAAAATAATTTGTAATATTCCCCTTTCACTTACATGTTAATGCACAAAGTTGGAAACAACAGACACTAGCCACTTAATTTTAAGTAAATAAATATTTCTCTGTACCAAATGGTACTAGTGGTAGCAAAGACTACAGCATGAACAATAGGGAGTATAGATTAGCATAAATAGCCCATCTACGCATACCTATCCTTTGTTTGTCATTGCACTAAGGGGTATTTTACCTATGTTTGCGATATGTAATTACCTACAAATGGCTGAAGATAGGTAAATCGAAAATGCATGTTTTTTATCCAACAAATTATGTCATTTTTAGATCAAATATCATTCATTAAACTTTACAATGGTGATAACAACCATATTTCATTTGATCTTTATAGATGGTGGTCGAACACAACCTTTGATCCTATGAAAAATGTGGTGTGGTGGTGCATAAAATATTGTTGAATTTAGGCATTTTTCATAAATTTTGCTTGTTGTAAATGTATGATATTTGTCATGGTTTAGGTTGTTAGATTTCACTTTCTTGTCACTCTCATTCCGGGATCATGCTAGAAGAACATTCCATAACAAGTAACTGCCCCAGTAGCAACATCTCCCCCCTCCCATTACAGGCACACAATTCATTGCCATGGTAAAATATATTGCCCTGAAAGGAGCACATACATGTAGGTTATCGCAAACAATTTCAGAAGGTTATATCTTGGATTATGACTATTTTCTGACAATGAAGAACAGGTTTATCTTTTAGATCAATTCATGATCTCAAAGAAAATTATATACAGAAATAATAAAGTCAAACAAACTCGGAGATATTTAACTAGCAATCAACCCATCAACACACTTTTTCAAAGATGTTGACCCCATTTTCACCAAATATGCAATCATTTTTTACAATGTTTAATGCATTACTATTCTTTATTTTGATATATCAAATAGTTCTTGAAAGAAAAACTTAATTGCTTTAAGATAAGTGTTCCCCATGTTATTTCTACATTGAAAAATCTCATGCTATCCATTGGTTTCAGTTCATTTTGGTCATCCAAATTCAATATCTTTAAAGTCCCTGGTGCAAGCAACTTTTCCTTTTAGGAAATCGAACATGTCTCAAAGCACATTCTAATTATGCATTAAACAATATGATAAAAGGTTGCATTTTTGGTGAAAATTAGGTCAACATTTTTGAAAAAGTATGTTGATTGGTCCATTGTCCCTTTATAGTGTGCGCCAAAACTCCAGAAAATCCCATTAACTGATGTTGAGGTAGGTTACTATGATTTGACCCATAGTCAATATAGATTGGTTCATTGACTATTCATTTTTACTTGTCTGCACTCAAAAAAGTGACACGAAAGGGCTAAACGGCTTGCCCCAAGGTGCAACCGTCAAAAAGATGAGTTTGACAAAAATCTTTTTTTTTCAAATAATAGCAGCGAGTATATGAAATAGGAGGCAAATTTGATATTGATATGTATGATAGTCCATTTGGGTGTGGTCATTTTTATTAAAAACAATAATATTGAAGAATTATACATTTCTGACCTTAAAATGCCATTTTAATGCAAAAGTCACGGTTGCTATTAATTATATTCCTATTTTACCTATTTAATATTTTCTATATATTACACTTACCATTATATTCATTTTTGGCAACGTAAATAATAATGGGGCTCACACAAGGATCCACTTTATTTACAACTTTTTCATATTTAGTGATGTTTTGAAAAATTACTACGTTTAACAAAAAATTATTTGTTAAATGTTAAACAAAATAATGATTATGTGTTTGTTTCGTTGTTTCAACTGAAAAATGACAATTCATTGCTCTTGATCTTAGAGCGGCAGGGCATATACCAGTATGACCAATCTTCAATACAGTTGATCCTTGTGTGATCCCTACTATAATTTACTTTGCCAAAAACTAATATAATGGTTATTCAGATATATAAAAATCATTTGATAGTCAAAATAAGAATAATATAATTGACTTTTGAATAATAAAGCATTATATAGTCAGAAGTACCAAATTTGTACCATAATTGTAGCGTGGCTGCTAGTTAAGGCGGTAGAGCATCAGAATCTAGATTAGAAGGTACTAGGTTTGGTTCCCACACTGAGCATTACCACGCAACTCCCCGAAGGAACCCTCGGGTCCTTACAGAGTGCCATATTTGCATATTAAAGTAAATAGACGATTTTGCCACCCTCCCGCCATATTCTTGTGTATCTTTATAATACTAGCAATCTACTGTTCGAGTCGGTCACAGCAGCCCCACATGGCCTTAAAAATAATTCCAAATACCTGGCTATTGACTTTTGACCTTTTCTGATGCATGACATGAACTAGCCCAAAGGCCTTAAAAGGCTTAATACCTAGATATTGACTTTTGACCTTGAATTGACATGACCCATCAGTAATGACTTTGACCCCAAGTCGCCTAGTAATGGGTCACCAAGCGTCACAGCATCTCCCGAATGCCTTGAATCACCAATACCTAGATATTGATATCGACCTTGAGATGATCTTGAATTGAACCAATAAATGATGACTGACCTCATGTCACCTTATCATGAGTCGTCAAGGGCCACATCACGACAGCAGCCCATGTGGCCTTAAAACGCCAAACACTAAGATATTGAAATTCGACCTAAGATTGACCTTGACCTCAGGTTACGTTTCAATGGAGTCAAGTGCAGCAGCCACTCCAAAAAGCCAAATATTTAGATATTGATCTCTGGCCTTGACGTATAAAAATGACACTGATCTCAGGTCACTTTATCATTGGTGATCAAATGTCAGTGTAGTCACAAACGAGCCAACTACCTAGATATTGACCTTTGACCTTACTATAATTTTGAACCATAGATATTGACTTTGACCTCATGTCACCTTAGCTTGAGTTGTCAAGGGTTATAGCAGCCCCCAGGGCCTCAAATGCCAAATACAGAGATTATGACCTTGTAGGAATGACCTTGACCTCAGAACACATACCAATGGGTCCTCACATGAAGCAGCATCCCCAAAATGCCAAATATTCAGATACTGACCTCTGACCGTGAGATGACCTTGACCCATAAACAGTGACATTGACCGGATTTCACTTTATCTTTGGTGATCAAATGTTACTGAAGACCCACAGTAGCCAACTACCTATGACCTAGATATTTGACCTTTGACCTTGAAACTACCTTGAAATCACCTTATCATTGGTCGCCAAAGGTCACGATTGTTTTCAGGTCAACTTGCTAGATATTGACCTTTGAACTTGAAATTTCCTTGATCCATTCAGACCTTGACTTCAGGTCACCTAATCATTGAAATGACCTTGACTTTTGTAGAATACACTTTTTATGAACAAAAATGAAACATTCAAAGTTGAAAACTGACCGTTTGAAAATAAAATTGCTGCTAATGCTAAACAAAGGTATCTGTATTGTAAAAGTAATGTTCGAATTGAATAAACTCAAAGAAATATACTTCATTTATATAATTTTCTATCAGACTAAGTAAAATTGTAACTGTTCTAAATGTAAATGTTGCAATGAAAGCTCACATATATCTTGTTGCATATCAGTCTAGTGCAGCTGCTACAGGTATCACTCTGACAAACATCGGTGAACAAATCAAACTTGATGTGATGCAAATCGGTGTCTTTTAATTTGGCGTCCACGCAGAATGTTGGACAAAATGGCTAACTGTTACATAAACCATCAGTAATAAAATTGTCAAAAGTTGCATTTATATAATCAATTCCTGCCTCATCACTGTTACACCCATTACTACAAGATGTTGTCTCGACTAGATCACTGTCTGCAAGCTAAAAAAGTATCAAAATCACTGCCTGCTTTATCACAATAAACGTTTGTTACAAATAATTTCAGTAAAATGCAAATAGAAGGCCCATTTGATATTAATGTGGAAAGATAGTCCACTTTGGTGCGGTAATTTTACTGCAACAAATACATATATGTGTACATGTATAATGCCTTTTTATTCAAAAGTCAATCATTGTATTCCTATTTAACATATTAAAGGATTTTTATATATCTGAATAATCGTTATATTCATTTTTGGCAAAGTAAATAATCATAGGGCTCACACAAGGAGCAACTTTATTGAAGACTTTTTGTACTGGTATGCCCTGCAACTCTAAGAGCAAGAGCAATGAATTGCGATTTTTAGTTGAAACAATGAAACAAACACAATACCATCATTACATTTAATATTTAACAAATAAAATTGTGTTTAACATAGTATTTTTTCAAAACATCACTAAATATGAAAAAGTTGTAAATAAAGTGGATCCTTGTGTGACCCCTATAATTATTTACTTTGCCAAAAACTAACATAATGGTAATTGAAACATTTAGAAAACATTGAATAAGTAAAATAGGAATATTATGATTAGCAACAGTGACTTTTGGATTAAAATGGCATTTCAAGGTCAGCAATATATAATTCTTCACCATTATTGTTTTTAATAAAAACGACCACACCCAAATAAACTATCATACATATCAATATCAAATATGCCTCTTATTTCATATGCTCACTGCTATTATTTGAAAAACATGATTTTTTTCAAACTCATATTTTTGACGGTTGCACCTTGGGGCAAGCCGTTTAGCCCTTTCGTGTCACCTTTTTAACTGCAGACAAGTGAAAATGAATAGTCAATGAACCAATCTATAATGCCTAAGGGTCACTTCTTAGTAATCTACCTCAACATCGGATTAGACTAACTAAGCCACTTTGGAAGCGATTTGGCGCATACTATTAATATCACTTAGGTCTGATTAACTAAATTATCATTATATATACTTTTCTTGAAGATAATGAATGGATCTAAAAGATACACTCATGTTCATGATCAGAAAATATTCATAATTCAAGTTAAAATCGTTTGAAATTGTTTGCGATAACCTACTTGGTGACATATAGATTGCCATCACTTTTTTATCTTATAATTAGGATGTCATTTTTGTCATAAAATGTTGCATACATTTAGATAAACTTTTACGTTAATCTTAAACTCATTTTTCAAAGCGCATTACCTACATTATACGTATCCGTAAGTAACATACGGATAGGGATAGGTGTACATATATCTTTCCACTAATCTTAAACTCCCTAATGTTGGAACCAATCATTGAAACAAAGTGAAGCCAAGCCAATATTTACATGACAACCCAATTTCATTTCCTAAAAAAGATATCTAATCAAATGTTGACTTTTTGGAATAGAAAAGGGTGTGACACTGAATGTTGAATTACATTTAGGGGCCTCTGGGTAAAAAGATTGCACACTAACATACATACCTTACCTGTATGTATTTGTAAAGTTTTGCTGTTTCGAATTAGATCTCAAAGTATGTGATGACCTACTTACAAAAACAGAATTTATTCAAACATACCACAGTTGAAGCGTACACTTCAAGGCATTGAGAGAGAAACATTGTTACATAAGCAAATGATACATACCACAGTTGAAGCATACACTACAGGGTATTGAGAGAGAAACATTGTTACATAAGCAAATGATACATACCACAGTTGAAGCATACACTACAGGGTATTGAGAGAGAAAAATTGTAACATAAGCAAATGATACATACCACAGTTGAAGCATACACTACAGGGCATTGAGAGAGAAACATTGTGACATCAGCAGCTGAACATGACCCTACTCCCTAAAAAGATACAATATAATTTTAGATTAAAACAAGATTTCAACTAGTACTGTAACAAAAAACTAAAATGTGAATGCTATTAACACGTAGACTAAATAAATCCAACATTGTATGTGATTATGTGATTGCTTAAATATTTTTCTCTATAAAAGTTTTAAATGGTTCATTAGAGATGTTGATATTCTTAAGCTCATACAAAAGTTACCTTCAATAGATGACTTGCGAGGTTGTAGCTCAGAAGACCTGACTCAATATCATAGCAGTAGTGGCGCTGAAACAAAATTTTACTGTAAAAGTAGTATATTATTTTTTATAAATAACACATGATCAAGACAACTGATTTATGCATGTACCATACTAACACCTATATAAAATTAATAAATTGTTGAAGTAAATGCAAACCTTTTATAAATGAATTTTGTTTACGCATCGCTACACTGGGAGCTAGTCATTGTGCAGTGTTTATATAATTGTGAATTTACTATTTTAGAGGCGGGGAGGGGTTATATGCTCTGTGACTTGGTTATCTAGCTATATAGTACATACCAAATGATCATTGACTAGTAGTGACACCTGTTGGATGGATTCTGCAGTGACTTTGTGGAATGGTTGAGATGTAAACCAGATGTGAGGTGGGAGTTGAACCACAATACTGTAAGAAAAAGCAATAATCTCTTAACCATGATTACATAGATTTAAAGATTTAAAGAGTGTATGTGAGCAGCTCTCATTGGTCAGTATCAAGCAAGGTTACGGCTGTAATCATCGCATCAAAGATGGCGGACGGTAAATCATCACTTTCGTTTTTTAGTTTTCATCGAATTAAACTATTTTATAGTTGACATAATGCTTTGATATTTGAACTAAACCAGGCTTATATGACATGGGAACTCTGCAGTATATTTGTTCCTATATCGTACCTGAGCGCCACAGTTCAACGATGTCTCCTACCGCTGAAGGAAGGTTACTGAAAATGCATGATATGGTAACGGTCATGTTATGTCAATATGATGTGGTTACTTACAGCTTAGCTCGACATTATAAACTCTCTTATCATCTGTAAAACCCAAATCCTCGTTACCTATACATCAACTATAAAGTACTTTAATTCGATGAAAATTAAAAATATTGAAATTGACAATTACAGTACTGTCCGCCATCTTTGATCACTTGATACTGACTCAATTCAATTCAATTTCAAAATAATTTATTTCAGTTTTCATTACAAAAATTACAACATTATACAGGCTATGACACCCCAGGGGGTGTATGACTGCCCATAATTAAATTTACAATAAACATGATAAACTGTGAACATTTAAAGTGGTACATAGGTCAATACAATAATATAATATAAATACAATATACAAATACAATAATATGAGACAATAAAGAAATGAAATAAATGTTTTGGTTACTCTGTACTCAGGAGGTCAATTTTCAAACGAGATATGAGTGAATTTAATGGTTTATTTCTAATATCTTCATTGAGGGAATTCCATATATATGAACCATGGACCTTAATAGAATTTTCACCAATTCTGGTTCTATGTTTAGGAATATTTAAGTTATGACCAAATCGAGTTATACGTTGATGAATGTTTTCTCTAGTTTTGAAATAGTGATCGTATAATTTTGAAGGGAACTGTACAGATTTGCTTATAACTTTTTTCATGAATGAAACAGTTTGGATTGTGTGAATATGATAAATATTAAGTATTTTAAGATCTTGAAAAATTGGGAATGTGTGAGCTTATCTATCTGAATTTGTTATTAATCTAACAAATTTCTTTTGCAATATCAGTAGTTTATTTAACAGATTCTTACAAGCATTTCCCCATAAAATATTACAGTAATTAAGATGAGAAAAAATCAGAGAGTTATATATTATCATCTTTGAATTTAAAGTATGAGCATAATTTGTTCGATATAACATTCCTATAACATTTGAAACTTTTCTATGAAGAGCATTGATATGGGGAGCCCAAGATAATTTTGAATCAATAATTACTCCCAGGAATCCTATCTCATCTACTTTTTCAAGGTTAGAATTTGCAATTTTTTTTTCATTGTTCACAGATATATTTCTTTTATTTCCAAAGACCATGTATTTTGTTTTCTTAACATTTAAAGTGAGTTTATTGGCCAACAACCAATCATTGATGTCGCACAGTTCAGAATTTACGGTTGTGGTCAAATTATCAAGATTGGAATCACTACATAATATATTAGTGTCATCCGCATAAATCACCAGTTTGAGTTTATCAGAAACTAGATAGAAATCATTTACAAATATGATAAATAGGAGGGGGCCTAGAACAGACCCTTGGGGTACTCCACAGTTAACGATTGCTTCTTCAGACAAATATTTCTCGGATAAACTTTTACAGTATTCAGTTTTCATTTTTCGATTTGATAAATAAGATGAAAACCATGAAAGTGCAATTCCTCTTATACCATAATGTTCCATTTTTTTAAGTAATATTGCATGATTAACAGTATCAAAAGCTTTTGATAGATCCAAATATATTCCGATACAATATTCTTTGTTATCTAATGAATGTCTGACATTTTCAATAAATTCTAGGAGTGCCATGTAAGTTGATCTATGTTTCCGAAAGCCGTACTGGTGTAAATACAATAATTCATATTTCTCTAAAAAAGTAGATACTTTGTCATGCATTATTTTTTCCAACATCTTAGCAAATACACTTAAAATAGATATTGGTCTATAGTTTGTGAATTTATCATGTTCCCCCTTTTTGAAATATTTGTGAAATATTAAATACATTTCACAAATGACAAGAGATTTCTAAAAATATTATTAAAATAAATATAATTCTACTACATGTAAACGTAAGTACTTTGTCCAAGTGTTTGATCCTGGATATCATTAGCATATTTTATAAACAATAATAAATAAAAAAAAATAACAATAATAATTCAAAATAATCATTGATAGTTTTATATACAAATGCTTTTCCTAATACATGTGATAAGAGTCTTTTCAAGGTCAGAACAATTGTGCTTGTGTCTACCTGTCTATGTGTTAACAATACCTGACAGACTCTCCAATGATGGCCTCTTTTACAGTTTCACTATCCTGGTTCATTAGTGCATCATGTAGATAGTTACAAACCCATCCTGGAGCACAATGATCAGTCAGCACTAATCTCTGAAATATTAATTAATCTTAGATTCAATTGGATTTTTTCTATTTTAACTAGTTGTAACCATCACCCTCATTCCGAGATAACACAGTCCAGTAAACATTCTTTCCTGTTAACACATTTGTGGATATCTAAATAAGATTCCCATATTATCTCATATACGAAAATTCTCTCATTTACTAACCTGTAGTAAAGATATAAGTCTTAGCCTTGATGAGATTCTCCCCTCTGTCTGTTGCTTGCTACATGAGTACTCCCTGCACTTGTCAACACTATGGGAAGAGTACCTGAAAATGGGAGATCAACTTACATAGAAGGAGGGTGAGGCAATTACCCCACTAATACCAAATTCATTTATCTTTGTTTTTTTCAAACCAAAACTCTGAAAATGTTGATCCTAGATGAGTACATGTGAAATCCACTTTGGCTTATGTTTAGCATTGTTTTACTTTGCCTGTTTTTTGGATTCTGGATTTGCACCTGAAATGGCTGATAATCAACTACCGAGACATAAGTTGAAATATTTGCTTTCTTAAATATAATTAGATCATAATACTTCCTTTCGAGTTAAGTTATCATAAGCTACATGTAACTGCTTCTCAAAATCTAATTTACCATAAAACAGAATAGAGTAACATTTTTATAGTCATGATCAGTGGTAAAAACTTGGGAAATTTTTACAGGAAAAAAATTTGTTTGACATTATTTGTCTTACTCACTTTTAAATAGATTTCAATTTCTTTTAGCTTATTTGTTCATCAAATATAATATTCATGTTTTACAATACATGCAATTCCATAATTTTGATATAAAATTTCATTCTCCTATCCAGTCTGAATAATTAAAAAACATTTATCAAAGAGACTCACTTGAGTTGATGTTGAACAAGTATATCTATAATATCCACATGCATATTGCTCCTACAATTTGTGTAGTTTCCATGTATCACCCAGTCACAATATTCAGTCCTGAAACAGAATCGTAAGATTTAATGGACACTACTAAATATTCCAGATTTCGAGCTTCATTTGAGGAAAACATGGGAGACAAATTAAAGTCTAAACTTTTTTGAACTAGTCTGCTTTTGCATCTGTAAAAGTTTCAAGTTATACATATTAATGATTTTCATGATGACAAGGTTTCCCATGCTGCCAACGCCTCAATATTGTTCTACATAATGTGGGCAATTATATAGTTGATAAAGAGATATTAGTCACAAAAATAATTGTTTCTTTTACAATAAATTCATGCATTGACCAAATAACAAGTATTTCCCTCATTACTCAGCAGAAATTCTCCAAAGACCAAAACATCCTGGTCTCTAGAGGACCTGAATATTTGTAATGTGCACATAAGATTATTTCAAACGACTCAATGTCTGACAACAAAGCAATGAGAACAATCTCCCTTAGCAGTTAACAGTCATTCAGACCAAAATTCTCCAAAGACCAAAAGATCCTGGTCTCTAGAATAACTGTTATGCGCACATAAGATTATTTCATACCACTCAATGTCTGACAACAAAGCAATGAGAACAATCTCATTTTTAAATTAGCAGTTTACAGTCATTCAGACCAAAATTGGAGATCCTGGTCTCTAGAGGACGTGAATATCTGTTATATGCAAATAATATTATTTCAAACCACTCAATGTCTGACAACAAAGCAATGAGAACAATCTCATTTTTAAATTAGCAGTTTACAGTCATTCAGACCAAAATCGGAGATCCTGATCTCTAGAGGACGTGAATATCTGTTATATGCAAATAATATTATTTCATACCACTCAATGTCTGACATCAAATCTGTTGTGGGTTGTACATTCATCTCTAAGTTCAGCCACCTCTTGAACCTGAACTCCTGGTTTGATATATAAGACTGGAATTCCTTTGATGAGTAGAGCTTGGCTGCCTTCAGTTGTAACTGTGTGTTAATACGGTGTGCTGCTTCTAGGCTTTGTAGGTGTAGACTTTGGTTCATTTGCTTCACTTGTTGGTTCTCTAACTGCATTGGCACACTGTCTATTGATGATGACAATGATGATACAAATCTACATGAAGGAAAGATCCTTGGCACCATGTAGTGAATCTGAAATTATAATCATGAGTGTTGGCAAGGACATACTTTGAAAAGGTACTAAATATTCTCCTTTTGTTAATTAAGAGAAAAAATGTTATATTTTCCCAGGGATGATAAGAATCAGAGCCAAATATTTAAATAGTCGTTAATAATCATTTTAAAATATCTTCTGATATATTACACATACAAGTAGATTATTTTTTGTATGTGATTCTAAATGTTTTTTAAAATTGCTAGTGTCCCATTGTGAGCGCCAGTGTGCCTGGATCATTCTGTATACATACCTTCTCAACTAAATATGCTTGGAGGCATGCTGAGTCCTTAACAGAAGCATACTGCAGGCCACATTGTGAAGAATATTTCAATGAAAGTTCTGCATATGTGACACATACCCTGTAATGCATAAAATCAATATATGAAATAATACATTACAACCAAGATTCAGATTTAGAATTTTGATACCCATATAATATACATTATTCTATCAAATAAAAATATACACCTATATCTCGAAATACCTTTTGATTGGTAAAAAGACTATTAGAATACTCTAAAATATATATATATACCACACTGTAGACAGAAATATTAATCATAAGTGTCATATTAGCAAAAATTAAAGTTCTGACATAGATTTTGGCTTTTGATTTGACCTGGCAAGTAGTTCAAATACTAAAATGAAAATATATTAAAAAAGTTTATAAAATGTTACCTGCAATGTAGAAGCATTTCATCCTGAGTCCTGTATGATAAAGTCTCGAACAGTCCCTCAACTACATCCCTGGGATCTTGATGGACACATTGGACTAGTTTTACATGTCCTAGTGTGTCTTTATTTCTCTCATATATGACAAGTGTGGCCAAAAGAGTATCTATGTGGTGTTCTTCTAAGATCAAACCCTGCATAGGATACATTTTCATGACAATTAAACTTAATAATTTCAACAATATTATATGAATGTAATATATATTTGTTTTCAATTAAAAAGAATATATTTTGGGCATATGAAACAATTGTAAATTGTGCCACATCAGTTTTCTAGTTCATATATTTTAACAAGGTATTAACATGACAAAATGTCACCACCTAGTTGCTCACAATATTATGAGTTCAAACTTAAGTCAGATTTGAATTTCTGAGAACTTGTAAAGTCAAATTTGAACTTCTGAAAAGATGTAGATGATTTTTAAAAAAAAAATTGGTCAATTTGAAGCAAGTTGAAAACAGACCTTTTTGACTCTTTTTGACCTTGAGAAATTCATTAAAGGTCAAATGTCAAATCGAAAGTCAGATTTGAATTTCTGAGAACATGTAGATGATTTTGAAAAAAAAATTAGTCAATTTGAAGCAAGTTGAAAAAAGACCTTTTTGACCTTTTTTGACCTTGAGAAGGTCATTGAAGGTCAAATGTCAAATCTAAAGTCAGATTTGAATTTCTGAGAACATGTAGATGATTTTGAAAAAAAATTTAGTCAATTTGAAGCAAGTTGAAAAAAGACCTTTTTGACCTTTTTTGACATTGAGAAGGTCATTGAAGGTCAAATGTCAAATCTAAAGTCAGATTTGAATTTCTGAGAACATGTAGATGATTTTGAAAAAAAAAATTTAGTCAACATGAAGCAAGTTGAAAAAAGACCTTCTGACCTTTTTTGACTTTGAGAAGGTCATTGAAGGTCAAATGTCAAATCTTAAGTCAAATCTAAAGTCAGATTTGAATTTCTGAGAACACGGAGATGATTTTGAAATTTTTTTTTAGTCAATTTGAAGCAAGTTGAAAACAGACCTTTTTGACCTTTTTTGACCTTGAGAAGGTCATTGAAGGTCAAAGGTCAAATCTTAAGTCAAATCTTAAGTCAGATTTGAATTTCTGAGAACAATTAGATGATTTTGAAAAAAAAATTTAGTCAATTTGAAGCAAGTTGAAAACAGACCTTTTTGACCTTTTTTGACCTTGAGAAGGTCATTGAAGGTCAAATGTCAAATCTAAAGTCTGATTTGAAGGTCAAATGTCAAATCTAAAGTCAGATTTGAATTTCTGAGAACATGTAGATGATTTTGAAAAAAATTTAGTCAATGTGAAGCAAGTTTAAAAAAGACCTTTTTGACCTTGAGAAGGTCATTGAAGGTCAAATGTCAAATCTAAAGTCATATTTGAATTTCTGAGAACATGTAGATGATTTTGAAAAAAAATTTAGTCAATTTGAAGCAAGATGAAAAAATACCTTTTTGACCTTTTTTGACATTGAGAAGGTCATTGAAGGTCAAATGTCAAATCTAAAGTCAGATTTGAATTTCTGAGAACATGTAGATGATTTTGAAAAAAAAATTTAGTCAATTTGAAGCAAGTTGAAAAAAGACCTTTTTGACCTTTTTTGACTTTGAGAAGGTCATTGAAGGTCAAATGTCAAATCTTAAGTCAAATCTAAAGTCAGATTTGAATTTCTGAGAACACGTAGATGATTTTGAAATTTTTTTTAGTCAATTTGAAGCAAGTTGAAAACAGACCTTTTTGACCTTGAGAAGGTCATTAAAGGTCAAATGTCAAATCTAAAGTCAGATTTGAATTTCTGAGAACATGTAGATGATTTTGAAAAAAAAAATTAGTCAATTTGAAGCAAGTTGAAAAAAGACCTTTTTGACCTTTTTTGACCTTGAGAAGGTCATTGAAGGTCAAATGTCAAATCTAAAGTCATATTTGAATTTCTGAGAACATGTAGATGATTTTGAAAAAAAATTTAGTCAATTTGAAGCAAGATGAAAAAATACCTTTTTGACCTTTTTTGACATTGAGAAGGTCATTGAAGGTCAAATGTCAAATCTAAAGTCAGATTTGAAGCAAGTTGAAAAAAGACCTTTTTTGACTTTGAGAAGGTCATTGAAGGTCAAATGTCAAATCTTAAGTCAAATCTAAAGTCAGATTTGAATTTCTGAGAACACGTAGATGATTTTGAAAAAAAATTTTAGTCAATTTGAAGCAAGTTGAAAACAGACCTTTTTGACCTTGAGAAGGTCATTGAAGGTCAAATGTCAAATCTTAAGTCAAATCTAAAGTCAGATTTGAATTTCTGAGAACACATAGATGATTTTGAAAATTTTTTTTAGTCAATTTGAAGCAAGTTGAAAACAGACCTTTTTTGACCTTGAGAATGTCATTGAAGGTCAAATGTCAAATCTAAAGTCAGATTTGAATTTCTGAGAACATGTAGATGATTTTGAAAAAAAAATTAGTCAATTTGAAGCAAGTTGAAAAAAGACCTTTTTGACCTTTTTTGACCTTGAGAAGGTCATTGAAGGTCAAATGTCAAATCTAAAGTCATGTTTGAATTTCTGAGAACATGTAGATGATTTTGAAAAAAAATTTAGTCAATTTGAAGCAAGATGAAAAAATACCTTTTTGACCTTTTTTGACATTGAGAAGGTCATTGAAGGTCAAATGTCAAATCTAAAGTCAGATTTGAATTTCTGAGAACATGTAGATGATTTTGAAAAAAAATTTAGTCAACATGAAGCAAGTTGAAAAAAGACCTTTTTGACCTTTTTTGACTTTGAGAAGGTCATTGAAGGTCAAATGTCAAATCTTAAGTCAAATCTAAAGTCAGATTTGAATTTCTGAGAACACGGAGATGATTTTGAAAATTTTTTTTAGTCAATTTGAAGCAAGTTGAAAACAGACCTTTTTGACCTTTTTTGACCTTGAGAAGGTCATTGAAGGTCAAATGTCAAATCTTAAGTCAAATCTTAAGTCAGATTTGAATTTCTGAGAACAATTAGATGATTTTGAAAAAAAAAATTTGTCAATTTGAAGCAAGTTGAAAACAGACCTTTTTGACCTTTTTTGACCTTGAGAAGGTCATTGAAGGTCAAATGTCAAATCTAAAGTCAGATTTGAAGGTCAAATGTCAAATCTAAAGTCAGATTTGAATTTCTGAGAACATGTAGATGATTTTGAAAAAAAATTTAGTCAATGTGAAGCAAGTTGAAAAAAGACCTTTTTGACCTTGAGAAGGTCATTGAAGGTCAAATGTCAAATCTAAAGTCAGATTTGAACTTCTGAGAACATGTAGATGATTTAGAAAAAAATTGAAGTCAGTCTAAACAGTATTTGTTAAGTTATAGGAAGTTGTAAGAAATTGTTACAGACGCCGGACGCCAACCTCCAACCGCCGGACGCCGGACGCCAACCACCAACCGCCGTCGCAAAAAAAACGGAGACCATAACAATATGTCACCACTTTTGGTGGTGACATAAAAAAAAACGGAGACCATAACAATATGTCACCACTTTTGGTGGTGACATAAAAACAAAAAGCAGAATTACAACAAATGATAAATATGGACATAGCTTTATAAAATTAGAAGCAAAAACAAGAACATAAGAACATTCCACTTGCCATGTCACAAGAGAATATTAATCGGATATCTTATTCTTTTAATTTAATATACATTTTACTTAATTAAACAGCATTGAATAGCAATTAGCAAGGAGGAAAAGTACTTTGTTTTCAATTAAAAAGAATATATTTTGGGCATATGAAACAGATGTGCATAAGGAAAGAATGGTATTTTCCTCTATTGTTTTCCTCCAAAAGAAATATATCGAGACATATGATTATGAATAACACTAGGAAATTATTTTACTATGACAACACTAGTAGTTGAAGAAACCCTGAAGATGCATTACATCCAAATATGACATGATAAACAATGTAATCACACATAACTAGGCATACATTAATACATTATTAATTTCTGGCCAATCAGAACACAGTATAGCTATGTAGATAACAAAGCCAAATATGGACAGTGTAATGAAATGTGAGATGAAAAACATAGCATTGTGTCAAAAATTTGAATATAATTATGACATATTATAGCCAAACAGGTGCTTATGTATGTCTATAGTCTATACTCTAGGTAAGTGCCCAGAAATGTGCCTAGACTTTAAGCTTACAAAATGTTTCTGGTTGGATTTCAAACAGTTGTGGTCAGCATGTTTTGCTATGTGAATAGAATTGAAGGACAGTACTGAATGAATGTGGTTGAAATAATTCTTGTCTAGTCTTCAAAGTCAACATACAAGACATTTCAGGGGGGGTTCACATTTGACAAATTTGGCCCAAATATGGCTAAAATCACTTGAGAAGTGCTCAAAATGATGAAAACTGCATGATTTTGAAAGAATTTTTTTTTTGGGGGGGGTTGCCCGCCTACGGGCCTGTACAATATATATTCAAATTCCAAGTTGTATGGTGTATTGCATCCCATGGATGTATAATCTCATTTTTCTGTCCTGTACTGTAACTATATGGTGTATCATTCTGTAAGTGCTTTCCAAAATCAGCCAGAAGAGTCCAAATATTTGTTTGACTCTAATAATGATGCTTAGAAGCAACTGAATTAATTTTTGTTTTTAATTTACAAGGTGTCAAAAAAGAAGAGTCATACATTTATGGCAGCATATTATACGTACCTGTTTCAATAACAGAGTCACAATTCTGGTGAACAGGGCCACCTTTAGGTGTGAATGCTGACTAATTATGGCTAGATATTCGGCACCCCATGTTAAACTTGGCTTGGGCAGTTTCAAGGACACTGCTAATATCTTGCAGAAACTGTTGAGTAATATATCTGTCACCTGGAAAATAGAATAAAACAGAAAACATGATACTCGTTGGTGTAACTTTAAAAAATATTTGTCCTTGAAAATGGCATCCATGGATGGCTTCTCTATATCCCTCTCAAACTTGGATCGGTGGGATAATGGTACTTTAGAAGTTATATTAAGTAAATTTTGAGCCCACATTTTTGTGTAACCCTTTGCATATATCAAAGTAATACAAAGATAATTACATTCTCATCAAATTTCTTGTAATTGGAAGCCATTCTGACATATCAGTGACATACTCCTTACAGCTGGATTTAAGAGATAACAGATTAAACCAGGAAGAAAAGTTGTTTACAGTTTTCAAGTTAAAAGCAACTAAATATAAAAATCAAACAGATGGGAAAACAGCATTTTGAATTGAAGATGTTTCACTGATAAAAATGAAAATTGAAAGCAAAGACAAAATGTTCTCGTTTATTATCACTTTATTTGCAGTGATTATTGCAATAATCTCATTGGTTTGCTCAATGTTTGTATATGTTGAGTTTCGAAAACAAAATAAAGGCTCAATACAAGAGATGAATGAAATTGTAACATTGAGAAATGAACTATCCTCTGTACAAGTCGACTTCATCAAAATGAAAGAGAACTTCATGAATGAAATGGAAGATCTAAATATCCGTATCCGTAAACTGGAGACAGAAAAACTGGTATGTATTGCATCCAATATAAACTTACTTTACAAAATAAATTACATCAAACAATCAAATCACTGCCATTGGTAGATACATAATCTCTGAATATGAGGATAATTTTGTCAAAAGGTTTATTAATTTAATCATAAAATACTAAGTGAATAATTATTTTTACAACAAAAATAGGAATTATTTTGGTTATAAAGGGTGTCTCAAAAATGTACCCAAAATTATATCAACAGTAGAGGTAAACCAATCAATATTTTCAGACATTCTTTGCATGTTCATGGAGCTGAAGCACGTAAGTTTTCTCCTGATACATATTTTTTAGTTCAATCTTGCCTTTTTGAGGCTTTTGGCTTGGCATTAACTTTAAAAGCTCCTTCAAATAGCCCCAAAGAAAAAATTCAAGGATGACAACAGCAAACAAAAAACAATTACAAAAGACCAGGTCAATAATGGTCAAATGACTAAGGAGTTCTGCCTTCCAGAATTGCGCAGGTAATATCGAAGTCCGAATAATATCCAAAAAGTGGTTTCAAAAAGATAGAGCCCATCCAAACAGTAAGAGCCATACAAGAATTCCTATGCAAGCAGTTTCTTGAATGTCCAGTCTTTCTCAATAAAGACATTGTGTGTACCCCCTATTCAACAGATTTGACACCCCAGTCTTTTTCTCTGGGGCTACTCGAAGAACCATGTATATGATAATCCAAAGCAAAGAGACCAAGACAGCTTAAGACAAACATCCAAAAAGAAATTAAAAGCATTCCATCGGAAACGTTATCAAATGTGATAAACAATGTAGCAGTATGGATGCAGGCTGTCATGGAAATATGAGAAGGCTAAATTGATCATGTGGTGTATTTTATTTATTTATTGATTTCTTAATTCACCCCTTATAGGGTATAAGAGTACAGAAGACAAACTTAACTAATACAGTAACAAACATTAAAATAACATTTATATACATGTAAGAACATTTTTTTGCCCAGCCTCGATTAAAAATTTACAAAGTTTTATGAGTATATTTTTGTTTGAATTCATTAATTTCTCAAACTTCTGTGTGTTTGGTCTTGTGGTATAACATTTAGGAAGGTATCTTTTTCTAATATAACTTAAAGCTTTGCATTCTAAAATGACATGAAATTCATCACCTATTCCTTTACCACATAAATCACAAAACCTATTTTCCCTAGGAATATTTTTATAACGTCCTCTTTCAACTGGAAGTTTATTATTACACAATCTGTACATAATTAGAACTTTTCTATATTTATCTGGCATACAGTCTAAATACTGTTCAAATGAAAATTCTGTTTTAAATATTTTATAGTTGTAACTTTTACTACTGACTTTCATGTCACTATTCCACTTTTGTAAAAACTGATCTTGCATCCTTACTTTTACTTTTTTGATAAACTCTGCATAACTAACTGACTTTGGATTTATCCAAACATCTGACATGCCAAGATTGTTTAATGTGTTTTTCACATAAGTAAACCAATTTGAGGAAAATACATTTCTGTCATACTTTTTTTTACACAATTTGTACATTTTTTCACTCATCTTTAAACTGTCGGAGCTACTTGTTGCTAATTTATACCAAAATTTCAAGATACATGTGTTAGACTTTATATATAGAGGGAATCTACCAAGTTCCCCATAAACCATATAGTTTGGAGTTGTTTTCTTGACCTTAAGAATATATTTTAGAAATTTAAGATGTAGTTTTTCGATCAGTTTGTTATTTGTCATACCCCATATCTCGGCACCATACATTAATATTGGCAGAACTAGGGTGTCAAATAAATGCAACTGTGTTTTAAGAGGTAATGCAAATTTGTTACATCTACTAAGAACTGAAAACATTGCCTTTTCTGCTTGACTATACAAATGTTCAAGAAATAGTTCTCAATAAAGTGAGAGCTGACCTATACTTCAAAGCCCAGTTCTACGCTCACAACTTTCAGTCTATTGACAGCCCTAATTGCACTTGTGGAAAACCACAAACTCTGAAACATTTTCTCTTTCAATGTGACTTACTTACTATACAAAGACAGCAATTCATGGACAAACTCACTGATCTCGAACCAAACATCTTCAGTCATAATCTCTCTCAAACTGATTTCATAGCTATTCTGAAAACAGGAATTCCCAAATTAAACATAGATGCAAATTCCCAAATACTACTTCTCATTGTTAATTTTATCAAAGACAATAGCTAATTCCCTCCTTCTTATCCATCTCTAGTATCCTCAAGTCCCGTCACACTTGCCCTAGTCCAAGACCCTGCCTGCTCTGCCACTTCTACTTCCACCTGCCCCCTATTCTTATATAATGCCATTGTGGCGATTTAAGAATTTACATGTTTGTATTTACATTTTTTGTATTCTATTGAAATAAATTTAAAAAAAAAAAAAATGTTTCATATTTAAATTCAAACTACCTTTGCTATCAAAAAATACTCCTAAATATTTAAAGTGAGGTACATTTTCAACTACACTGCCATTAAAGGTAATGTTGTCAGTTCTTTTTAATTTTTTCCTACTGATGATCATATATTTTGTTTTGTAAGTATTAATTTTGATTTGTAAAATGAATTAAAGCATCAAACCCCATTTATTAAACCCTTCCGCCTATTCTTCATTCTGTTTATTTCCAGCACTGGATCAATGTGGAAGGGATAAATTACAATGTCTCGCATCTGAAACGTAGAAAACGTGAAGCAACTGCAGCTTTTCAATGTAAATATCACTTAAAGTTTTTGTTGTACATTTTTAATATCCTGTTCACTCTTATGATGACTTACATCTTATTCACTAAAATGAATAAAACATTTAAATTCAAACTAACTGACCTTAATTTTTTTTTAACAGATTAATTTTAACAGAGAGGTATATATTCTTTTGTTCAAGACCACACATCAATTATTTTCTTGCTAAATAGAAAATCTTGACCCATTTGAAGAAAATTGAATTTATCCAACATTTTCTCTGCAGACGGCTATGGTCGTGATGGCAGGGATGGACTAGTAGGGCCACCTGGCCCACAAGGACCTCCTGGACAACTTGGGCCAATTGGACCACAAGGGCCATCTGGACAAGGGCCACCGGGACCATCTGGACCACAAGGGCCACCTGGACCACAAGGGCCACCTGGACCACAAGGGCCACCTGGACCACAAGGGCCATCAGGAAGGGATGGGAGGGATGTGAGTTAATAATAGTATAAATATACATTAAATCCTACAGTTTGCCCAAGCATTTCTCTCCTTATTCATAGTTGATGTTTGTTTCAAAGGATCTTATATAATTATCATTTGATTCAATTTGAAAGAAAAGTACCTATTAATAACATTTTTTATATTGTAAAGTGAGGCAGTTCAATGCCATAATTGATTGACCTTGAAAATGCCATTGAAGGTCAAATCTATAGTCACATTTGAACTTTTGAGAACCTTTAGATGATTTTCAAAACTGGTCAATTTGAAGCAAGTTGAAAAAAAAACTTTTTGACCTTCTTAACCTTTTTTGACCTTGGAAAGGTCATTGAAAGTCAAATCTTAAATATAAAATCAGATTTTAACATCTAATAACTTGTAGATGATTTTGAAAAAAAATTGGTCAATTTGAAGCAAGTTAAAAAAGACCTTTTAAACCTTTTTTGAACTTGAAAAGCTCATGGAAGGTCAGATCTTCAATATAAAGTCAGATTTGAACTTCTGAAAACTTGTAGATGATTTTGAAAAAAAAATTGAAGTCAGTTTAAACAGTATTTGTGAAGTTATTGGAAGGTGTAAGAATTTGTTACAGACGCCAATCGTCGATCACCGATCACCAATCACCAACCGCCATAAAAAAAACCATAACAATTCTGCTTTTCCCTGAAGAAGCCTCTCATTCAGTTGAATTTCCCAGTTAGATTGGTTACAAGTCAGATATCATTTTAGGGATTGAGTAGCCAAGGTCAATGGGCTAATGATATAACTCGCCTACTGGAGCAGCTCCGCCATGATGTTACCAACACTAGTAGACCATCTGCTGTACAAGGTCCCCCAGGACCGCCTGGTCCCTCAGCTGGGGGTGCAGTGTATGTGAGGTGGGGAAGGACCACCTGTCCGGATACAGCTGAGGATGTCTATGCAGGTACTAGTATTAAAACAAGGTATTAATATGGCAAAAGTCAGATTTCAGTTTTTGAGAACTTGTAGATGATTTTGAAAAAATGTCAATTTGAAGCAAGTTGAAAATGACCTTTTTGACATTGAGAAGGTCATGGAAGGTCAAACCTCAAATCTAAAGTCAGAGAGATCTATAATAGTCTTGTTACTATCATTCTGATTTTTTGACTACCCTGTACTATGTTTTCCTTTAAAGGTATAATGGGGAAATCAGACCATTCCCACAAAGGATCAGGAGGTAACTATCTTTGTCTACCTAGGGAACCTGAGTGGGGGAAGACCACAGCTGGTGAACAGTCCGGGGCACTTATTTATGGAGTTGAGTATGAAGTCAATCATGGTAACAACCCATTCCTTACAGACAATTTTCCTGACCCCACCAAACCAGCTAATTGGCTTCATGAGCATGATGCAGTATGTGTTGTGTGCAGGGTACCAGATAGGAGCAGCCATTTTATGCTCCCTGCAAAGAAATCATGCCCTGAATCCTGGACCAAGGAATACAATGGATACCTGATGAGTCAACATTATACTCAACGACAATCTGAATTCATATGCATTGATGAAGCACCTGAAGCTGATGAAGCAAGTCAAGAGAACAAAAATGGAGGCTTGCTTTATGTGGTGGAAGCCAGGTGTGGCTCACTGCCCTGCCCTAATTATCAAGACAATATGGAGCTTACATGTGCTGTTTGTACAAAGTAATCATTTATAACTGTAGATGAGCAAAAAATAAACGAAGATGGAGGCCTGTTGTATGTGGTGGAAGCCAAGTGTGGCGCACTGCCCTGCCCTAATTATCAAAACAATATGGAACTACAATGTGCTGTTTGTACAAAGTAATCATTTATAACTGTAGATGAGCAAAAATAAATGAAGATGGAGGCCTGTTGTATGTGGTGGAAGCCAAATGTGGCTTACTGCCCTGCCCTAATTATCAAAACAATATGGAACTAACATGTGCTGTTTGTACAAAGTAATCCATTTGAACAACAGAAGTATAAATGAAAGGTTCAAAATCATGTCTAAAAATGGCCACCATAGATATATTGACTATTGCCAAAAGATAAATGTGCCATTCACTCTTATATGCATTTACGAGTTTTAACAAAAAATGCAAAATGAAAATGGTCTCTATTTTTCAAAATAACTGAATTATTCAACAAACTGTGACAATGTCTCACGCTTCAAAGTTCTTGCATATAAAATACATCTATTAGCAAAGTATTTTCCATTTAAGGTAAAAATTAAAAATGACCTCTTATAAGTTTTTATTAATATGTCAGGACTTATTGGTGGGGACATAAACATAATAATACTTCTCATATTCTGCACTTATCTTTGAATTGGAAAAATACCAAATATTTAATCACATTTTTCATATTACATTAAAACAAGAACACAAATGTGTACAATATGTCCCCACCAATGGGTGATCCCGTCAAATGGATATCCTGAAAATGAGTAGACAAGACTTTACTGTTACAATTTTGGGACGAAAAATGCAAAATGGCCACCTTAAAATTTACCCAGAATGCCAAAAAATAGTCAGCTCTAGATTTTCATACTAAGAACCAACCCTTAAAATTTGAAATTGATTCGTCAAACAGTAAACCAGAAAACGCGTAAACAAGATTCTACAGACAAGATTTTAAGACGGAAATATCCAAAATGGCTGCCTTGACATTTGCCCAGAATGCCAAAAACTAATCAGTTCTAGATTTTCATACCAAGAATCATCCCTCAAAATTTGAAATTGATCTACCAAACGGTTCACCTGAAAACCCGTAGACAAGACTTTACAGACAAGATTTTAGGATGGAAAATCCAAAATGGCTGCCTTGACATTTATCCAGAATGCCAAAAAACTAATCAGTTCTAGATTTTAATACAAGGAATCATCCCTGAAAATTTGAAATTGATCTACCAAACGGTTCACCTGAAAATGTGCAGACAAGACTTGACAGACATGATTTTAGGACAGAAAATCCAAAATGGCTGCCTTGACATTTCCCAGAATGCCAAAAAACTAATCAGATCTAGATTTTTATACTAAGAATCATACCTGAAAATTTGAAATTGATCTACCAAACGGTTTACCTGAAAACGCGTAGACAAGACTTTACAGACAAGATCTTAGGATGGAAAAATCCAAAATGGCCGACAATAAAAAAGTGATTATGAGTTTTTGCTGATTTCTTTTTACAAAATTATCACATATAACTACTGTTAACAATAACGTAGGCTTTTACAACAAAGTACACCTGGAATTATTTATAAAGCTACTAAATAGTTAAAGTATGAAAACTCAAAAACACCATTCAATATGATACAAAGTATTATCGCGCGCTAACTTTTCTTAAGACATTCAAAATGGCTGCCATGACTAAGCTAACAGGTCCAAAAGCTATAATCAGATGTAGAATGAAGTGAGCTGAACAAGATATTAAAGTTTTAAAAGCAACCGTGAAGCCGTTTTTCTTAAAGTTTGCAGACAAGGATTTTAGCATTTGACTTCAAAATGGCCGACAGGAAGTAGGTATCGAGCTAAAAAAATTTCGTCCACATCTTTATGCACTCATAAGTTATCCCTGAAAATTTGAAGGTGATATCTGTAGCGGTTTTGGAGAAAACTCCCGGATGTACGTAACGTACGTAATGACGGACGGACAGACGGATGGACAGACAGACGCGCCTAGGCCGACAATATGGCCCCACACTATGTGGTAGGGACATAATAAAACCAAATGAATTTAATTAAAATTAAGTGAATTAAACAAACAAATGCACAGACACAATGTAAACTGTGAAATATTTAGATACATGTATGTTCAAACTTTTTTAAAATGATTCAAAATGCTTTTGATATAATTTTAATTTTTGTAATCTCTATTCATGCTCTACAAACTGATTGTTTATTGTGAATATTTTGTAAGGGACGGCATCATTACTAGCCTCTGTACTTGCCTCTATTTTTGCCCAACCCACAGCACTAGAACTGAATAAAGGTTATTAAAAGTTCACCAACCTCTAATGTTTTTGCATCTATTGGAGTTGGTTTATCAATTGATATATAGGTGTCTCCACTAGGTGCATTTATAGATGGCAGCACAAGCTCTATTTTTCTTGCCAATACTGACATCTGGCTATTCGTGTCTAAAAAATAAAAATAAAAGATAATTTTTCTGCACATGTACAAAGCAAGAAAAGATGAAATGAAAACTGCATGATCGGTACTAATTGAAACTAAAATTATTTGACGCCTCCTGTTTGCTTATGCTACATGTATCTTGACATCTTAGGGGTGGCTTCAAAATATCAACGTCTGATAGAAGTTGAACAACATCCCATGAATTTGTCTGTTTAGACTGACCTTTACTTTGTGCCACTAGGTGGAGCAACTCTGCAAGAGTAGTTTCCAACTGTTGGATAGGTGTCTCTAGTAGTTCTTCCATTGACTCATCTGCTTCATCAGAAAACACACCTGTAATAAAAGTACATTAAGACCTGTCGAAGTGGAACAACTTTGGTTCCTCAAAATAGAGTTTCACTTGGGAGGTGTCTTACTTCCAAAGGTTCATTTTACTTTAAGCATGGGGAGTACAGGGTGATCAATAAATAAGGTAAATTAGTATCTGGGATTTCTTCAGATTTTACCCAATCCTCATAAAACCTGCACAGAATAATGTTCAAACATTATTGAATTGATATATTAAGTTACAGATCAAAGTGATGTGATTGGTTGAAGTTATGGTTGCCATAGCAACAGAAAGCATGAAGACCCGGGGCAACTATCAAAAACTAAATTTTCAGTCGAAGCACTTTTGAAAATATATTTCAAATCACAATTGAAATGGCATATCATATTCTTATTTTATACTTCATAACTACTCTACTTAATGTCCTTTGTTTTTAACATATACTGTAGTTCATGTCTTCTACTCCAGTCTTTGAACACCTTTTTAAACCCATTTTCATATAGCCTGCACATTTTCAAGATAGCTGACTTCAGGTCTTCCCATGAGAAACTTCATCAACTCCCTCTTCAGCTCACCATGAAGGTAAAATCATAAGGGGACAAGTCAGGAGAGTATAGAACATGACCTAACAGAGGAAAACCCAGTGCTTCAATGGTTTGTAACGTGAGAATAGCATTGTGAGATGGAGCATTATCCCAGTGCAATGTGAAATGTTTTGTGGGCCTCTTTCTCTTTGCTCTCATCAAATCTCTTCTGTGGGTATTGTTTTTCATCATTGACCTGTGTCATAGACTTTCTTTGATCACATCAGTTTTCATTATATATTTATCTTTTCCATGACATGAAACATCAAATTTGCAAGAAAATATGTAACAATGAAAACAAAGTATTATAGAAATAACTAGACTTTGGAAATTGAACGAAGTTCAATTTCAGACTCCAGATCTAGACTTTTTTAAGCCCAGTCATCTAAAATAAGCCGAGTCATCCAGAATAAGCTGAGTCATCCAGAATAAGATGGATGGATAAAATAGGAAGGTAGATTAGGATAGAATGGGAAGGAACGATAGGATAGAATAAGAAAGAAGGATAGGATAGAACAGAATAGGAAGAAAGGATATGATAGGGGAGGATAGGAAGGATAGGAAGGAAAGGATACGAAGGAAGGGTAGATAGGAATGATAGGATAGGATAGGATCAGATAGGAAGGATGAATGAATTTTTCAATATTTTCATCTCTACTCTTGACTTTCTATCAGGATACCATCAGATCGATTTTCTAAAATTTCAAAACGCCATAACTTCCGAACCGGAAGTCGGATCGAAATTTGATTTAAAGATTCGGATTCCTGACAAAATTCTACCCCTAATTCATAACTCATACGTTAAATTTGGCAAATTTTTATTTTGACCTACTTTTCGGACACGCCATAACTTCGGAACCGGAAGTCGGACCGAAATTTGATTTGCAGATTCGGATTTCTGAGACAATTCTACCTTTAATTCATAACTCATATGTTAAATTTGGATAACTTTTTATTTTGACCTACTTTTCGGACACCATATCTCTAAAGTGGGTCAAAATACTCTCTGACGGCAAAAGGCTAACACTATGAGCACACTCTTGGCTACATGTATACACAATTTCGAAGAATATAATTAAAGTGTAGTGTCAGAATCGCAAAAATAAGGAAAAACTTTGAATTTGACCTAGATTTTGACCTAGCCAATTTTGTGTCCGAATTTTGCAGCTATGTGGCTTTTGAGGTCCCCTTCTTTTAAAGGCATTCATTATATTAAGCTGAACTCAGTCTATATTTCGTATTTTTCACTTTAAAAAAATCTTTTTTCCCATTGACTTAACATTGGCACCAAATTTAGCGATTTTGGAGCTTTCAAAACGCCATAACTTCCGAACAAGGAGTCGGATCGAAATTTTGTTTGCAGATTCGGATTCCTGACAAAATTCTACTTCTAATTCATAACTCATATCTTGAATTTGGAGAACTTTTGTTTTGACCTACTTTCTGGACGCCATATTTCAAAATCCGTAAGAGTAATCAAAAAAATACGGGGACACTTATGAAAGGGCTTTTTCTAAGCTACATGATGAAATAAAGACGAAGACGTTTTGATAAATAACGACGAAGATAATTGATAGAATGTTGAAAATGTAAGATTTGACCTAGTTCTTGACCTTTGACCTAGATAAAAAATTGACCCAATTTCTGAGAAACTAGATACTGGACCTGAATTGACCATATACAGGTCTTGACTGAATGTCTTCTAGTTATTGAGAAAACTTGTTAAGAAAAATAACTAGATTTTGGAAATTGAACGAGTTCAATTTCAGACTCCAGATCTAGACTTTTTTTTAGCCGAGTCATCCAGAATAAGCCAAGTCATCCAAAATAAGCTAAGTCATCCAGCAAAAGATGGATGGATGAAAAAGGAAGGAAGGATAGGATAGAATAGGAAGGAACGATAGGATAGAATAGGAAAGAAGGATAGAATAGAATAGGAAGAAGGGATAGAATAGGAAGGATAGGAAGGAGAGGATACGAAGCAAGGGTAGATAGGAAGGATAGGATAGGATCAGAAAGGAAGGATGGATGCATTTTTCAATATTTTCTTCTCTACTCTTGACTTTCTATCAGGATACCATCAGATCTATTTTTCTTGAAATTTCAAAACGCCATAACTTCCGAACCGGAAGTCGGATCGAAATTTGATTTGCAGATTCGGATTCCTGACAAATTTCCCCCTAATTCATAACTCATACGTTAAATTTGGCGAATTTTTATTTTGACCTACTTTTCGGACACGCCATTACTTCGGAACCGGAAGTCGAATCGAAATTTGGTTTGCAGATTCGGATTCCTGACAAAATTCTACCCCTAATTCATAACTCATACGTTAAATTTGGCGAATTTTTATTTTGACCTACTTTTCGGACACGCCATTACTTCGGAACCGGAAGTCGAATCGAAATTTGGTTTGCAGATTCGGATTCCTGAGAAAATTCTATACTTAATTCATAACTCAAACGTCAAATTTTGAGAACTTTTTATTTTGACCTACTTTTCGGACACCATATCTCAAAAGTGGGGCAAAATACTTTCTGACGGCAAAAGGCTAACACTATAAGCACACTCTTGGCTACATGTATACAAAATTTCGAAAAATATAATTAAAGTGTAGTGTCAGAATCGCAAAAATAAGGAAAAACTTTGAATTTGACCTAGATTTTGACCTAGGCATTTTGGTGTCCAAATTTTAAAGCTAGATGGCTTTTGAGATCCCATTCTTTTAAAAGCTTTCATTATATTTAGCTGAACTCAGTCTATATTTCGTATTTTTCACTTCAATAAAATCTTTTTTCCCATTGACTTAACATGGGCTCCAAATTTAGCGATTTTTGAGCTTTCAAAACGCCATAACTTCAGAACCGGAAGTCTGATCCAAATTTTGTTTTCAGATTTGGAATCCTGAGAAGATTTCCTATAAGACTAATATCCTGGACATTTGATTCGGAGAACTTTTGTTTGGACCTCGTTTTCGGACACTGATATCTCGAAATCGGTTTGAGATATCAAAAAACTAAATCGACCCTAGCTTTCCTACTTTTTTATAAGGAACACAATGAAAAAAACCCAGATCGAAAATATTGAAGGACGACCGAGAAAATCGAAAAAAGTGACAAAGTACTGGATTTGACCTAGTTCTCGACCTTTGACCTAGATAAAAATTTGACCCAATTTCCGAGGAACTAGATTCTGAACCTAAATTGACCAAATGACTGACTTTACTGAAAACCTTACGGTTATTGAGAAAACTTGCTCGGAATAATAATAATAAGAAGAAGAAGAAGAAAAAGAATAATAAGAAAACTGACGAAAACAACAGACTCCAGATTTCATCTGGAGTCTAATAATAAAGAAGAAGAAGAATGACGAAAGTAATAGACTCCAGATTACATCTGGAGTCTAATAAATGCTGGCATCCACATTTATTTCTTTTCAGTTTGAAAAAGATATGCTATTATTTTTTGTTCAAATTGGATGCAATAAAATTGCCCCAGGTACCACCGACTCCAGTTGCCATGGTAACTATAATATTAACCAATCATATGGCAGAAGTTGTATATTCAAATATTTTAATTTAGAAATGTACAAAGTATATTCTGACCAAATTTCAGGATGTTTGGACCAATATTTACAAAATACCAGATACTTTTACCTTATTTATTGATCACCCTGTAAGTCCATTTTATTCTGTAGCCTATATTAGCCTTTTATATAGAGAATATTAGAGAGGGGGGAGGTGACTTACTACTCTTGACTTTAAATTAACAGGAAACAGAAATAGTAACAGGAGATTGAGGCCCTTCACGTGTTCCTCTTCCAGGTTTTACTGTATAACAGTTTTGCTACTAAGTCCATTCATCCTTGCCCTTATATTAAAAGTGAATGTATACATCCAAAGCCACAGAAGAAGAAAAATGGAATTTTACCTTGAAATAATTTTTCTGCTTCTTTTTGACACCCCTCTTTATATTTATTGTACATGTTTTGTGGAACTTTGTCAATTTTTTGGAGTTCATCTATCAGCCTCATTCTGGGGTCTGCGATATCAGGAAGTGGGCGGGGCTTCATTAAGATTGGCAGAAATTTTCCGACAAAAAATGGCTTACGGAATATGCTAAAAATGAAATACATGTACAACCTATAATATAAAGTCAATGCATGTATATGTTTATTCAATGTGACCGGTTAAGGGGTGCTAGTTTTCATAAGCAAGACACATAGATTACTCAGATTACTAGCAAGATGGTAAAAAACTAATTAACTCAAGAATTATGAACATTGAGGCACAATGGAATGTTTTTTGGTCTTAAATGTACTTTTATATGTGTACTACAGTATTAAGATACCAGGAATGTCATTCAACATTATCAAGCATCCAATCATAATATCCCCAGGGCGTAATATACCAGTCATCAGGACCTCATGATTGAATTTGCCCTCAAGGTCTGCTACTTTTAAATATAACATGCATTTGGGAAGAGTAATACCTTGTCTAGATAGAAGAATAAATTGGAGAGATTTCTCATCCTTATGTGAGACTGTTGAAAATTTGGCTTACTGTATTTTGATCTGACCTGAATTCCACATGGGGTGACTCACCTTGCTTCAAGCAGAGTTGTGGGAATTTTACTGGATTTTTCAAACATTGCAATAGCTGTCTCGACATCACTGTTGATCTGGTCACCCTGTAATACAAATATGTTTTCTAAATGGTCCTACAAAAGGTAGAAGGACTCAAGATGAATTGGGTAAATTTTGTATAGACTTTTTTCTTTCTCATGACTTCTTTCTAAAAATCTTTCCAATCTTTTCAGTCTTTGTTTTAAAATCCTAATATTTTCTCAAGGCTACGATATCGGTTACTTTTCTAGGTAATTGTTGTAAATAGAATGACAATTTAAAACGAGAAGGTCAGGTATACTACACATGACATACCTGAATTCCCCCTGATGTTGCTGGGTTCCCAGAATAGATGCTCATTTCTTCAATAGGCTCCTAAAACATATTGATGTTTGTGATAAGTCCATTCCAAGAATTGTGAATTGCCAAATTTGTCACTGCATAAAACTGGGAAATAAGAAATATTTGATCAAACATGGGCTACCTTTAGATCGGCTAGTCTTGTCTTGGCCAGGGTTACATAGTCTGAATACACTGCTCGACATTTATCTGGGACATATGGTCCTGATAAAATATGGGCCTAAAATATAAACCATGTTTTAAGAGAAACATAAAGATAGGCAAGAAACAAATTTATGACACTGTGATGTTTCTGGGACATTTTTGTGTCATATATATTTCTGTTGTATTACAGTGTCAAATTCATTGGCCAGTTTATTAGGGAGGTAAGTGCCATATGTTTTGGTACGTGAACAAGCTAAATTATGGGCATCTATGGATAAGGTCTCCCATTAATCTAGTAGTACATGTTTTTACCATTGACTATACAATTAAAATCAGATGAAAAAATTTGCAGCTAATGTCCTTGTAAAAACCAGGAGTGTCGCTTTCCATTGACATACTTTACACTAGATAGAGGAAACTTGATTGTTGCATGAATTCAAAGGACATGGCATATTTATATGTTACTATTGAATATCTACTAGTAGGCTCTTGTATTACCAAAACCACCTATAATCGATGTCAAAATGACCTGCAATTGGAGTTCTTCCATAAGGTTGTTCTGCCAAACAAAAAAGCGTCTCATCAAATGACTCAATGAATGGAACTTGTTTCTGGTAGGCCAGTCTTAAATCTCAGCCTTTGGCAAACAAAAACATGATCTTAAAGTCACTAACAAAGCCATGGCTTGAAAACCTTCAACAAAAGGGATTATATTCTCTGAACTTACCTTAAGGTGATCTACAGGTTCAAATGGGACAATATCAGATAAGAATCTCATCAAAAAAGTAAAGGATTTTCTGTTGTTTGCAGGTGTCTTGTTGGCATCACCGAATGTTTCCTATAAGGTCATAAATGTCAATGTCAAAGTATATCTGGGCTCATATGAAAGTAATAATGGTAAATGAGATGACAGACAATCTAAGTAATCATGAGGATTAATATCATAATAATTTACCCAGTTTTTCTTAACTCTATGCAGAGTGATGAGAATTTTACCGCAAAGGAATTCATTAATTGATGATGGGGACACAAAGCTTTGAACTGAAATTACTCTAACCTTTGAATCCAATCCACAGAAAAAATGTTTTAAAGTGTGGAAAAAGTTAAAGAAATAGAAAAGCAAAAATTGAGAAATTTAAATTAGAGTTGAACATTGTGTGATGTGTTTTGAATCTAATTAGAACATATAACTTACATATGACATGCTCCAAGTAAATGGGACATTTAATTTAATGCCACCTACCTTAAACCATTGAGAATAAGACTGGAATAAATGAGGGCCTTCCATAGAGGCTTGTCTTGCTAGAAGTAAGGCAATTATGATACTGTCCAATTCACAATCTACCAGAGCCTTGCTTATCAACTTGCTTGCTAAATCTGTAAAAGGTTTAACATAAAACACATTAGAAGTAAGGCAATTATGATACTGTCCAATTCACAGTCTACCAGAGCCTTGCTTATCAACTTGCTTGCTAAATCTGTAAAAGGTTTAACATAAAACACATTAGAAGTAAGGCAATTATGATACTGTCCAATTCACAGTCTACCAGAGCCTTGCTTATCAACTTGCTTGCTAAATCTGTAAAAGGTTTAACATAAAACACATTTCAATTATTATTTCAAAAGGTAAATACATGTATTCACTTTCTGCACAAGCAATCTTTCCAAAATGTGATACTTACAGAAAAGAAGGGAAGAAAAATGTCTATTGAAGGTGCAAGTCACAGATTATTAAGAATGAAAAACCATTTGGGTTAATACTAGATCAAAATGACAAATTAGTTCTCCTTTAATGAAACATGTCTTGCCTTTAATATTTTGTGGTGCATCAGGTAAAGAAACATTACTTGCCTTTAATATGTTGTGGTGCATCAGGTAATGAAACATTACTTGCCTTTAATATGTTGTGGCGCATCAGGTAATGAAACATTACTTGCCTTCAATATGTTGTGGTGCATCAGGTAATGAAACATTACTTGTCTTTAATATGTTGTGGTGCATCAAGTAATGAAACATTACTTGCCTTTAATATGTTGTGGTGCACCATGTGAAGAAACATTACTGAAACATTACTTGCCTTTAATATTTTGTGGTGCATCAGGTAAAGAAACATTACTTGCCTTTAATATGTTGTGGTGCACCAGGTAATGAAACATTACTTGCCTTAAATATTGTGGTGCATCAGGTCATGAAACATTACTTGCCTTTAATATGTTGTGGTGCATCAGGTAAAGAAACTGAAAGGGTCGCAATGAAAGTGAGCACAGCTTGCCAATTGACTTCTTGTTCTTCCAATAGATGGCGCACAAAATCCAGAATCTCAAAAGTTTCAAATGGTAGCAGCAGCTAAAGATGTAAGACAACAATCATTAAATTATATGTAAAATGTTAGGATCTGTCATAATGAATAACTACGATGATAAAATAAGATGAAAAGAACAAAGTCAGAAAGTAATATGATTTCCATCATAACTTTTAGAGGAGAATATACTTAGGAAGCCACTTGTATTAAGACTTCTTTACTCTGTCTTAAGGACAGAGATTTGGTAATTCTAGTTTAAATTTCAGGGTTAAATTTTAACATGACAATTTTATTTAGTATTAATATCCATGATACTTACCTGTTGGTAAACATGTGTTATAAAGGGATGGCTTTTTGCATAAGTCCATTGGCTCTGGAGTTCTAGGGCTTGACTCACTGGAAATACATGACTAATTATATTATATTATATTATTTCATACATGTACTATTATATCCCATTATATTGAATTTTCTTCCTTATATGGGCATTAACTAAAATGGCCTCAAAAAGGCATTATAAATTAATTTAGCACCCTTGACACTTGTAGCATTGAAAAGAGGACTGTAAATAGTTATTAAACATATTTTGTTTGCATTTATCACGCCATTTTAGAAGAAGATAACTATACATTGTAACTATATATTGTAAAATCTGTCAAGTGGAACAACTCTGTGTTAGGCGAGACGAAACTGAGATCAAGTGAAATTAATATGACACTTTCAGTTTCAGTTTCAATACAGTTAGAATACATTTTTATGAAATTTTAGTGAGGCAATTTCCTCCCCTGCCTCATACGGCTCAATTCACTATCAATGTTTTAATAAATACCTTTCAGCACTGGATTAAACCTCAGTAGAGTAGAAATTGTGTGTGAACAGAACTGTTTAACTGCTGTTGAGGGGAGGGTGTTCACTTGATGGATCAGAATTACAGGATTTAATATGCGATCCTTATCGTCACAGATTTTGAACAGTTCTAAAAATAATCATTAGAGAAACAAATCATTAATATGGAAGCGATGTTAGACTTTTAGATTTTAGCCAGCTCAAGATAGCAATTTAGCAAAACACTTATAATTTTGAAACTTATTAAACAATATTCAACAAAGACATATCAGTGTTGTTTTAAAAAGATGATCAAAGTAAGAAAGACCATATCACAGGGACCATATGAACAAACATAAAATACTCTGGTTTTTCAATGACAGTAAGGATCCTTAAATGTAGTATATTCAGGCTTACTTTTGATCGTAGTGTCCATTATGACCACAGCAACCTAATGAATAAAACAATTTTATAAAAATAAAACCTTTTCTGTTAATCATGCATGCATTTATTTATCAATTTGAAACTTTGAATATGCAAAGTAGACTCATTTATATTTGACAATTTTATGACATCCAGTACATTTTTAAATTTTTCACAATAATTTTTAAGTCACATACTATTATTTATACACTCATAAATGACCAAATTATTCACACGTACATGTACAAGGAAGTTCCAAAATAAATATCTGGGCCCCAAGGGAGTTTCCATACCTGCCCCAATGCTCCTGCTATACTTACTTTTTGTAATGGTGTCACAGTAGATGTGTTCCCATCTTCCCTCACATACCCATACTGTACAAGGTAACTGAATACATCTACAAATAACCCAACTATTGGAATATCACACTATTCAAATTATCTCAAACATGTACAGTGATGTTAAAAGGTAATCACTTGAATTATTATTCAAGAGAAAAGAATCAATACTCAAATAATAACTTATTTAAGAGATAGTGATAAGATGATGTTCAAACATTCAAATGATTTCCAGAAAGTTTTTCAAGCCTCTGAGTCAGTTACTTCTCTTTTATTTATGTTTTTTGACCCACATTGTACTTAAGTGTCCTAAACATATACATGTATATATAGATACATATAATAAAGTTTATGTCTTCATTGCCATATTGGATTTTCAATTATTCATGTTTTCAGGGGTTTCATTAGCTGCAGGCAACACACATTTTTCACCGTTTTTTTCACAAAATCGTCTGTTTTTTTAGGGACTCATCAACTTTTCCATGTTAAATTTATGATTTCCATTAATTTTGCCTGTTGTTTTCATTTATTTAGCCTGATGTGAGAAATTCTAGAAAATACCCTGGTTTTGGACATAGACCTGGTTGTGGAACAATCAAATACAAAAACAGTGAAACCGTTGAATATGAAGCGAACCCAAGCTGCATGCTTCCAGATCTTTCATTACCATTGCCTCTCCTGCTATAAGAACCTCAATATGATCATATTTCATCTTGAACATATAAGCACTTATTTAGCTGACCCAAACCGCATAAACTTTAAGCATATTTTTTTGTACAAAAATTATTTATAAACTTGATTACCTTTGACAATCTGAGTGCATTTTTTGTCATCGCCATTCATGGTTGACTGCACACATAGGTGGCAGCACTGACTGATCAGGTTCTTTACTTTTGATTGGTCAGCTACAAGACTAAAACATAAAGTGTAGACATGACAAAGAGTTGATATGTATTTGTATTATGCATATATTGTAGAAACTCAGATAGAAAATGCCAGTAAGAACACACAATGCTTTATATGTACAGAGTGGGCACATAAAGAAGTCACTTTTTAAATTTTGACAATTATTGGCCCACTCTGTATATGGCTGCACTGTAGAATTTCTAAAATAATTGACCATAACTAGCATAAACTAATTCCATTATTGGAACTGAAAAATGTTTTAATGGAGAATGAATACTTTTACGCTATACTGGAAATCTATAACGATGGTTACACTTTTAAATCTGCTACATGTGGCAGAAATATGTTAAAAATCAGAATACCATTTCAAATATAGTTCCAGTTTCATGAAGCCCTCATTATGTAGATTCCACACCATCTCAAGGGGAAGGCATGTCTGAAGGAGGAAAAGGAAATATTTTGGAAAAATCATATTTTGACAACAAAAATTGAACAAAGAACAATAAATTGGTGTTAATAGACTAGATGCGAGTAGAAATAATCTTGATTTATGTCATTTAAAATTCAAAATTCCGTCAAACTGATGTCATATTTGGAATCTACATGTAAAATTACATTAGAAATGTGGTTTTGAAAAGAGTTAATCAACTTTGAAAATTTAATTTTCTTTGAAAATGTGACTTCTAGGTCCGAGAGATTCCCCATAGTCCCCATGTTGTAAAACCACAAAAAGTGAAATATCTTTTTTTCTGTTGGACAGATAATATTTTCTTTTACTGGACTTATTTCAATTTGTATAACTATCAGGTACATACGAGCAATATGAAAAGTGAACCACTAAAACCGATGAATATTCAAGTTTAAGTGAATTTTGTAATACCCTGCCAATTTATTTCCCCCGAATCAGCCACCTGGTGGCGAAACTGGTAACTACCAACTCGCATCAGAGTAATTACCAGGACACCCAGTTCAGATGATAGGCTGATTCATTTGTCCAAACGCAATCAAAGGATGCACTGATGGAAAATGCATGAGTAACGAGAGTAAAACCCACAATATCTAGATACTTAAATACCTAATGTAGGTCAATTTAAGATACGAAGTTTCATAAACTTCGGAAACAAGTTTCTCACTCAAGAATTCAAAGGTTTTTTCAAAGTCAATTTCAATACTAGTTATAACCAGCCATCTGTTGTAGAACATAGAATAGCTTAGCCACTTAGAACAATGTGTTGTGATTGGCCAAATTGGTGTGATTTATCATATACCTATATCTATCTATAGCTATATCAATACCTGTTTAGTACAGCAGTTCTTTGCTATCTGAGATGCTGACATTTTGTGACCTTTAGAGATGATCAGCTTCATTAAGCTCATGATCAGATCAACCTTGGCCTAAAAATTAAGATTAAAATAACAAAATAAGTAAATACACTTACATAAACCTAATTACTGTGGAAAGATCAATGGTCAATGATTGAAATTCCAGTTTTCTAAGTGTAGTCTAACTATTGTATGTAATAGAATCCTGAATAGCAAGGTGCCATCACAGTGACCCAAGCCTTAACTTATGGTAGCTTGCTCAGTAGAGCATCAGGCTTTGCATCTGAGGGTCTAAGGTTTGATCCCTACACAGGGCTTTGAATTTAACAACACTTTCTTCTGTGTCTATATGTTGCCTGTTACACTACAGGCATTGGTCATTCCCTTTACCTAAAACAGTCCCTCCACAACAGGATTTACTTAGTGTTTTCAATGTACTGTCAGGGCAATAGCTCACCTGCTCCTCTGTGTTCAGTAAGGGCTTGATATCAGATTTGTCCTGAGACTGTCCTAAGCATTCCTTTAACTTTGAAACACATACATCAGTAGCCAGGACACTAAACGGAAGACTTGATCCTTTGGCCTCATCCAAAAGCAAGTGGTATAAACTGGACACTAAAATAACAAAATGACTCAAATCAAGTAAATATACATTTTATTCAACAATTATTCATTATTTCATATCCAGTGATCCTTCAAGCCTTAAAGCAAGTAAACGTTGAATCTGGTGGAGATTTTGAAAACAGGCTGCACCCACCTACATATCCATATGCACCCACTTGAAAATGAAGAAATCATAAAAACTGCAATTTTGTTAATAATTTAGTCAACATTGCATGATGGTATAACTCTAAACGACGGAAATATGATGGATTATTTAGACAAAGTTTGGACTGAGTTCAGGCCCGTAGCCAGGGGGGGGTTTCGATGGGTTCGAGCGAGCCCCCCCCCCCCCCCCCCCCCCCGGCCAAAAATTCTTTCAAAATCATGCACTTTTTCACCATTCTGAGCACTTTTTAAGTGATTTTGGCCATTTTTGGACCAAAATTGTCATAAGTGAACCCCCTTGGAATTTTTCAAAAAGTGGCAAATCCTGGCTGCCTGGAGTTTTATTTAATTCCTGAGATTCTGTGAGATGTTTTTAATTATGAGATATTTACAATGAGTCTAAACATTTATTTACACATTCTGATTCTGCTGACACAACTGAAAATATTGTATAACATGCAAAATGTCACAACCTGCGATTTGGCACAGACACCAACTACCGAATGCAGAACACCAGCCAAAAAAGTTGAAGACCACGTATGTAGCATTTCTGGTGATGACATAAAAATGATTGAATTTGTACATACCAGTGTGAAAATGGTCACTTGGTCTGTTGGTCTTTGAACATTCACACATGGAGGCTTGTATTCCCTTATAATTAGTTTCATCATTCAGTGAAATCTTGTGCAAAGCCTGTAAATTACAAGAAATGAAAACTAACATCATGATTACAATATATTTCATCAGTAGAGATTATTAAGCATCTCCTCTTTTCTTTATCTTGTATTTGCATGAAAGTTGAGTACAACTATTTTAATTGAACAATTAATTCCTCCCAGCATTGTCTCTTTAAATTGGTTGTTGAGACAGGTTCACGGAGGATTATTTAGGCAATTTAATAAAAAAAAATTCATGCCACACTTATTCAAGTGGTAAAGCTTGTAACAGCTTAAAAGTCAAACTGAGATGCTACTTTGTGATAGCATTATAACAGAACATGTTTTCTTGCATCGTACCTCATTTTGGAGAGCTGGAAGACTTTGGTAGTGTGAAATTACTTTAAAGCAAGTTTCTAGCTTGTCTCCTCTTGATGCAATTGCCTGACCATTGTTGAGCTTCTGACATTTATTTGCTGATAATGAAATAAAGATTATACAATATAATACATGTTATAGTGGTTATGAGCGTAGCCAGGAGGCAGGGGGGGGGTGTGATCTCCCATCCCCACAAAAAAGAAAAATGCATTGTAAAATTTGTTGAAAAAAAAGAAGAATGCATTGTAAAATTTGTTGAAAAAACATAAACAATTCAAGTATACTTTGAAATGCTTAGAATGCACCACATACAATGCAAATAAAAAAAAAATTCCTGGAGCTTGCTTCGCTCGAAGTGATGCAAACCCAAAAATTGCACCCCATTGACATTTGCTGGCTATGTTTGCTCTAAATACACATGGAATTTTACTTTTAACTGCCGATGCGTAAATGAATGATTGATGATCATCATAGGATACATACAGGATGTAGACATAGCTAAATAGTCTTTGGCATAGTTTCGCCATAGTTTCCACTGAACTGATGTGTTGTATATTTAAGCCAGATAATAAAATTGCCATAATTTAATAATAAGTGATGATTCAGTGGCATGTTATTAACCGATGCTCCTATTTTACATGATTATTTTCTGGCTGAGATCTACATGTACAGTAAGTACATGTATGCAGGGACCTATGATACTGAAACGAATATGCGTGTCTGTTGGTCGGCTACTCGGGCCTCGCATGTTTGCGGCCAAACAGCAGAGCCAACAGTTACAAGCTTCTGCTTGTTGTCTCCACATCGAGGGAGGTCAAAGCAGAGATAAAGTTTTATCTCTCAATATCGGAAATTGTGGTAGTGTCTCTCACAATATCAAAAATATGGTAGCGTGTCTCTTAACTTCAAAACTTATGGTAGTGTGTCCCTAACTTATAGTTGTGTGTGCCGGCGTCTTTGATTGTAGCGTAAAAGTTCGTGGGGTGAAAGTATATCACCAAGAAAGGATTTATATTAAAAAGTCTCGTAATAAACTCAAAATAATAACTTTTAGAACTTAGTCCCATGACTTCAAATGTAGTTTACAAAACATTACATTCTTTCTATCAACAAAATAAACCCATGTTATTGCATTTACAGTCACTCCATCTAAGTTAAACATTTGTATACAAGCTAGGGATGAACAATTCTCATACTTTCATTCTTATTTATAACGATGGACAGACACAGTAGTTCATAAAACTCCAATCAATCTATTACACTTATGGATAATTACAAAACATTCAATATGCGGTAATTTAATATATGGAGTTCTTCTTGGCTTAATAAACAGATAAATATATTCTAAGATGCACATTTAAGGAGAACAAATATCAATGTAATCTCAGTATAAATTAGACAGGCCACTAACTTTACAAATACTTCAATTCAAACAAATTATCATAAATTCATGAAATAATCTCTGATTTTGTAGTGTTCACAATTCTACTTTTCAAGCTTCAAGTGATTGATTATTTGATTATTAACTCCAGTAATTGATAATGACATGTGAGAATTTGAATGTTTACTTTATCATAGTATTATATGACCTCTTCGACAATGTTACATAAACTAAAGCTCCGAAATGCACTGGAGTGAAAGATCAACAAATCAAAAACTGAATACCAATATGATTACAAATTGGCTAAATCAAATTAAATTACAATCTTCAGCTTTATCTCCTCTCCTTAATACAACCATTAATAAAATCCAATTCATAAAAGTTTTTACAATAAAATGGTAGTCATTTAAAATAACAACATCAGTCATTGAATCAGTCATTGAATCACTGAAATGCTACAAGATATGAGCTAAAATGTACTCTTTACAAATAACAGTAGAAACATTCTTGTTTACATCAATCAAACAAATCGTTCTCTAGCAAAATCAAAAATTGCATAATCTTAAGTTCCGAACTTCAAAACAAATAAAAATGAATCTATATTGTTTCAGTATAATTGATTATTGTGGGCTAGCTTAACCCGATTGTTAACCCTTGAAAAATCTTGCTGCTGGTCAAATAAAATCATGCAAAAACATGTTTATGTTTACAAAAATGTATAATATTCATTTAAATATAAACAGACTAGTTTCATTTCAAATATCTAATTTTACTCAAACCTGGTAACATAAGACTTTAAAGCGGAATAGGATATAAAAGAGAAAATATTTCAAGATAAAGATTGTTGCAATTTGAGCATCGGGTAAATTTGTAATACATCTCCATCCACCCTCATTAGTAGAACAAATGCTGTGTCCATATGTAAACAAAAACATACTACCCATGGTGAATCATTAATTTGGTTTACAATTATAACATTGTCTAAATCATTTGTATGAGCAATTCTGTCTAATACCTCTGAGTCAATGTTATTCAGAAGGAGAAAGCATATAATTCAAATAATGGCGAAAACATTGAAAATGGTTTCAGAAATAAAGATAAGTTAATTCCAATACTTTTAAATTATCAATTGACATTAATTTACACTGGAGAATGACAAGATAAGCAATAACACAGATCGGTAATAATAAACTTACAAATCATAAATTGCATACTGCAAATTATAAGCATAAATTAGATTGAGTCTACTTCAACATTCAAAACACTGATTTGACACTATAGTCATTCTAAATTGCCAAATAAATAAAAAGAAGATTCCCCAGTTCCGTATATTCTCAACTACTGTTGACTTTATAGGGAATAATAAATCGAAACGATTATATAACTCGCAGTTTTCCTCTTAATAATAGCCCAAAGGTAATCAAATCTAATCTCGAGAAAAATACTCTCATTTTTAATTGCGAACGAACAATTTTGCATACGCTTAAAGATATTTCATCTTCTAAATGGTAAAATGCTACATAATTAGGGCAGCCAAACCTCCCCTTTAACATGGCCATGATTCACAATAAGTCTTTATTCAACCACGAGCTGTGAGAAGTATAACATAATCATAAAGAAGTAATATCCATTAGTCAGTTAAAACAAAACTGAAATAAATCTCAATACTTAAAATGGAAATAGCCCATTAAAATAAATGACATAAGATTCATTTTCTTATGATTTTACCTAACTTAAAGATGTGCAAAATTTGTAAAATAATTCAGTACCTAAAAACATCATTTGGTCAAATATATTTTAAAACATCCAAAACATGTACTAACTTCTGCTAATTAATTCATATCTTGGAACCCTAGCCTCCATCTCAACCTCTGTTATTAGTATTCAAATCTAGCCCATAATTTTTGTCATTAATTTCTCACCAATTAACTTTTAAACAAATTAACTGAAACTTTAACTGTTGTTTGAACAAAGGTTGTGATGAAAACCCATGTTTATCAAATAATTCAGTCAAATCTTAATTACACACTGTTTCAGCAAATACATTTCAACCAGTAAAATCATCAAACAATTATGTTGCCCTAAAAAGCAATTCTTACATAACGCAACAATTCAATTGTCCAAGTTACAACAGTTACCTCCTTAAAATAAAATACAAGTTTTACAACCAAAATACATGCTAATGTTCTTCGCCTAATGTTAAAACATAATGAATTACAAATCAACAGAGAAATATTTCTTCATCAAAAGACCAAACTTCTTACTTTGTCTAAAACCAGATTTAAATCAAACTGATTAACCAATTAATTCTCACAATAGCCAACATTGTCAAATAACAAATAAACCTTAGTATGACTGTCCATGTTGCCAATATATTTGAACAACAAAGGCTCCGTTTTTCCCTGACAAGATTACTATCTCTCACCCAAGTCGAACTAATCTCAACAACTTGTTGATAGCCCATCTAGGAAAGCTGCTTTTGTCCTCAGGTCATTTTATGTGTTCTCCAGATCCCCTCAAATTCGAACTGAACTTGTCAGCTCGACTCCTGCTTATATTGCCTTCACCTTATATAGGTGACTATTAATAGACCCTGTTGTAATATGCTATTTATAGACAATTTGTAATGCTTCGTGACCGATAATTTGTAACATAGACAGAAATCGTGATTACATTAATTGAAAGTTATGCAAGATTCGTGATTCTTGGCATTCCAAAATGACTAAAGTGAATTCCAAGAGTTTAATTGGAATGTTAAGTGGCCGCTGGAGTTAGAGATAACAAATTTGGAATTAACCGCAAGAATCTGAAACTGATCCTAATTAGTAATCATGACTTTAGAATTAGCTAAGAGAGGAGAGGGAGAGGAGAGAAGAGGCTAAACAATAAACAAAAATCCATTTTTGTAACAATACTGACAAGACTGCCGGTATCTCTTTGAATACAATCAAGGTTCATTAACCCTGTAGACGGTTAAAAAACGGATGTCAAATACTCTCTTCGAAACGAGATATAGAGTCTTGACAAATGCTATCTATTGCAAGACTTATGCCTCGCACAACCGTCACCACGTTATTAAGTGTTTTTAAGTTTCACAAGGATCCTGCCATGACCGTGGTATTGTTATCGTGAAAGCCTGGTATAACCGTGACAATGCTATATTATATTGCAAGGCCTGTCATGACCGTGGTAATGTTAAAGCCTGATATGATTGGACGATGTTCACGTTCTTGAATGAGATTAGAATTATAGTTTGTGGAAATAAATTATGAGTTAAAGTAGTAGTATATGTAGTAGTAGTCTAGATGTACATATTTAAGGTAGATAAACAATGAAATTTTTCATAACAGTATTCTCATGCTACTAAATGTCACTTAAGGTGACATTTAAGTTAATCAAAAGTACAAAAACATGGGAGCCATATTTTTTTGATAAAGTCAGAAGATTTTGTATACTGTTTTCCTTGTATGTGAATGCATTTCCTGACTAAAGAGACACATAAAAGAAAACCTCACATTTAAACGCATTTTTCATAACTATGAATTGGAGGTGTATGGCTCCCAAAAGCTAGCATGAAGAGTGCGAAGTGAGGCTATTTTTTGAAAGTTTCAAGGAGTAGCCTTGCAACAGACACACATTTGCAAGAATTCAAAATTTCTAGATATAGTCTTACCTTACCAAGGAACAACGAAGGAGCACGAAAATGTGTACTTCTTGCATTGTTAGAGTATAATAAACAGGGCTGTCAACTTGGGACCACCTAATATGAGTGACTTCAAAATGTTGGACACCTAAGACCAAATCTGAACACTTTTGTCCAAATTTTGAACACCTTTGGCCAACTTTTAAACACCTTTGGCCAAAGTTTGAGCACCTTTGCCAAACTTAGATCAGCTCAAATTTTTCGCGCTCGCTACGCTCGCGATGTCGTCAACGGGGGGGGGGGGGGGGGGGGGGGGGGGGGGGGGGGGGGGGGGGGGGGGGGGGGGGGGTAGGTACGAAAATTTCCAATGAACATGCGTGACATATACGGGATTCGCGTGACAAATCCAAACAAATTGCGTTCGGTTTTTTACCCACGTTCGTATTTTTACCGTATCGTAAACATATTTCGCAAAAATTTTCTACAGAAATATTTTTGCGTGACAAATACCAGGTAAAATGCGTATTTGCGTGACATTTTCTGTCACGCAAAAAAAACTGGCGTGACTTCAAATTCTTCAGCAAATGCGTGACAAATACGCAAATTGCGGGACAGTTGACAGGCCTGAATAAAGCTCAAACCATTGTGAATTCTAAATATTTCATGTCCACCATTTTGTTTCCTGGAACTATTTTTTAGTCCAGAGTTATCTTCATTCATGTTTCCATTGTTTATCATTCATGAAGCCTCTATCATGTATCTATCATGATAATTACACTGTAATAGATAAAACATACAAGTGATAATCCATGCCGTTTGGTGTAGTCACAAAACTTGCATGAGGATTAATCAGGAAGTCTAGAAGTAGTTCCGGCAAACAAAATGTGGACATGAAATATTTAGAATTTACAATGGTTTGAGCTTTATTATACTCTAACAATGCAAGAAGTGCACATTTTCATGCTCCTTCGTTGTTCCTGGGAAAGGTAAGATGATTTGTGGAAATTTTAGACTCTTGCAAATGTGTGACTGTTGCAAGGCTACTCCTTGAAACTTTCAAAAATTAGCCTCACTTCGCACTCTTCATGCTAGCTTTGGGGATCCACGCACCTCCAATTCATAGTTTGGAAAAATGCGTTTATGTGTGATGTTAACTTTGACATGTTTCATTAGTCAAGATACACAATTCATATACAAGGTAAACAGATTTTAAAAACATGTGTCTTTATCAAAAAAATATGGCAGTCATTTTTTGTACTTTTTATTTAATATAGCGCCGCCTTAATATAACCATTGTCACGGTCATATTGTGCTTTAACATTACCACAGTTATGACAGGCCTTGCAACCATTGTCACGGTCATATCAGGCTTTAACATTACCACGGTCATGACAGACCATGCAATACATTGTATAATATAGTATTGGCACGGTTATACCAGGCTATTACGATAACACTACCACGGTCATGGCAGGATACTTGTGAAACTTAAGAACACTTAATAACATGGTGACGCTTGTGCCAGGCATAAGTCTTGCAACAGATAGGGTCTCAGTCTATATGTAGATATCATTCCCCAAAATTTGGATTCGCTTCTTTCGCCGGAACATTCTCTTCGTCTGTGTATTTTCGCATTAGAAGTTTCAATAAACATATGTCATCTACAGAGAGCTCATAGTACAGTGTAGATAGCTCTCTGTGAATGTGATGTCACATGTGCATTTTTGTTTTTTCAATTGAATCTCATTTTCATCTGACTCTGTTCGACTTTTCAAATTTTTTTATGCTCACCCAGCCAGCCTGAAAAATCTGTTTCTTCCAAATTTACGTCTGTGTATTCTTTGCCATCTATTGATCGCTTATGCGCCATTGTGTGAACTATATGAAATCTAAAGAGCTGTAATATTACATTTTCTAACTAAATTTCAAACACTTCCGCCAAAAGTACTGATAACTTCATTTGTGGTGTGTCATAATAGTTCAAAGCCAATCAAAATCAAGATATCTCTTCAGTCCGTAGAGATCTCAAAATGTCCTATTTAACTACCAGGGCTGCCTCTCATGCCCAGAAAGTTTGCTCGTTATACAAAAAAGCCCTTCGTGAATGTCAGAATTGGCACTATTTCCCGTAAGTTGACATATTTTTCTATATTCTAAATCGCCAATTTTTCGAATTTACAGTTTCTACAACAAGAAACAATGCAATGAATTTAGGTCCGATTTTGATTTCTCAAAAATTATTGAAAAAATGGATGAAAATTATTCTTTCTGCCTGTTATGTCTTGTTGTAAATTTAATTTAGGGCCACACTATGGGTTCAACAGATAAGATATCTACAGGCAAATAACTTACTCACGTTTTTTGAAGGCTTAGAATTAGCTTGTATCCAACAGACTGACCAGTTGGTTCTTACTTTTGCCTTTGCTCGTTTGCTTTTTATGAACAGCGTTATCTATTGAATGCCCATGGTTCAACATGGGCTGTGCCATTCGACCGAAAACTTTTTCTTGAATTCCGTATTCAGACGTTTCGTATCTTGTTCTGAAGGGTTTTGGAACACTATCGGTACCTTACCTACTAGTGTTGTCGCGATTAATCGATACATCGCGATATACATCGCCAAAGCTGGTTCTGACGATGCATCGATGTCTGAAACAAAACATCGATGTTTTAAAAAAAATTTAATTTGCTAAAAATCGCCCTTTCTTATCTTATTTTGACGCAAATTGCTTACCCTTTTTCATGTCTTATTTCATTTTCAAATGTTTTCTGATATTCTTTCGCTTAAAAACTGTTTTAGCTAGTCAAAATGAACCATTAATCTAAAAAAATTACTTTCATTTCACCGTTACTATGTTCCCGGATGTACCAGCGTACTCTTATTAATTTGTTCTGTTCGATATTTTAGTGCATTAGCGTTCGGTATTTCAGTGCACTTTTCTCGAACTTTTTCTCGATGTACATCGCGATGTGCATCGATGTTTACTACTGAAAATTGCTGATGCATCGATGTACGATTATGGCTCATCGCTACAACACTATTACCTACTATTGGCTTTGAATCGTTTAATTTCTGTCTCCAGTGTTTCCCTGTTAGTTTCCTTCAAACTGCGTCAAACATACATGTGTATTATTAGTCGCATAAATACAATGGCTTTGATGACATCAAGTTTTGTTTTGGTTAGAGTCTTGTTTTGGTGCGAGCGTCTGACTTTCTGTTTTTACTGGAAGTAGGAATCGACGGGGCTATTGTGACCACCCTACAGTAAAATTTTAAATGTTAGGAACTACTTTGAATTTAAAAAATAAGCAATCAAATGACAATATTGCAACAGTATATAAAAAAATCGAAACATATGTACTTGTCCTAACTTTTGTATATTTCAGATAGTTATGTATAATGTGCAGTAAAGCTGTGACCTTTTGTAATTTAGGGAGTTTCAGCCATGTTAATTTTTCCGAAAATAGCATAGCGGAGAAGCATCAAAATATAAGAGGGCACAGACATGATAGCTAAACTACAAAACAAACTAAAATATACAAAAGTTAGGACATGTATAAATGTTTCTATTTTTACATATACTGCTTCAATATGGTTCTTTGATTGCTTATTTTTTAAATTGAAAGTACAAGGGCCGAGCAATATATTCGCTACTTTTTGCTTTATTTTCTTTTATATTTGTTTATTTCCATTGAAATTTGGTACAGACATAGAGTGTAGAATTCCGCATCTTTTGATTCCATTTTCAAGCCCATTGCCAAATATGGCAAAAAAGTATGGTTGTCATAGCAACGGGAGGAATGAGCCACCGGAGCTGCCCATAATTTTACTGCAATTGCACATGCAACAATATCTTTATATGCCCATTTCTCATTACAAAAACATTCAGTTTGGGTAATTTTTATAAACATTGTTTACTGGACATTGATCCAATATTCAGAACAATGGTTGTGATGTCATAGATGTTCTTTTCAAACAATAAAGAGGTCACAATTGATCCGCATATGCATCACAAAAGGGAGACTCTGCTTCCTGAGTTGCATCAAGAAGCAAGAACTTCATGGATGCAGTTCGTAAAAAGCGCCCAGTATTGATCAACCATATGATATATCATCAAGATAATGCTCCATCACACAACGCCCGTGAGGTAACTGATATATTAGCAGCTCTAAACATTGAAAAATTTGATCATGCACCATACAGTCCAGACCTTGCATTGTGCGACTTTTAAATTTTCGGCAAACTGAAGAATGAGCTACGCGGGCAGAGGTTTGGTGACCGTGAAGAAGTGGTTGAGGCCGTCCATAAGGCCCTAAAAGACCTATATGGAAATGGAAACGGACTGCAACAGGCCTATCAAGACTGGGTTTCCCGATGTAGAAAATGCATGGCTGCAGATGGACACTATTTTGAGAATGAGGCATGGAATGAGGAGTAACTGTCTTAATTAACAAAAAGGACATTTTGTATAAAAAAGTTGTTTTCTGAAACATTGTCACAAATGTCAGCTCCGGTGGTCACTATCAACCAATATTCAATGCCATGTAAAATATTACGGATGTAACCAAATAAATGCACATTTGGTGATATTACAGAAAAATGTTTTTTCTATTATTTTGGAAAATTTCAGGTAAGATACTTTATTATTAACAATTTGAGAGCAAAAAGTAGCGAATATATTGCTCGGCCCTTGTAGTTACTAACATTTAAGAGATGTTGAGGCAGTGAACTACATGCCTGTGTCTCTGACATCAATCCCTTGCAAAATGATGGGACATATCACATTTCATCATGTTATGAACCACTTTGATCTCCACAATATCCTTGCTAAGCACCAACATGGATTTAGAGCTAAACATTCGTGTGAAACGCAACTTGTAATTATCATAGAACAGATTGCACGAGCCCTTGATAGCAACAAACAAAGAGACTTATTAGACATGAGTACTGGACTTCTCTAAAGTGTTTGATACTGTATACACGAGCGCCTCCTTCTAAATTTAAATCTGAGGAAACAACAAGATAATACTAAAACATATAGTACATCAAAAAGGGAAGCGTGACAATGCTCCTTTTAAAGTTTTCATATTTGAAACAGAGTACTCTAGCATCCCATTCTCTCGAGAATTCCCATGCATGTAGTTCAACATTTTCAACCAATTTTCAAAAAATGTCAGAACTATAGGATATAAATTCTTGGTTAAAATTCTCAGAAGCCCAATAGCAATATGACATCAAATGTGACCTCAGTCCTGGCCTGGAGCCAGGGGGTTCGAGCAATATCGTGTAGTTTGTCACTATTCTGAGCATTTTTGGCCAGAGTTGTCAAAAAGGAACCTCCCTGGAAATTTTTGAAAAGTGCCCCTCCCCCCTTGGCAAAAGCTGTCCATAGGCCTGCAGTCCCTTCTGTCATATCATACCTCTAATATAATGTTCTCTTTCCTCCAGACATCTATATCGCTACCACCAGGTGGTGATGCGGGCAAGATTTGACGAGAATAAAGATGTGGTTGACATGGTAAAAGCAAAGCAACTTCTTGAAGAGGGAGAAGCTGAACTCTGGGAAAGGAAGCATCCACAACCCTTCAAGTTTACAGATTCCCCTGGTGGTGTAGCTTATGGGAGAGAGGCACCTCCTCCAGATTGGGTATGTGAATGTTAAAATACAACCAGTAAAACATGTTAAGATAGCTATTGTCCCATTAAAAGTCCATATGGCACGACAAAAATTGGCCTTCTGTGCATGTTAAAATTTTTCTTCAGAACTCAACTTTTGTTCAAGTTGATACGATTGTCTTTCTAACTAGAGACCAGGGCTGTCAACTTGGGACCACCTAATATGAGTGACTTCAAAATGTTGGACACCTAAGTCCAAATCTGAACACTTTTGTCCAAATTTTGAACACCTTTGGCCAACTTTTAAACACCTTTGGCCAAAGTTTGAGCACCTTTGCCAAACTTTGAACACCTCAAATTTTTCGCGATCGCTACGCTCGCGTTGTCGTCAACGGGGGGGGGGGGGGGGTAGGTACGAAAAATTTCCAACTAACATGCGTGACACATACGGGATTCGCGTGACAAATCCGAACAAATTGCGTTCGTTTTTTTCCGGCGTTCGTATTTTTACCGTATCGTAAACATATTTCGAAAAAATTTCTACAGAAATATTTTTGCTTGACAATTACCAGGTAAAATGCGTATTTTGCTGTATTTTAAAAAACTGGCGTGACTTCAAATTCTTCAGCAAATGCGTGACAAATACGCAAATTGCGGGACAGTTGACAGGCCTGAGAGACGTACCTCATTCAAAAGATCCTAAAAGAATTTATCTATTCTGAAAATCTTTGATCCTCAGCATAGTAGAATACGCCGTCAGTCTGCTTTTGATTTTTTGAAGTGAGTCTCTGTAGATCGTCAGATTTCTCTGACTGATATTGGGTTATCTCAAATTGGTTTGTTTATGAATACTAATTGTTTTAGACACAACATTTATTTATCTTGACATTGAAGTGTACAGCCACACTTTTGAGCATGTTAAAACAAGTTTTTATATCCTAAGCAGGAGATGGGTTTTCAAAAAATTGGTGATCTAATTCACTGGATTATTGTATGGATATGTATTTTTGCTGTTTTAACACCACAATACATAGAATTGCGATGCAGTATGATAATAAAACACAAATTGACTACTTAATTCCACTTGTTATTTCACAGAAGGTAAAAATGCATACTGTCTAGAATTATTGTAAGGGTTGTCAGACATCAGATTGACCAGTGACCATGGTGACCACCATATTTGAAATATAAAATATCACTTAATAGAGCTTTGTGCATGTCAATGCATATTTAGTGTTATTTCCACATTGTTATAGAATTAACTTTTGGAGGTTTTGAGATATTATCTTTTTCAATTTTTCTCGAGAAATTTTATTTCGGAGGTCCATTTCAATTGGGAGAAAAATTTTATGGCCCACCTTGTCATATCCATTTAGGTAGGGAGCAGAGCTGATCAGATTAGATAATTTTGACCATGTGACTAACAACAATGTGGAAATAAAGGGAAAAAGGTACATCTGTCATTTCACATATCCTTATTCCCAAACTTCAGTTTTCTCCAAATACTGATGTCTTATTATATACTAGCAAAATATATATCTAATATTTTTATCGAGAGAGAAAAAAACACGAAATGCATCCAATAAAATCTTGCAATGATCAACCACCCTTTGATTGGTTAATATACTATATAGATAATGAGTTAAGCTTTTTCATTTTTTCTGTTTAAGCTGTACACTTTGCCCAAATGTGGGATACAAGCATAATAAAGCTCATAATAATAATAATAATATTATCCCATTGAATGCAGCTCAGAGGGATATATGTGGCTACTTAAAAGCATATTACTTCTTCTGATGACAACTAGGCTAGTGAGCAACCATTTTGAAAATGGTGGCCTTTCTGGTGTGTTGTTTTATGATATTTGCTATATATTTTGTATGTAAAATCCCAGCCATTTCTGTTCGATGGGATTTGCTATGCTTTTGCGTTGCCGTTGTTCTGGTAATTTTTTTAAAGACCCCTTTTTCCTTAAAGTCAATAACTGTCAAAAATATTTTTTGGACCAAAGCTTTACATGTTAATCAAGGAGCAAATTACTGAGCAATCTGAATATATAAATATTTGTCTTGGTGTCTTATTACACGGTGTATAACCCAAACGCTCCTACATGCACGACGGAGCGTTACATTAACGCAGAAACGCTACGGAGCGAAATAAAATGGCGGCTAATGAAGATTCTACTATGACCGTAAGTATTGTTTCTCACGTTTCTCTTACATATCATATGTCATGGTGAAATATTATGTACCATTCGATGAACAATACCGTGAGCAAAGATCTTATTTATTCAACTTCTGGTGGTAAACTGTTATTTGCTTGATCAAAGCCCCGTAATGTAGATCGAACGAATCTGAAGATGACGATTTGACCACAAATTACGAATTAAACTAGTATTTCTATGAAAGGGTTAATCTTTCTGTTTAAGTAGTAGATCACAAACTCTTATATTCTCATTTCCTAAAATCCCAGTCCAAATCCATTACTTGTTCTCGAGAAATCGCTTGTTTTCCTCGAAACGCTCCGTCGATTTAGACCACAATTTTAGAAACGCTCTTACCATTTTGTTTTGATATCATTTTCAGATTATTAGCGAAGAGTTCCGAATCGAATCTATCACTCAAAAACGTGTTGTACTTGTTAGGCAAATTGAAACATCTGAACCTGGTGGTGCTAAACGTGCAACTAGCTGATTAAAGCCTATACATTAGATGATGTCATGCCTACATATGTGCTAAATCATAAAACTATAGAAAAAAACGAAAAGTTATATGTGAATTAATCTTTCTTCTATTGATGCCAAGGGGTATAATAGATCTTTTCTTTCTCTTCCTGAAAAGGAAAGGCAAGCTATATATTTCCTTAACTGATCTAGACTACCGGAGCGTTTCCAATTCACTGTGTTAACCAGATCGGAGCGTTTCTTGAATATGAGAATGTCATCATTTTTAAGACTGGATTTTCGGTCATCAAATCACTATTACGATAATGTATGGTGCGTTGAAGCATAGGAATTTGACTAAAATATACGTTGGTGCTCTAATCTTGGCTCAACTAATCACATGTATCGACAAAAGGGGTTTTGACCGGAAGAATGACAAATACGTTTTTGAATTTTGATAACTATACTGCTTCGTACAGCTCTTCCTAATTGCTTCAAACGTCAACAGCCAGCCACGTACAACATGAATATCACACCCATCGAATGGTATACTCGAAATATGTAACTCATACCTCTTATTCCCATTATTGGGGAAATCGTCAGACGGCTCATCATTCCCGCCAGTCAGTTTTCCTACTCCGGAGCATTTCTTTGTTTAATTTCGCTAATGAAACGCTCCGTCGTGCATGTAGGAGCGTTTGGGTTATACACCGTGTATTAGAGACTAAATAAATGTGGCACCTAAAGATAGATGGCACCTTAATGATTAATGAATATTACTTTTTTAGTTGTGGCACCTAAAGATAGATGTCACCTTAATGAATATTACTGTTTTATTTGTGGCTTACAATATTCATCATTTCCACCAATTTGAAATGGAGATAATATGTAATTGTGCATGAAAAATATGAACAAGCATCACGGCAGATCTTTCACTGCAACTGCCAAATCCAAAGCAGTGTTATATTAATAAAACCAAATGAATTCAATCTAATTGTGAAATATATGTGATTCAGCTTTCTAGCTATCTTGGCTTAGTATTGCCCAATTACACAATGATTGACAGAAAGATCAACTTATGAAGCACATGAATTAAACCTGATTGGCAACTGGAGTAATTGCATTGATTAATCTTTCGAATTGTTATAGCTGAATTGTCAAATTAAGGGTGCCTTGTTGCCACATATTATTATACCATGTGTCTGGACCACCAAAAGTGGAGCTTTATTGTCAAGATGCCAGGCAAACAATCTGAATTCCAATTGAATGTTCCAATTGAATGTCCAAAATTCAGTCAAATTATATATAATTGAACTACACATACAATACTGTAATGAACATTGTTTTTTTTGTGTAAATATGTTTTGTCACCACCATAATTGGTGACATATTGTTATAGTCTCCAACTTTTTGTGAAGGACAGCTGGCGTTCGGCATCTGTAACAAATGACAGGTGGTGACATTTTGCATGTTTATGCTTTATTAACTTTTATTATCTGTTTATTGATAATCCTTGAAATTGTGAACTTGTGTAGAATTGGTAGATCACAAAATTAAAGTAGGTGCATATGACACCCATAATATGTTATCGACTTAAAATTTCAAGTTTGCATTCATTCTCAGAGATCTGCACCCTCTTTAGATTAGCAAAAATATTGCTTGCACCACCCTGAAAATTGATTTGCACCCAGTTGAATTATGAAATGTGAAAATCATGTTTTTGCTAACTTTAGTCAGGATTTTGAGAACAAGAAATTTTAAACAAGCAAAGTAAATTATATTTTCTAGTGAAGAAATATCTGTAAATAATTATATTGTTCTCTGTAATTTCAGTTGCTTGATACTTGGACTCCTCTTGAGAAGGCACGCTATCCTGAATATTTCGCACGAAGAGAGATCCGTAAAGAGGAATACATTAAACGATGGCAAGAAAAATATGGCAATCAAAAAGCTGGGGCCCATTGATAAATACTACCTTAGGACATGTACATATATAGGAAAATAGTATGCGGTTGAATAGCATATGAACATTGATTTGGGATTATAACTGAGCTAAGAGTAGATGAAATGTATCTTAGTGGACACGTTTTATGCTTTGAATTGATATATGAATCAAAACCAAGCCATCTGTTAATATTTGAACTCAAACTGGAGAGAATTAAACCCAAAATTGAAACTTGGATTATGAAACATAATATTGTAAGATGTTCATTCTGACGTCATACACTTGGAAAATTTGGATTTTTTATTGTATGGTGGCATCTTAGACTTTCAAGGATAAATATAATACTGCCAAATTTTTTGTATCTAAAAATACAGAAAAATATGATGAAATTCTGTGTGCTATTTTATTGTTTGTTTTATGCTTGAGTAATGTTCAAGTACAATAAATTATTTACAAACTTACATTCAGTGTTTAGTCGAGTCCAGTGTTAATTAACTGTTCCAAGAACTACAATTAAGCCAGACAATTGAAATTATTTTTTTATGAGTGGAATGACTTAAACTCCAATACATCTGTATCCTTAACTGTTTGTGTCTTTAGAAAGGTGGATGCTTTATAGACCTAGAAATGTTAGGAAAATGTATTTTTGCACAGTACATGGAGCGCCAGGAAATTTTAAGTCAGCCAAAAGGGCCTAAAATAAGCCTATCTGAAAATTTGGCATCAGAAGTGGAAACCTAGTGAAAATGAACAAGCAAAAATAGTCTGTTAGTTAAATTGAGTGATCGGTAAAATGCATGGACATCTTTATGGAAACCATGCGAAGCGAGAAAAATCAAGAAACTGTATTTTTGCCTGGAAATGTTGGAAAATTTCATTCTGAAAAGGTTCCGACTCTGTAGAGAAACATTCATTGAGAAACTATAAAGTGTTTATTGAAAGATGGAGTTCAACTTCAGATGTGATGCGTTACTTGCAACAACTAGATGCTAGATATTGAATCCACAAATCATTGAAGAGATTCCCAGTCTTAATCATCTAATATTCACAGCTTCATTTATAGTTGGCGCCAACTAACCTGTGCAGAAAGTCACAGAGGTTGTACTTTGGATATTAATATACCCAAATCTTATGATTTATCACAATTTAACATGGTAAGGTAGAATATTTTGTTGGCATATAGATAAATCACTTGATAACATTGTGAATGTTAAATCGCACGAGTATTTGGGTGCCACTTGGAAGGTTGTTTTTGCGAGGATGTTGCGTGTTTGACGAGGATTTGTTAATGAATGGAATCTCATTGGACAATGTGAATTTATAGTTGATGTCTGAACTTGTGGTTATAAATGTAGACCTATTGTATATGAAAATGTACAGTGAAATTAAGTTGCAGTTTTTTAGGTATTTTGTCTCCGGGAATTTCATTATAATTTCTGGTAATGATCAAAAAGAAGAAAAATGACAGAAAAATTATTTTAACTTGAAACAGCTGTTACATTTCTTGAAATACCAGGTGCGGGTGACTTTGGTATCAACCGGAAAAGTTGTCTGTTGCCTGCGTAGATTGATTTCCATTTCTTAAACACATTCTTGCTTCGAACAAAATGTATGAATTTGAGTGGAAAGAATTAATTTATCTGAGCATGTGAAGTGTATATTGTTCAGATATTACTATTGTGTTGATGCACAGTCTAATGTACTGGACAATAGATAAGTCTGAGGCATTAGTAATGATACCTAACATTACATATTGTCCTCATGAAGAATTCATGATTCTTAATCGCACAGATGACATTTTAAGGAATTAATTCGTTGTATATTGATTTCCCGGTGATATGGTAAATGATTATTCCGTGAAAGTTGATATTCCATGAAAGATGAGAGGTCGGTGTGACCTGACTAGGTCGTGTCATCACATCCTGGAAATGGATGGCAAAATCGTGTTTTACAGTTACACATTGAGTCATAATATCCTTTAGTATTGATCCATCCTGGCTGCTCAATCCAATATCATCTAATTAGCATGTCTGCATATAAAACGCATAGAGGTTTCTGTAGGAATTAAAGAGATGGACCTTGTGAAAGGTGATTGCAGTTTTAAAAAATAATGAAGACTAGCTCATCTTATAGATGAAGCAACAGAGTGTATACGGGAGTAGAGATGGAAATAAAAAATCAGGATGAGGCTGAATATTTATGATTGCACATGAATAGTGTTAAGTACATGGTAATACAATATTGGAATAGAAGAGCACATGCAAAGTATAGGCTGACACTAATGATACAAATTACTATAAATTGTTGATATTTTATTGTCTAGTTACTATGATGCTGCAACTCAGGTTCTTGCAAAATATGGTGGTCCCCATTTCTATTATACTAGGGTGAGTCATTGTCATTTTATTATCTTCTGTATGTTATTCTGGATGTTAATGTTATTACATCATGGCATATGAAAAATGTCACTATATAGAATTTGTTACACAGTAGGGTTTAGAGTTTTCTTCATTGCGAAGCATTTTGACAAATAAAGCCTCAAAAATCCATCGTTACAAAGCTTTTTTGAAAATGCTTCATAGCAATGTAATTAAGCCTAATTGTAATACTAACCAATGTTCATGCTTTGAAACAATGTGATATTTTACAAAAAATTTACCCTGCGTGCAGAGTCTAGTTAAACTACACTCTGCCTAGTAGAGACCATATTACAGTTTAGTAGCCCCGCCCCCACGACGGGTACCGGTGACAGTTTGGGTAATAAATCACTTCTGACCTACGAGCTGACCTTTCTTCCACCAGTCAGCGAGCTTGAAGAAACATACGCCAAATGCCTTCTAATTAAATATGCGCATGCCATTGGTCAATTCCTGGCTCAACGATGACGTAAGAAGGAATGACCATATATAGAACGTCGGTCAAATTTGGCCGACGAACACTGATTGGCGCGGTGAGTCCACAGGTTTATTTTAGTTTGAAAGAGTGAAGACGAAGCTCTCTTTTAAGAAGTGAAGTCAAACGAATGCAAAGGGTACAAAAAATTGAGCTTGGCAGCTACTTCAAAAATTCCGTGACTGCAGTTTCAATTTCATGTAGCTAGATTGTAATGGATGTTTTCTCATCAAAATCAAACTCTTGAAAAGGATAATGCAATAAAATTGTTAGCCTGAAAACATCTAATTTTGGTATTAACCATATGTTTGATCTTATTACACAAATGGATTGGGGGGAAATCTGATATGAAAAAAATATTGTTTTTGAAGTAAATGGCTTGGAATAAGTCACCAGTGAGATATTATGATCATGGTCTCTCCAGTTGAAAATGATTTCATTTGAAATAACTAAAATCAGTAAAAGCTGTCAAGTGAACACCTCTGTAAGTGGAACACCTGCATATAAGTGGAACACCTGCATGTAAGTGGAACACCTGCATATAAGTGGAACACCTGCATATAAGTGTAACACTCCAAAGTTGTGGAACATCAGTGTGGAACATCAGTGTGGACCATTTATTTTGTGGACAAGGGAATATTCCACTTACAGAGCTTGTACATAATTTTGCACTACATGTATTCTAAAGTGCTTTGTCAATTTTACATGTGATGTTCATGATCTATATTTTGCTTCGTAATAACTCTAGACTTGAGTATTTGAACAACGCAACATATAGCTTATTTTCAGGATCTTGGGTTTTTTGTTGTGGCATTTCGGTCTTATGTCAAAATTTAAGTTTGAACATAACATTGTGTTATTTTCATGTTTAACAAAAAATTTCATTGTATATGATAATAGTGAGTCAAGGTTGTCAATGTCTAAAAGAATATTTATGATGCATTTCCAATTCCAAAGTTTGTTCCAATTTTTCAAGTTAGTAAGTTCAACAGGGTTTAATTGACAGAATAAACTTGCTTTTAATTGTCTTTTTGATATAATGAGAAGTATTTTTCTCTAGGGGTGTGAATAGTTTCATGTTTTATTTGGACTGTTATCTACGATGTTACAGATCTTGGGAATTGAAGCTGGCTTGGTTCTATAATCAAATACCAATATCTTACAGATGAATGAAAAATGATTTTCACTTAGTTGATCATCTAGTAATTCATCCATACACCCCCCCCCCCACACACACAAATGTAAGTGTATCAATTGATAATTTTACTAGAACCTGGGAAATATTGAAGACTGCTTTTCTAATCCATACACCCCCACAAATCTATGTGTATCAATTGATAATTTTGCTAGAAACAGGGAAATATTGAAGACTGCGTTTCTAATCCATACACCCCCCACAAATCTATGTGTATCAATTGATAATTTTGCCAGAAACAGGGAAATATTGAAAACTGCGTTTCTTATCCATACACCCCCCACAAATGTATGTGTATCAATTGATAATTTTGCCAGAAACAGGGAAATATTGAAGACTGCCCCTTTAAGTGTGAAGCTATAAGTGCCCCTTTAAATCTGAAGCAATAAGTGCCCTTTAAATCTGAAACTATTAGTGCCCCTTTAAGTCTGAAGTTATAATCTTTATCTTCATGGGAGAATAATGAAACTGAATTTATTGATGATTTACTTTACCTGTAACATTGATGTAATTAATTTTGTCATTGGCATTTAATCATCTGGATATTATTGTTGGGTAACTGTAAGTACAACTTTGATATTGAACACTGATTCTGAATTTTGACAGTAAGGGATGAGATGTATAGTCCAATTTTACTCCAAAAATCTAGAAATCGGGGACATTGTTATAAAAAATCATGGATCATGGCTTTTTGTTGTCAAAAACAATTATGTATGGCGATATTTAAAAATCGGCAGTCTGGGATTATATTGTGTATCTGATTCCTTCTCCTAATGAAATATGAAATGAAGGGAGAACACATATTTTTCTCATGAAAACGGTCCAACAAAAATGAAGGCAGTCTTCGTTGTTTGAATGATTTGTTTTTCCATCAATATTATTGGTATATTCATGTTTGTTGTTAAAACAATGTAAACATAAAAAACAATATTTTCTTAAGGCAGCTTTCCAAAGACAAAGCCTGGGAGAATTGGAAAAACCGAAGTTCCAATGAATTATGGAGTTTACATTCAAAACAGATAATGGAAACAGTTCTATAAGAAGGTCCTCTTTGAATTATTTCTCACCAAGGGGGTATCTGTTATTATAAAATGAAAAAAAAAACACATTATTGATTCCCATGTTAACTGTTTGAAAAATGAGATCTGTGGAGATTGAATTCAGCCGTTAACCTGATTGATTGGTAATTTTCAAACTATCAAATATTTTATTTATCGCATTTTCTCTCTTTTGAGACATACAAAGCTCTATTATACATCAATATTTTTATTTAGTAGGATATTTTATATAAATCCAATGTAGAATAATGATACTTTAATGTGAAAATGCTTAGGAATCTGAATGTTAACATGCTATTTATTGCTCTTGATGCAAAAACTTGAACTGGGAGCAATTCTAACTGATATACGAGAATCTAAAACATTTTTTCCAAATTATTTATGCCATGTTTTGTATTTTTCAAGAGGTTATATGATTTCACAAAACTTTTGGAGCATATCAAAGAATTTATATTTTTTTGCGTAAAATGTCTCAACACTCAACTTTGCCTCAATACTCAACTTTGCCTCAACACTCAACTTTGTCTCAACACCAACTTTGTCTCAACACTCAACTTTGCCTCAAAACTCAACTTTGTCTCAACACTCAACTTTGCCTCAACACTCAACTTTGCCTCAACACTCAACTTTGTCTCAACACTCAACTTTGCCTCAAAACTCAACTTTGTATCAACACTCAACTTTGCCTCAACACTCAACTTTGCCTCAATACTCAACTTTGCCTCAATACTCAACTTTGACTCAAAACTCAACTTTGCCCCAACTCTCAACTTTACCTCAACACTCAACTTTGCCTCAATACTCAACTTTGACTCAACACTCAACTTTGCCTCAACACTCAACTTTGCCTCAATACTCAACTTTGCCTCAATACTCAACTTTGCCTCAACAATCAACTTTGCCTCAACACTCATTCATTGATCATTTCTTTTTTACATTGATGACTCAATGAGATAATTGTGTTTTAATGATCATATTCCTTTGTTACTTTCATCACATTAAGTTCTGGCATTTGTTGCAAATATTGACTAGTAAACCACAAATAACCGTATTAATCTATAGATCATACTGCTAATTCAATTTATATTAATATCCTAGGACAGATTCAATCAGTTGATGGACAATCAACCTGATTGCTCCTATTTGTCCTGTACCATTTAATTAAGGGACATAACATTGAATATTGGAGGGCTAAAGGGACAGGTCAACTGGTCAATATACGTATGTGTCTACAAATATGATGAATAGCATTTTGGGAGGGGGTAAAGCTAGTTCATTACATTTTATGAGGGAACATTGACTTTTAAAAGAAACTTTAATTTGTGTAAAATCAATACTCATAAATCAAATGTAAGTAAATGTTGAGGAACAAACTACAAACTCTAGTTTTTCATCTAAACAAAACTTAATTATTTTCATTCAAAATTCAGACTGGAAAATTTTCTCTGAAGTACAGTCTTAAAGGATTTAATGTTCTGCCCCTAAACAATGTTACATCAACTAATTATAAGGTGCTTGTATGTGCAACTCTTGAAAATTGATTGTTTTCGCAAATTCATTTCCATGGGGATCTCTTCAATTAATCTAGCGTGACTCAGTATTTGCCTCAAATAGCATTAGGTAACGTTTGTGGCATCAGTGTGATATTCACAAAGTAATTATTCTGGCAGGGGACTTTAATTTTCTCTCTCTATGATTGATAACTTATTTTAGTCCCACGTTCAACTCTCGCCTGCGGTCCACACAGTGCAATCTCCTAGCGATTTTCTTCTTTATTAAACAGCATGAATCTATTTGGTATGTTATTGTATAGAAAATGTGAATCAGTCATTATTTTGATTGTTTGTGATTGTAGGTTAACACAGGCTGGTATCGAAAGATTTGTCCGCTGTGACGGAGCATGCTATTTTTCATAAAAACATTAAGAATGCTTCACGATTTATTTTTTTACTCATATGTTTCGTTATATCAAAGATAATTACTTACTCCATGCAATGGATATATCATTTGCGTGTAACCTTCACTTCTGTTTGAAGTCCAATAACGCTAGGAGTAAAATCTATTGAAAACGGCGCCAGAGTATCAAACTCTAAAATGTACCATTTCTTTTTTAACTTTTTAATGGCATGATATAGTGACACGATAATATTAACATATGTTTAAAGCATAACTCTGAATGTATTAATGAGATATTAATGCATTGGGTCTTTTTAGTTTCTTTAATAAAAAATAATATTAATATTTTTTGTCTGCTGTGACGGAGCATTTTCACAGTTCACATTTGCAACTGCTCTGTCACAGCGGACAAAAAAATTAAACATTATTTTTTATAAAAGAATTAAAAAGACCAAATACATCAACATCTCATTTATACATTCATAGTTATGCTGAAACCATGTGTAAATATTATCGTGTCACTATATCGTGCCATTAGAAAGTTAAACAAGAAATGGTACATTTTGAAGTATGATACTCCGGCGCCATTTTCAATAGCTTCTCTTCCCAGCGTAATTGGACTTCAAACAGAAGTGAAAGTTACCCGCAAATGATATATCTATTGCATGGAGTAAGTAATTTTGTGTGGTATAACGAAACATATGAGTTAAAAAATAAATCGGGAAGTATTCTTGGTGTTTTTATGAAAAATAGCATGCTCCGTCACAGCTGACAAATATTTGATATCAGCCTGTGGTTAAAGGTGCAACAAATATCTGGTTCAAGTTGAGGTAACCTATAACTCATGATAATCTATTGGCAAAATTTCAAAAACTAAATAATGGATATGTATGAATTTGGGCATTTCTGCATCTTAAATCTTTCATAACTTGCATTATTAATCAAATATCTCAATTCTTTTTATTTCAAATAATAAAATTAGAGTGTAAGAGAAACAGGGGCATGTTTTTTTAAATTGCTTCTAATATTTCAGCTTTCTCTTTGCTGCCACTTTATCATTATGTTATTTAATTTTACTTTTTCACAGATTTAATTTTACTTTTTCACAGATGACTTTTATTCATATAGTTACTTCAGAATTAAAACAAACTATAGAGATCTAAATGATCAGAACCACATAATATTAAATAAGCCACAGGCTTCAATTTCTTTTTAGATTGCCTGTTAATGACGATCATGATGGATAGCTGCAATGATAACGATCAACCAAATGTCTAAGATAATTACTGAGATTTTTTGTTGTTATAGCAATGGATGGAATTAGGCAGATCTCATCACACATGAATCAACATTTGAACATTAGAGCCATGAAATAGATTGGGTTCACTTTGATACCCTTTGAAAGAGATAGACCTCATCTTCACTCTGCAAATTAGAGATAACTCTTTAATCAAGCCAATATCCAATCAGAATATGTCGTCAGAAAATCATGATACATTTTCTGCCTGAAGTACCAAACTTTCATATCACATTTAAAACCCTATAGAATCTCATGAAGTTACAACTGTGATTCTATATAAATTAAAGAAAAAATCAACTATTTAAAATCAAATGTGATAGTCAGAGGAGAGTTTGACGAGCTGTTAGGATCCAGGGTAAATTGATTTTCTCATACTGGAGACAGTTCAAAGTATGGTTTAATATCACCTGCTCAAATTGGTCTGATTATATACAGACAAATTGGAGGATTGAACACACAAAATATACAAGTGGTAATAAGTAACACCATGGAAACTAATTGTGTAACCATAGCAACAGAAAAAATGGAGTCAAACGCAATGCAGAACAGACTTAGAAGACGATACATTAGGAATATAATGGTATTGAGTGTGGGATGCATGTTGACCACGATGCCCATATTTGGACTGAGGAATCTTCAAAGTACACTCAATGCCAAAAACAATGTAGGAATTATCTCACTTTGTCTCATGTACGCATCACTTGCAATTGGATACTTAATTGTAGCAGCTATCAGTCAGAAAATGGACATCAAGCGGGCAATTGTGACCTCCATGGTCATACTCCTGGCCTACCCTGTGGCTAATATGTACCCCTTCAATTATATTCTCTACCCTGTGTCATGTTTGGTAGGATTAGCTTCAGCACTATTATGGGTCTGCAAAACGACCTATATTTCCAGTACAGCTATTGTTTACGCTGTAGCAACGGGGAAACACATAGACAATGTGGTGTGTGTTTTTAACGCAGGATTCAATGTAGGATACGGCATTCTATTCCAATGTGGTCGCATAATGTCCAACCTTCTATCAAGCATTGTACTTAGTTTCTCAATGCAATTTCCATTGAACAAATCCGATGACTATTTACTACTAAACTGGGTTCCTGTTGCTATGGAAACAGACAATGAAACCATAGTGACCAATACAACATTCAACAGTTTTGACTACAGTCTGACATGTCCTATTAATGTAACATATCTGAACAACATTACTGAATATACCCACCAATACTCAATGAGACTATCATTCACTGTAGAGGCCCTGCAAGTGCTCTACCTGACATGTTCTTTGATAGGAATCATTCTCACTATGTGCTGTTTGGATAAACTTGATATGGTCTTCAACAGGTCCAAAGTTGGCCTGAAACAACAGCTAAAGGCAATATTTAGTCACCTTGGCAACAGATGGATGTTGTTATTGACGACAATTATGTTTTATCTTGGGGCACAAGAGGCATATCTATTTGGAACTTTCACAAAGGTTTGGTCTTTTTTCAGATATACGTAGATCATCCAATATGTATTTCTTAAACAATACAACTTGTCTGAACTGTCTTTAATCCAATGATAGTTTTATATAAAGAAATATGCAATTTTTAAATTGAACCTTGACAATTTATGCCGATTAACTTCAATGTCTCACTAATTTAAAATCTGACAGCATTTTTTTTATTTACTTTTCATATTTTATATATAATGCTTTGTGTTTGTCAGTATATTACAGGGAAATTGTGTTTTAGGATGGCATAAGTTGTTCAATGGGAAGTCACATGGTTGGTTTCTACATGGCAACCTACATCATCTTGGAGATTGTTGCTATGTCAGTGAGTCAGCCCTTGGAGTCAATGTTTGGTGATGCTGCCATAACAACCCTAGGTAAGAATAATAAAGTAACAACAGGCTCAATCAAGATGTTCATCCTAAAAGGCCTATGTGTGGCAATTAATATGTTATAAAGGAGCAATATGAAACTTGTTTTTCAAAAAATGTAGAGGTTTGTTGACAAAAAATGTAGAGGTTTGTTGAACAATATATAGCAACAGAAAATTCGAAGTATCATTGAACGATATAATAAGAAATAGAATATGGACTCTTAATGCCAATTCTGTTTAATTACATACCTTGGAAACTTATTTTATATCAGTTGTAATCATGTTGACATTTCCTTATCCTGAGAAGTTGGAATCAACTTTTAATTAATAGAGTCATCAACTTAGTATTTGTATAAACAATCACCGACATATTTCTCTCTACATTATTTAAATATGTTTTCTTCAATATATTGATCTATTATTCTTCACTTGTCTCCAGGCATAATTTGCCAGATTTCCACATTAACTTGGCTGTTGCTATGGCATTCGGTGGCTGATATTGTCATGGTGATGTTTGGTCTTGTGGCACTATGGGGATTCACCAATGGCATTTGGTTGACCAAACTAACAGGTAATAATTACTTGTAGAAAACATGCAAAGTATTTCAATTATGATACCATACTTCATTAATCATGAATTATCATCTGATCTCAAATACAATATCTCCCCAAAAATCCGTGATAAGCTGCAAATTGGTGAAGTTTTCACATTTCAAGGTTTCTTAATATGTAAGGCAATGGGAAAATGTGATTTAATTTCTTTCCAGGAATGTCCAGTAAGATGTTTCCCAAGGACCGCTGGGCCACACTGACGCTGCTACGTCTGGTTGAGGGTCTAGGGCTATGTACTGGATTCTCATTCTCTTATGCCTTTGTGCCAGAGACGCAGCTCTACATTCTGGGAGGACTGTTACTACCAGCCTCTGTTGCATTTGTCACTGTTAATTTCTATAAGATTCCTAATGCAGAGCGAATGACATTAGTCTGACAAAATACTTTTACTGCAATACCATTATTCTGGCAAAAACTTTCCAAAGGATTGTCATAAGTTTTTACAAAATTCACTTTTCCCAGTTCTGCCAAAAGTTGGTATAAATATGCCAATTTTCTTGATCACTCAATATGGTACAGGCATGTTTTTAAGTGGGTGAAAACCTATTTTCAATATTTAAAGTGGGTGTAGTGTCCACATGCCCTTAAGTACCAGGGAGATCTCTGGCAGAGTTAAAATATCTGTACATATTATCCTATTTTCACATCTGATTGATGTCTGACAGACACATACAGGGTGGGCCAATAAAAATTGGAACATTTTTCTATTTATTCAATTGTCTTTATTTCTGCAGTTCAATACACAAAAATTTAGATAATGGTAAAATGTTAAAGAAATATGAATGTTTGATTATTTTTGGCTTGTCATGGTCATGATCTGTATTCTGCATGGGTCATGAAAAATTTCCAAATTTTCTCTGCTTGAAACATCACTGCTGAAATTAAAACACAGTATCTTTTATACCATGTGACATGTACCCTTCAAATGGTGTAAACACAATTTCCATCAATTAAAACATATGAAGTTATCTCTAAAAGAAGTAAGACGTGCCTCTCTTGGATAATATAGCTTTATTGACTTCAATTTTTTTTCAAAACTCACACAATATGTCTCAAAACCTGTCATTTAAGCCATGTATGACTGTCAAATGCAGCTCAGATGGATCTTTAGGGTGGGCGGTGGTTCAGGAAACCCTTACGTTAAGTAAATAAATTGGAACAGTTTTCCATCTATTGTTACATTTTTGATAATCATGTATTATCCTCAATAGTTTAGGAAATTGAAAAACAATTTATTGTCACAATCTTGTGTAAATATGAATATACAAGCTCAACATTTAATTACTGAACATGTCCTCTACCCACCTGAACAATCAGTCTGAGCTGTATTTGACAGTCATTCATGCCTTAAATGATAAGTTTGGGACATATTGTGCCAGTTTCGAAAAAACTGAGGTCAGTTAAGCTATATTATTCAAGGGAGACATGTCTAGCTTCTCCTAGAGATAACTACATTTGTTTTGATTGATGGAAATTGTGTTGAAACCATTTGAAGGGCATATATTGTTTGGTATGAGATGCTGTATTTTCAGCAATGATGTCTCAAGCAGAGAAAATTTGGAATTTTTTCATGACGCACGCAGTATACAGATCATGACCACGACAAGCCAAAAATAATCATACATACATGTACATATTTTTATCTTTAACATTTTCACAAATAATCATTTTACCATTATCTGAATTTTTGTGGACTGAACTGCAATAATAAAGAAAATTGAATAAATAGAAAAATGTTCCAATTTTTATTGGCCCACCCTGTAGTTCCATAAACATAACAATAATTCATGTCTATTGGTCATTTTTACTTTACATAATGTACATCAACTAGACTACATGTGCACACTCCATTTGTAATTCATAAAAGGGAAGTTAAGCTACACATTTTAAAGAGAACTTTTATGTGAACATGTAGAAGTAGGTCCTCTAGGGTTTAGTTCTCACCTTCATAGTATAGTGTTTACTTGCCATATTGCCATAAAGGTTGAAGAAAAAAATTAATTAGGTCCCTGGAAAAACCAATTCAGGTCATTAAATTACATGTTCATGTAGAAGTTCTCTTAAAAACAAGTAGCTTAACCTCCCGAATAGTATAGGTGTAATATTTTGTACCTGTATCGTGATTGAGCATAATACATACATGTACTAATATGTAGACATGTATTACATACAGCATGCAAAAAGTATGTTTCAAACTACAAAAAAAAACATTTACAATTTTGTATCACAATAAGACAAAACAACTGTTTCTTTTGATTTGGATTAAAATATTTTCTGTACTGTACAGCATATAACTACATGTACATTGTAACGACAATATTATAAAACAATAGTTTTTTGCAAACATTCAAATATTTATAACAGCAACAATAAATTTTAACATCAACAATAAACTATTTTCATTTCATTAATACATGCATTTAGTCTGGGATAAAGTCTCAAAAATGCATTTAGTCTGGAATAAAGCCTCAAAATGCATTTAGCATTTTAGTAAGCCTAATAAATGCCAGATTAGATAAATGCAGCAAAACCTGTGTTTATGGATGGCACACAGATGAGCTGTGATGAAAATAAGATGAGAGAAAGAAAGGGAATGTTGCCCATATGAATGAAAAGAGAAAGGAGAGACTTAGTTTATATGGCGGAAGCTGGCACCATGCATGGTGAGAAGGTTCTTAGGGACATCAATAATGTGGCCCCAAAACTTAGGCATAACATGGCAATAACCTCATAAAAACCAACTAGCCAAATATAAGACTCTGTAGATAGATAGGCGTTCCTTTAAGAGAGTTGGCTCATTACGTGCAAGCCTATTAAAAACACTCATATAGAAAGGTGTTCCTTACAGAAAGGTGTTTGAACTGACAGGTTCTACTGTGTTGTTAAAAGCCATTTCTTTAGGTGTTGAACGAAACTAAATTGCAACCTCAAATTCATCCCTTAAGAATAAAGAAAAACTTTAGACCAGGGTTTTCCAATATTTATACTAATACGAGGGGGTATCATTAATTAGTGATACAATTCTGAGGCAGCATCTTATATTCATTCAATTGCAACAAAACTTGGTATATATATCCCCTGAGGAATAGAGTATTGAATGAACATACTCATTAATTTATTCCAATAGATACCTAGCAACAGTGGTTACCATGGCAACGATTGCTAGGGGACTATGGAGCAGATAATAAATTAACCGAAACCAGGGCACATTTTACCTTATATGTTTTAAGCTATATGATTAAATGGAACATATTCAATAGAGCCATCGAGATATAGGGGACTTGGAAAATATGACGTAAAATCCTGAAGTTTTTTTTATATTGATAACTGCTCCAGGGTACAGGTCATGACGTCACAGAGATATCTCTCTAATCACTATATGTTTGAGTTAACTTATCAAACTACATGGTAAAAATATTAATGCAATTAAAGCAAATTCAAAAAAGTTATGGCACTTTTCTCACTAATTAATGATACCCCCTCGTATACTGTCAGTCCAATGTTCATTCCTATTCATTGGGCCAAATAAACAAGTAAGAAATATGAGCCTAAAGGCAAGCAAGCAAGTATTAAAGTGACCAAGATTAATTTACAAAATTAGACATCATGTTACATTTTAGAATTGTTCTGATTACATTTACACTTCATAGTTCCTCACAATTTCTAATTTTTATGAAGTGTGAAATATCCAACACAAGTAAGCACAGCTTGAATTCCATTTTCAGTTTTACTTTGATTCTACAGAGTGAGGCTTTTCAAGATTACTTAGGTCATCACGACCTGCAGGCAATACCATCAGTCAAAATAGATGAAATACAACATTATAATGATATTCTATAAATCCCATGTGAAGTTATGAACCTTTCCTATTATGGAGGGGACACTTAATATTCCACAGGCTGATTTCCAATAAATGTGATATTAATATGGCTAAAATCACTGGAGAAGGGGGGGGGGGGGGGTTCCCAGAACCCTGCGAATCCCCCCCCCCCTTGGATACCGGCCTTGGCAGTAACTGTTGTCTGACCCATGACCTTAACATTGTGAATATGATAGATTGTAATGTAGGTGACTGTAAATAGATGGCAACAATGTCAAGGTTTAATAATATTGGAATATTAAAGAAATATTAAAGGCTACGTATCTGATAACATCCCAATACATGTACCTCATTAAAACCCTCAAGATGTACAGCAGCAAAGACAATATAATCCTAAACGTGTGGAACAACATTTCTTTGCTTGATTTTTACAATGGATTTAAGGTTTGTAAAACCAATATTAACATGCTATCAAATATGACAGTAAATGACAAAAGTCTCGTTAAGACCTGACATCTATTATGTCAATATGAGTGCATTCATTTGCAAGTATACCCCTCATGCCTTGGTCACATTTGCTACGATTTTCAGTACGGCGCCCGGCCGATTGAGTATTTTCAAAATTGAATACATATTTGAACAAAACACTCAATCGGCCAGGCGCCGGCCGATGGATCGGAGCAAATGTAACCCAGGCGTTAGAAAAGTCTCCAATGTTAATTTAATTCCCAGAAACTAAAATTCAACGATAATCTACAATTTTATGATAGCAACACTTTGAATCACAATTTACCATAGCAACACTTGAATTCACAATTTACCATAGCAACACTTTGATTCACAATTTACCATGACAACACTTTGATTCACAATTTACCATAGCAACACTTGGATTCACATTTTACCATGACAACACTTTGATTCACAATTTACCATAGCAACACTTTGATTCACAATTTACCATAGCAACACTTTGATTCACAATTTACCATGACAACACTTTGATTCACAATTTACCAGAGCAACACTTGGATTCACATTTTACCGTAACAATACTTTGATTCACAATTCACCATAACAACACTTTGATTCACAATTTACCATAGCATCACTGATTCACAAGACACCGTGGCAATTAAGTTCACATTTCACAATAGCAGCACTTTACAATTTTACAATGGCAACAGTTCACAATTTACCATAGCAACAGTTCAAGATTTCACCACAGCTGACAAACATTTCACAATTATATTTTAAAATATTACAATTGCATCACTTCATGATTTTACCATAGAAATAATGTCAAAGATCTTGGAATTTATGACTCATACTTTTGAGAAACAGATACTGACTGAATATAACAGCTATTTTCAGTATCCATTCTTTTGAGGTCAGAAGTTTTATTCTCATGACAGAAATTCTCGTTCTACAGCATTTGCAATTTCCTCGTCAACTGACCCAATGGAATCATCATAATCACTATTATCTGACCTGTCACTCTCAACCCCCTCAATAAGTTTCAATGAGCCTTCAGTTTCCTCTGTATCATTCCTTTTACGTTTTGGTGCTATGCCCCACCCTTTCGGGAACTCTCCACTCATACTCTCAACACTTGATTCTGAATCTGATTCGCCACTTAAAACTTTCTTACGAATTCTGTTAGCAGTCTCTGTTGAGTCATTAGAGCTATCGGATTCGTCGAAAATGTCCTCGACTTCTTTGTCCATGTCACTCAGCTGATCTTTAGAAAAACTGTACAAGGGGTTTATTTCGTCACTAAATTTCCGGCGTTCCCTTACAGCTGGTTTTACAGTCGTGTCTGTTTTCTGTTTAACCGGAGCTTGATATCCGAATTCATCATCAAATTCAATGTCCTTAGCCTCCAATTGCTCACTGTTGGCATCTCCTGAGTTATTAACCTTGAGTTGTTTTGAAGGCGGTGATCCTTTTTGAGCCTGATCTTCCGCTTTTCTCTTTTCCCGTTGATGCTTAACATCTGGACTGTTTCTCGCAAAAGGGAGGGAGATATCATGCGTTAATTTAAATAATCGCTCATCAACTTTTTCCCAACGTTCCTCACAGCTCCACAGCCAATCAGGAGTAACTATCCATATTCCACCTTGTTTTTTCGCCTGATTTACCTGAAATACACAAGATTACACACTTTTGAATGATATGTTTATTTTGAAATTCGATGTTTATATTGCCCAATGATGGCAATGTCTCCTTAACACAGATCAGTGATCTCCTTTGTATTACAGCAACTTGGTGCTACTTCCAGCTGAAATTCCAAAAAATGATATGCCAGCTAGCTGAAAATATTTTTGCATGTTAAGCCAAAGGGCTCAAATATTGAGAAAAAATTATGACCGAAACAGGTGAAACAAGGATTTGGCAAATTGTTCAGAAAAAGGGAAGATCACTGAAGACGTCGTAAATGGTAGGAATGTGAAACTGAGGAGGTTACTGAATATGTCCATTTTTATGCTAAGTTGTCAGAATCAAAAGTACTTTACCTTTGCTGTTCCTAATTTAGCAGCCATAACATGGGTGGTCCTTTCTGTTGTACGAGGGTCAGCTTTAGATACAAAGTTGGTGTGAATTTTTGCCCCAAGAGCTTTGGCAACTGTGTATGCCCTACTCTTCTCTGGGGGGAAATTTGTGGGGAAAACTCCGCTGAACAACACACAGCATTCTTTGAGAACATTAGCGCGAAATTCTGGAATAATTTGTTTTAGATTTGGCAAATCTTTTTCTGATTTTTCAATTGCTAAGTCATATTTTTTAAAATACATCTCATGGATTTTAGTGAGTTTTTCTTCAAGGAAGTGTAAATGATCGTCGTCATCAATCATTTCAATCAAGTCCTCCTCCTTCACATTTTGTCCATCGGATGCAGGTGTTAAAATCTCAGTGATACATTCACTTGTCTCAATTGTCTCATCTTTCTTGGTCTCATCAACTTCTGCACTTTCAGGTTTTATTTCATCATCCTTCATCACTTCATCAACTTGAGTGTCCTTTGCTTTGTCAACGCTATCAGATGAAGTTGTCTTCTCTTCATCTTCAGCTTCGTCATCTTCCATTTTGAGATCATCACTCAATGTGTCAGTAACACTTACTTTATTGACTTCATCAGATGTTGAGTCGTCCCTTTTAATAAGGTCTTTGCTATCACTGTCTTTGAGATCTTTAACTTCAGGTGCAACATTGTCATTAGCATTGGTTGATTCAAGTGTCGCATCAATTGACACTGTAGGATCACTTGGCTCCTCTTCATTTCCTACATATTTTGATTCATTTGCATCCTTAGTTTCAGTTGTTTCATTTGTAACGGCGGAGTCATCTGATATACTAGAATCAGATGTTTTTCCAGTATCAGATTCATTAATATTGCTAGGTCCAGTGGAGTCTGACAATTCACCATTCAGTGCTGCCTTTGAGTCTTCAATTTCATGTTTTAGATCAACTGATTTTGGTTCTGGCAATGGGTCGTCATCTACCACGTCCCCTTTGACACCAGGGGGTGCATTTATATCAGCCGTTCCTTTAAATATCTTGTACGGTTTCACATGGACAAGATTTGGAGCAAAATTCCAGACATCTTCCCGATCATCTATGATGCATACCATTGCATCACCACAAGGGAACAACGACCTGGAACATATGGCTAGCAATGAGTAATTCATTTGACTATCATACAACCACTAGAATGCTAAGGTCTGAGGTCATAGGCAATGAACATAGACTAAACAATTAAACTGATTTTAAAAAATAAAATTGTCATTTCATAGTTCATTGTACATATGTACTCAAAATTTTTATTAATTATTCCAATTTTGACTACCTTATGTGCTTCTTAAGATCCAAGCTATGTTAGCATTCTTTACCATTTTTAGAAGACACTTTCTATCATTTTAATCATATGTATTCTGTATTGAGATATTATATTGTACTCTTAACAAATTCTGTACAGGCACGATGTTGTTTGGAAAACACTACTGTGTTTACCCTTGTAAAACTATATAATCAAAACTTACCCCAAGTTGGCAGTTTTTGAGTTGGAACTAAAGCACTCATCTCTTGAAAGTATTCTGTGAGAGAAATATTTCCCATCAGGATCTAGGAATCTGGCTATAGTGTGTGCATATGCCCGAACTCCAAATGTGCAGATATGGAGCTCGTACATTTTGGAAATTTTCTCTAGGAATTGCTCTGTGTGAGGTCTGAACTTTGTGTGATACCAAAGCTTGCCTTGGCCGTGTCTCAGCTGGAAGTGCTTCACATCCTGTAAAAACATAAAAAACATTTATAAGCAAGTTAAGTGATTATATACAGTCAGAGCAGAATGCTTTAAGATAAATGTTGTCAAAATTTTCATGGTGGGCCTATAATTCGCCATTTTGGAGATCATCTTTAAGATATGCCTTTTTTAAAAGTTTTTTTAAGCAAAAATAAGCCTCAAGTTTTCAAAATACAGGCCTTTACTGTTTAAAGATGGGCAAACATTTCAAAATCTCCCCTCCTTGTGGCCTTTCCAGATGTACACCTGGTACCTCAGTGTACCTCATAGCCATAGAAGATATTGAAAAATTAAATATAATATGAGGGTCGAAATAACACTTCAGTCATTTTAATCCATGAATATATCGATGAATCCTGTTAGGCTGAGATTATAGATAATTCCTCTATTGACAACTAGAAAAACAGCAACTCCACGGAGTAGCAAATCCCACCGAACAAAACATGTTTTGATAAAAAAATTGAGCCAAATTCATCCACTGGTATTTGAATTATCAAAGATTATGTTTTTATGAAACATGGTTGCCATTTTGAAATTCAGCTGTCATCTTTAGATTTCTTCTTTAGCAGAGAATGTCCGTCCAATGGTATCTGGGTAATCAAAGATTACTTTTTTAATGAAAAATGGCAGCCATTTTGAAATTCAGCAATCGCCTTTGAAATTTCTTCTGAAGCAGATCTCCTTTTTCCCTAAACATCAGCATATAAAATTGGAACCAAATCCATCCACTAGTATTTGAGTTATCATTAATTACGTTTTTTACGAAAAATGGCGGCCATTTTGAGATTCAGTGCCCATCTTGAAAATTTAATTTTGAGCAGAACTTCTTTGTCACTAGGCATCAGCATATAGAATTTGAACCAAATCCGTCAACTGGTATTTGAGTTATCAAAGGTTACGTTCTTTTATGAAAAATGGCGGCCATTTTGAAATTTAGCTACCACCTTGAAAATCCCTTCTTGAGCAGAGCTCCTATGTCCCTAGGCATCATCATGTAAAATTTGAACCAAATCCATTCAATGGTATTTGAGTTATCAAAGATAGCGTTTTTTTACGAAAAATGGCCGCCATTTTGAAATTTAGCTGCCATCTTGAAAATCCTTTCTCGAGCAGAGCTCCAATGTCCCTAGGCATCAGCATCTAAAATTTGAACCAAATCCATTCAATGGTCTTTGAGTTATCAAAGATAATGTTTTTTACGAAAAATGGCCGCCATTTTGAAATTTGGTGGCCATCTTGAAAATGTCTTCCTGAGCAAGGCTCCTTTGTACCAAGGCAACAGCATATAAAATTTGAACCCAATCCATCAACAAGTATTTGAGTTATTAAAGATTATATTTTTTCCAAAAAATGGCTGCCATTTTGAATTAAGTGGCCATATTGAAAATTCCTTCTCGAGCAGAGGTCCTACACCTAAAAGGCATAAGCCTATAAAATTTGAATGAAATCCGTCAACCGGTATTTGAGTTATTGCCCGGACACACGAACGGACGGACGAACGGACGGACGAACGGACGAACGAACGGACGGACGGACGGCTTTTCTATATCCCCCTCGAACTTCGTTCGGTGGGATAATAACTCTTCACACTTTCAACATGTTTGATCTCACATGGAATACAATGTATGCTTCAGAATATACATATTTGATGTGATCAACTTTGCCTGGCTATGTGAGACTTCCATAGTTTTTTACCTTTAGATTGGGTGCAACATTGTCATTAGTGGTGTGAATAAGGGTTTGGTCAAGGTCCACCAGCAACACCAGCTTCCTTGCCTTTGTAAGTCTTTCCTCATCAGCCTTGCCCAACTCTTGGGCTTGCTACAAATACATATATTTTAAAAAATATACTGAACATATACAGTATTAACATAGTAGGTCTTTCATCAACTCCCGAGCTAGTGGAGCTATTGTGGACCAATTTAGCTAGTAAAGGGATATTTCAGTTAGAGTCAAAAATTTGAAAATTGTAATGAAAAATTGCAGCAACTTTGAACTGATTAATATTTTAGAACATTCTGTCTTGAGCAGTCTTCAGTATCATTAAGCAGTAGCATGTAACATTTAAAAGAAATCTGACAACTGGTATTTGAGGTATCATCATCCAGTCAAATGGCTGAACAAACAAACTGACAGACAGAAAAATAATTGGGTGACCACTCTATATTCATTTTTGTTTACCACCAATGAAGGTGAGCAATACCTCTTGGGTATATCCCATATATACGGTCGTAATTAACGTAATTAGCCTGGAAGATAGACCCAGAAACCCCTCCCCAAAGGAGCCCTGTGTGCACCCATACATAGACATACAAGTACACACCGCAGCCTTTTGTACGAGTTGTGGACCACTCGGTCAAACACCCTGAAGTACTTTATGCAAACAAGCAAATTAAGTCCTGCCTGAACCGCTGGGCTGTACGGGTGGGCATTTTTTGAAAAATTGTTTGATCAGACAGAAAAAGATGCCTATGTGTCATGCTCCCTGTCTTCTCACTTATGATTTACCCATTTGCCTGATCCGCACAGTGTTTCCTTTTAGTCTACATATGCATATTTATTTTAGTATATTATTCATCCTATGCTAAAGAGAGGTTTAGGGAGATAAGTTGGTAAGATATATCCTGTATCCTGATTGAGAGGGTGCCATATCCAGAATCTCCATATCTCTAGCCTTGCCCAAGCCGGTCTCTTTTACTATCTTGATTTCTATTATGACCGCCTTGTACAAAAGAGAAAGCCACGTGCTTTACCGACTCAATGTTTATGTCGGTAAAATTTGACCAATCAACGACGGCCCTGCAGCGTTAGCTCATTATTATGCACAGTCAAAAACAAGTACACTTTTCGCAGGGACTTTTCACGAACAAATCTTGCATTAATTCATCATGAAAATACAAATATTTTATCAGATAAATATCAATCAGAGTTTAGTGGATGCCGGAGCATCGATCGGTAACCGGAGGTAAGAAGATTTCAACTATAAACGTTGAAATGATCGCTGAATTCAAATGAACATGTAGAGATTCGATCACTGACTGACGACTACATGACCCGCTACATTGGACTAGGTCTTGCATTTTCATCGCGAAATCAGTTTTAAATCTATTGCATGATTTAATTTATATTAATGTACATTTAATTACATTATATATTGTAACTCTAAAGTAACGATCGATCAGATCATTAAATTTCAAGTCGTAGACGGGAAGATTGCTTTGCTTATGCAGGTCAACCTGATAACATTTTGATTGGTCAATCAGCCTGAAGTCACACGTCGTGTCCACGCATATACCTGTCAATCAATAAGGTTTCGCGATACCCCTGATAGCGTAGGTATTATGGAAATCTCGAAACCGTTGAATATCTCAGCATAATATCAGCGGAGATGTATTGGATTGTACAAGGCGGTTATAATTCAAGATCAGATAAGTAATAAATACCGACTTGGGCAAGGCTACATATCTCCTGCTCCCGGACATATCTTACCACTTCCGGCAATTGAAAGAAATAATTCTTAAACTTTGAAAAAATATATAAAAAAAATTGGGGAAATGAAATCTTGAAAAAAAAATCTTGGAAATAAGATTCTGAAAAAAATTTGAATTTTTTTTTAGAAAACTATTGGGTATAGGATAAGGCAGATATGTGCGATCCTTTTGGTATTGGGGTTTATCTCATGAGAGACATTTCGGCTATTTCACACTATTATGTGCAAATTGTACCTTGGTCTTGTTATAGGGCTCAAACAGGAATAACTTAGTTCACTTGCAAAGTCTTTTGTCATGTTAAAATACTTGGATACAACCAGTCTTACTTCCTACAAAACCCTCAAGATCATTAGATCATTTTCAGTAGCTTTTCCAAAAATTTCCTCACCGTTATGGAAAATACCATTTTATCTATTGTACAAATTTCACAAGGTAGAAAGGAAAATTTAATAGTCAGATAATACATCTGTTGGCTTGATTACACATTCTGATACATATTACATGAAGTTGCATGGAACACAAGTTTCTTTTCCAGCAGCAGTAGTAGATTTTGTAAAAGCTGGTAAAAGTAGAATTTCCTGTATTGTCTGTAGCCCCCTTGCTTTTAAAGGTTTGAAAGGGAGTATGAAACAATGGTTCTCTATTTTAATTGCTCTCATTTTGGGCTACACTTATGCAAAAATAAAAACAGTAGTCTTGCAATCTTTATCATTTTACATGGTGAGAAACATGAAATGTAGTGTCTGTTACCATGTAGTGTCCGTAGCCCAGTTGAACTAAATCACACATTATTCACAAGTGTTTGCCTGTTTGTTACATGTTCCTGTTATGAACATACATAAGAGGTCTGAAATAAGTCTTATTAAAAGTGTTTCGTGTTGTTTTGATGTGAGCTCTTTTTTCAAAGGACATTTTGTCAGATGGAAGGATGAATAGGCTTTCTGAAAATTTGGCACTTTTTATGTTTTTGTTTCTAATATGTGATGATGGCATCGTGTCTGAAAATAAGTTAATGATGACAATTGTTCATTAATCTCCTTATTTGGCAGTGTATGAGTATATTTGCTAGCAAGGGCTACGGACACTTTGCAACCCATTTGCGCACAATAGCATGAAACAGCCGTTTGCATATCTACATATGGTCCCCGGGCTAAGGTAGATATGCATATCTACCTCTAAATAAACCCCCAGTACATAACCCTTATATTTACTTACCTCTTTACTGATGACAAGCTCTGGAATATTGTGTACCATTCTTACAGATGCCTCAGAATCAACTGTTTCCTTGTGTTTAGCTGACACATGAGAGTCTCTGTAATAAAATATGGTTGACATTTCACTATATTCATGTATTTCAATTAACAATGTAAACTGAAAAATACTGGGTACCATCATGGGCTTTCAACTTTCAACTAATTGAAAGCCCATGGTACCATATAAAGATGGTCATGCAAAAAAAAAAATTTCTTACTTTCTGAGGTCAGCTCCACACTCAGCGCACATATCCTTCATAACAATGGGATGAAGGCATCCTTGTAATTTAAGGATCTCTTTTCTGAAACAATAATGTTTTATGTCTTTTAAACATACGGTATGCTGTGGATTGCATGTAAGACCAATCAATGGCTATGAAACTGAACATTGGAAATCTCTTTCTTGGGATAATATTCAATATTTCTTGATCAGTACAGAAAATGGTGATAATTTCCACAATACACACAATCAATGCCAATAATGTTGGGAAAATTTTATAAAGTTTCTGTACAGTAAATAGCAGCTCAGTTTTAGCTAACAGTTTTAAATAACCTTTTCAGCCCTCTGAAAATGTGACTGAAAAATATCTAAGAGTCGGTGCTCAGGAAAGGTCAGTGAACAGAATCTTTTGACTTTTTCAGAAAATGTGCCCAATATATTGCTTTAAATGATACAATTTTAAAAATTTCATATCATTCTTAGAAAAAGAAAAAAATGAAAAAATTGAATTTAAAATCGATCTATTTTTCTTTTAACTACAGCCATTATTGTTTCAGACGATTTTTTTAAATTTCAAAGATTGTATCATTTAGAGCAATATATTGGACACATTTTCTGAAAAAATCAAAAGATTCTGTTCATTGACCTTTCCTGAGCACGTACTTTTGGCTATTTTTCAGTCACATTTTCAGAGGGCTGAAAAGGTTATTTCATCATGTTTATGGTCATTCTGACCATTTTCATTGTGTTCCCGGTCATGTAAATGATATGTGGAACTAGTTAAACTGACTGGAGGTCCAAAGAGAACTCTGTTATCTTGGTTCAAAAAATTTTCAAAATCCAGCATGGTTTTCACATTTTTTGTTTTGTCATTTCCTTTTAACTTCCATAGCACCTTAAGGTTCAGCTGGAAAGTAACATTTTGGTAAAAAATTGCTATACCTGCACATGTTATTTTCTGGTACAAAATTAAGTATGAAGGCATGTGTGTATTTTCTTGCTTTTTTCAGGAAAGTATCATTACATTGTCTACTTTTAGTAAACCTGGAAACAGATCAATGGTAGCGCCTGTGTTGTCTGGAAACTTTGAAAGAAAATTTGGAAAAATAGAAAGTGTGAAATATCAGAATTTCCTGGAGTTACCATTGAACTCCTACCAGATATTCTAAAAGAAAACAATGTAATGATACTTTCCTGAAAAAAGCAAGGAAATTGCACATGCTATCTATTGCAAGACTTACGCCTGCCACAACCGTCACCATGTTAATCAATGTTTTTAAGTAGCGCAAGGATCCTGCCATGACCGTGGTAGTGTTATCGTGTAAGCCTGGTATAACCGTGACAGGCTGGTATAACCGTGACAACGCTGTATTATATTGCAAGGCCTGTCATGACCCTGGGAGTGTTATCGTGGAAGCCAGGCACGAATATAGCCTTAATTGTGGTTTATAAGCGAATGTAAATATTAATGTATAGTAGTAATTTTGATTTTGACATGATTAAGGTAGTTAAACACCATGATCATAGTATTAAACTGTTTAATTGTAATGACGATCACTTAAATTGTTAAGGATATTCCTGGCATTAATGTCATACATATTTACTAGTCATTGCAATACATTATAACGGTCATAGTAGGACTAAGCCTAAATTTCTACATTACCACCCTCATACCTGGCCTTGCAATATTATATTGCATTGTCACGGTCATACCAGGCTTTGCGATCTCATAATACATTGTCACGGTCATGCCACGTTTTGAAATACACATTGTCACGGTCACGTATAGCCATCATAAATATCTACATTACCACTCTCATACCCGAACTTGGAATACTATATCACATTGCCACGGCGGTCATACCAAGCCTTGCAATACTATATTACATTGTCAGGGCCATGCAAGGCCTTGCAGTACTATATTACATTGCCACGATCATGCCAGGCTTTGCAATACACATTGTCACGGTTATAGCAGTCCTAATCGTAAATTTCTACATTACCACTCTCATACCCGAACTTGCAATACTATATTACATTGTCATGGTCATGCCAGGCCTTGCAGAACTATATAACATTGTCACGGTCATGCCAGGCCTTGCAGTACTACAGTATATTACATTGTCACGGTCATGCCAGGCCTTTCAGTACTATATCACTGGGGATGAACTGGAAACGAGGGAGGTTTTGCCTCGTATCAAAATGGCGGCGCGTGAAAAAATTTCATTCGGTAAGATTTTTGTTTTTTACAATTTTAGTGCTTTTATCCTTCAAATTAAAACTTAATATTTGGCAAGTAAATAGTTCATAAGTTCCGGTTTTATAATATGATTACAAATTAGAAATCAATACTGGCATTGCTGAGATATTTACATATCAATTCTCTCACTTAGGAAACGAGGCATGTTTCTCAAGGAAACGAGGCAGCTATATAGCATTCTTAAGAATGAAACGAGGCAACAATATTTAATTAAAAATGTTTTGTTTTTATTACAGAACGGGGCCTACAAAAAGAAGCGTCCCTGTTCAAATGCTATTTCTGTAACACAGGAAACGACAACGTTGCTGATATTGTATTCCATATGATGCAACAACATGATGGTAATCTCTTTGTACGGAAACGGACGTTAGATGAGAAAACAGGTTTATTATACACGTCTCATCATTTTGGCGTTGCCATTGAACGTTAAGAACGCTTAAGAAGGAAGGGCATACTGTGATGATAAATTATGATATGCAGTTGAGAATTAAACGACGGATCGAGAGAGAATCAAGTAAATAAATATTCAAATTATTAACAGTTTGATTGTGTTTTGTTGGTTAATAGCAACTGAGTTTCTATATGGTATGCCTTTGGGCGAATGTTCCCCTTTATAAAGGCGCACATGGGCGTTTATTTCCTTTTAACTGATGTCGCAAAACTTGTAAATGTTTTATACTTGATTGCAAATAGTTATGAATTGCCAGAAATGTAAAATTATTTTGACTACTCTGTACGAGGTATGCATATAAGGAGTTATTAATGTGCCCTAAACCAGGGTCCCTCTACATCCCGCTCTACATGTACATGAAGCAGTATAAGCTGCTATCAGATATATTTCTTTATAGTAATGGCATTTTCTTTATTTTCATTTTCAGGTGTAAACATCTCAAATTCTGATTTTGTAAATGAGCAGTCCAATGGATCTATACAATTGCATGATGAACCAACAATTGATTACCCTGATGACGATGGTCTCGACGATGATCCAGACGGTGATCTCGACGATGATCTCGAAGAACTCAAAACAATAATTCCCCGAGTAGTTGAAAAAATGCAGAAAATAAATAGATCATCAGATTTTATATCCGCGTTGAATAACATTGCAAGTGGAGCATTGGAGGGCAACATCTCACTTCATCTTATGCTTGATATAGGTCGCTATCTTAGGTAAGAAACACATGAAAATATCATTCACACCGCCTCCCCATGACAACACAGTGTCGACTTATATGTAAATCGTGTATACTGATTACGTCTATTCTGTTAATCAAGTGGCTATAAAGCTATACTTATTTTAAAAAACATGAACATAAACGTTTAATATTGTGACCCCGGGAACTATTGTTTACTTATGGATTGGTATACGAAGACCTAATAAAACAATTTTTCTGATACCTTTGTAATCATTTAGGCAAATAAAGACAATGATGAATGAAGGCTAGAAATAATCCCATGGAGATTGCAATTTTACACATTTACGTACACTTCTCTTAAAAACGTGTAGCTTAACCTTCCTACGTACTATGTACACAACAGGATGAGTATGATCAATTATGGGTAACTTTATTCGCGTTTCATAAAATTTGCCCTTTGATTTAAAAGATATACAGGGTTCTCACCAGGAAATTTTTAGAACCCGGCAAAAAAATTCAGCATTTCCGGCATTTCACAGATCTCCACCCCCCCCCCCCCCCCCCCCCCCCCCCCCCGTGAAAGCTGAAATGATAGTATTTTCTCATCGATGGGTTCAACCCCCCGCAATTTTTTCAAAAAGTGCCCCCTCCTTGGTAAATCCTGGCTGTTGACCTGCAATAACCAGTATATGTAGCACTTGGGCAGTAGGAAAATTGCCTCCAAAAATGGTATTTTTCTTGCTCAAAAGTAAACAGAGTCAGCTTTAGATCTTAGAATATGTTTTCTAGTCAAACATTTCAGAGAAATATTGCTGTCTTAATGAGAGTATAAAGATTATCATTTCTATACCAGATCATAGTGAAAATATTTAAATCCCAACTTCTGATTGTCATGCAATCATGTGGTATAAACTTTCAGATTCAAATTTCCCACTCATTTATACATTCCTCAAGGAAGCTTTATTTAGTGGCTGTTTTGTTTTAGAATTTCCCTCCCTAAGATTTAATTTTTATTATTTAATCTACATGATAGAATGGGAATTGCAAATTAAATTGGAGGGAGTATGTTTATAGGAATCAATTGCTAGTTTTTTCTCAATAGATGTCTCTCTTCAAACTACAGGAAGTAAACAACTTCAAAAATACTCTTAATGATACGGTGATTTCAATTGAAAATCACCGGTTCTTAAGACCTTTATTTTAGAAAATTAGAATCTGTAAGGTAAGTAAACACTTTATCTTATGTTTTGAGAAGTTGTAGCTCAAAAGCTGAGGTGAAAGAGCATAAAAAGTGGCAAGGAAAACTTTTTTCAAAAATATTTTAGATCCCGGCGGCATTCATTTTTAGCACCAAAGACCGGCGTTATCAGGTTTGAACACGAGAGCGTCCGGCGGCCCGCCGGAGTCTAAAAGCCTAGCGAGATCACTGATATAGTGTAAGATACTTTTGGAAAGAGACGTGACTATTTTAACAATATGGTTATTCTTTTTAACTCTTACATATATAATCATGTATATCGTGTAAAACGTAATCGGTCGTATGTGACCAGAACGGTGGAAATAAGATCATTAAATGTAGACACTATCACAGAAAGAATAGTTGCCTCGTTGCAAGTAAAACATTGCCTCGTTTCATTGTTACAAAATGTAGACAGGTGCCTCGTTTCCTAAGTGAGAGAATTGAAATGTAAATATCTCAGCAATGTCTGTATTGATTTCTAATTTGCAATCATATTATAAAACCGGAACTTATAAACTATTTACTTGCCAAATATTAAGTTTTAATTTGAAGGATAAAAGCACGAAAATTGTAAAAATCAAAAATCTTACCTAATGAAATTTTTTCACGCGCCGCCATTTTGATACGAGGCAAAACCTCCCTCATTTCCAGTTCATCCCCAGTGTATATTACATTGTCACGGTCTTGCCAAGCCTTGCAGAACTATATTACATTGTCAAGGTCATGGCAGGCATTGCAATATAATACAGCATTGTCGCGGTTATACCAGGCTTTCACGATAACATTACCACGTTCATGGCAGGATCCTTGCGCTACTTAAAAACACTGAATAACATGGTGACGGTTATGCCAGGCGTTAGTCTTACAACAGATAGAGTCTTGGAAATTGACACGTGCCTTCATACTTTATTTTATACCAGAAAATAACATGTGCAGGTACGTGTATAGCAATTTTTTATCAAAATGTTATTTTCCAGCTGTACCTTAAAGTCAACTATCGGGCTTTGTATAAAAAACCTCCTACCTCATACCCACCTACCCACCTACATGGGACATGATACAGTCATTGAAGGGTTTGATTTTAAAGATTTTTAAATCTCAAAATAGCTCTAATTATTAACATTTCTACAATTCCGGCTTTATTTTATGACTAGACGGACCGCAGATCCATAAATAAAGGCATATGGGTGCATTGTAATGTGTAATGACCCAAGGGCTCACCAGGGGAATAACTAACTAACGACCGTGAGCATAGGTCCAACAAGCCAGATAAAGAAATGTGTGTGCTAAATTCGATTCCCCGAGTGGGAAGCGAACCCAGCTGGGCTGTAGTAGCAACTTGCTATCAAGGGTCATTACAAATGCATCTATAATTCATCATAAACTAAGATTTAATAAACTAAGATCTTCAAAATTGAACCCTTCCAAGACTGTATCATGTCCCACGTACGTGGGTAGGTGGGTATGAGGTAGGAGGTTTTTTATACAAAGCCCAACTATCATGCAATAATACATCAAACATTCTTTGAGCTCAGCTCGAAAGTATCGCAAAAGAATAGAGAGAACGAACACTGACTGACACAACAACATTTCAGTGTCAGTCAGTCTGTTGCACAAAAGATGTATGAACTGTGAAGTGATACTATACATGTCAGGGCTGTCAACTTGGGACCACCTATGAGTGACTTACAAATGTTGGACACCTAAGTCCAAATCTGAACACTTTTGTCCAAATTTTGAACACCTTTGGCCAACTTTTTAACACCTTGGGCCAAAGTTTGAGCACCTTTGCCAAACTTTGATCACCTCAAATTTTTCTTATTTTTACCGTATCGTAAACATATTTTGAAAAATTTTCTACAGAAATATTTTTGCTTGACAATTACAGAATGTACCAGGTAAAATGCGTATTTGCGTGACATTTTCTGTCACGCAAAAAAAACTGGCGTGACTTCAAATTCTTAAGCAAATGCGTGAAAAATATGCAAATTGCGGGACAGTTGACAGGCCTGACATGTAGGCCAGTTAGATCTAGCCTAGACTAGATCTAGTTCACCCTACATGTAGTTGTTTTTTCTTACCCATTTTGCACAGTGCTCCCTTCTTGGACCAAAAGTTCATGCACTGTTCCCATGTTTGAAGCACGAAGTCTCATCGTGCCTTTACCCCCGATCGGTGCATACACCGCTAGTGTAGTTCCCTGACCTACTTTGGCTCCCTTTTTCACCTTCCATGTCACCAATTTGGCTGAAACATCACCCGGCATGAAAACGGATGAAAGTTTAGCTTCCATTTTGAAACGTTACCGGAGTGAATATTAGTTATATTTGGGATTTAATTACAGATCTAAAATTCATTTCATGGGAAAATTATTGTTCACTATAGACATTAATTGTAATGAAGGTACTGACAAAGCGTTTCATATGCGTGAAAAATTCCAGATTTAGCCAAAATATCAATCTACGAATCGGGCATTAGAATTTATTTTCTCCGTATATAATTTCAACCGGAAGTATAAAATTTGAAAACAAAATTTTGAAAAATGGACTGATTTTTTACATTTAATTGAGTTAATAATGATTTTAGTGGTATTTCAAGGTAAGTTAAGAGATCAAGGATACAATATTTAATTCACTATGCTGGTTTTGGACTAAGAAATATGCCACTAAGATTCTAGAGTACAGTTGGGGACATAAATAAATGACAGGTGGATTTGCTGAATTGAGGATTTCCAATGTTAAAAATAAGAGAATTTACAAGAGGCCATAAATCAGTGGATGAGATTATACAAAATGTAAAATATACAAATTTTAAGGGATATGTATCTAGACAATATTGGAAATTATGGGCTTTCAGACCACCATAATTAGGAAATGGTGATCGAAAATCGACCTGTCATTTATTTTTGTCCCCAACTGTAAATCTATTAATTTTTTGTGACCGAAAGTTTGGTACATAAATAAATGACAGGTGGATTTGCTGAAGTGAGGATTTCCCATGTTAAAAATAAGAGAATTTACAAGAGGCCATAAATCAGTGGATGAGATTATACAAAATGTAAAATATACAAATTTTAAGGGATATGTATCTAGACAATATTGGAAATTATGGGCTTTCAGACCACCATAATTAGGAAATGGTGATCGAAAATCGACCTGTCATTTATTTTTGTTCCCAACTGTAGGCTAGGCCTAGATAAGATACTAAGATAGATAGACTAGATCTAAAGTGAGTCTACAAATTATCGCGCTCCTGTCACAACAGCAAATGGTCAATCCAAAAAATGATTTTTCTGAAAATGTTCAAAGATTCCTTCTAGAGCAAAGGGGTGTACTGTCAAAGTGTGGGGTAATGTCGACATAAGAGATTGGGTAACTTCTGCACTTACTTATTAAAGTAGAATTTCCGTTTTCCGCCATTTTTGATTTCTGGAAAAATTAAATCTCCCGAGATCTCGATCTATGCATGAAGAAAAACATGAAAAATAAACAACAACAAGGCGTCGAAATCATGCAGCCTAAACTCCGTTAATTTTAAAAAATAGTTACAAGTTGAGTCGGAAATGTAAGAGTTACCTCATGAATGGGACCCTTACATGCCTTCCAGGTGGTAGTAGATTAAAGAAAAGTGAATGTCCGGGCATTGACTCTTCCCTTACATGATTGTGTGCTGCTATGGTGACACGTCAACAAAATAAATTTTGTGACTCAAACGATACAATCATGTGGTAGGGCCAAGGTCACCATATGTGCAGAGATGTGAAAGATTTCTAAGACTACCTTCGTGCTAATTTATAGAAAGATTACTCGACTCATGCTCTATGTGGACAGAATTAAACTCACAGGGAGTTATTTATTCATGAGGTAACTCTTACATTTCAGACTCAACTTCTAAGTATTTTTAAAATTAACAGAGTGTATTTTTGATGTATTACAGAGTCTTAAGGCAGCGTGTATTTATTTAGCGTTGTAACTCGTGCCGATTTTTGGAATCAAGTACATGTAATTCAAATTATTTTGAGTCCAAAAGTGAATAAGATTTGCGATTTTCATACAAAAATAAACAAGAAAAAAGGGAAAAAATCTTACCATTGCATGTCCTACAGTCATTTTAGTACTGTTTTCAATGCTGTTCACTCCACAATGGACTAGGTACGTTAGGTATATCACAAGTTGTCCATATCTACCAATGTAAAGTAGATACTTACAATTAATAACGGCATATATAGGAAGTATATTATGAATATATACATAGATTCTAATTATTATTTTGAATCTTATAGAGTGAGGAGATTTTATTGGAATGACTGTACAATGCGTTTTTCAGTTTTCTTGACAGAAACATTTTTTGAAATCATAATTCTGTGGATGCGCTGAAATGTCTCAAAACTTGTCTCGGAAGTTGATTCATTCAATTTTTCAGATTTATTTTTATCAACTACCTCCTGAATTTTTACATCACCAATTATGTCTGCACGAGAAGCCCGCTTTGTAACCCCAGAGGCCCAAGTAATCACCAATAAAAGATTCAGCATTGGTGGAACATTACTGAAGACACCATGGACAAGAAGACATACACCATATGCTAAGACTCCAAAAAGTAGAAGGATAGCTGGTACGATTCTGTTTAGATTTTTTTATGTTTTTTTCTTTGTATAACATATTATTATTTGCATACAACTATACATATGCCAGTATTTCAGACAATATGAACCTATGGTAGATTTTATATCTTTTTTCCCATACTCACAATGTTATATAAGGCTAATGTGACAGCCATCTTGAAAGCTTAAATTCAAAAAGGAGATCCTAACTAGATTTCTTAATATTACATTTAAAAACTATTTAAACCCTGAAAATATTTAACAGCATTTTTAAATCAGTAGTCAGCGAGCTGGTGATGCTGTACCGATATGGGTTAACTACTACTTTCAGGTCCAGAGAAAAGTGCAGCTTTAGACGTCAGCCTGTCGTCAGCTGAAAGACGTGATGACCTTGCACAGGAAGAAGAAACTTTGTCAGGTAAGTGAAAAACTGAACAAATTAGTTGAACCTTTTTTCTCTTTCTTTATTTGACAGTCACTGATCAAGGATATGAACTGTTTTTATTATAATTTGGCACACAATATAGGCTCCATCAGGTAGTGTCTTGAGAACCATTCATTTTCAGGGATTGAAGGTAACATAGTAACTTTATCAATGTACAATAGTCCTATACACATTTGCAACAATATTTGTGTAATTTTAAAAAAAAAAGAAATAAAACAATTCCCAAAAATTTGATTTCATAAATTGTGATCATTTTTGGTATATTTATTGAATATATTTGTGTAATTTTTTTTAAAAAAGAAATAAAACAATTCCCCAAAATTTGATTTCATAAATTGTGATCATTTTTGGTGTTTATTGAATGCTCCTTGTATATTTCAGTTCATCATGGTATTATTTTTGTTTTTAACAGGACTAGTTAACAAGACATGGAGAGTCTACCAGATGACACCACTTTACAACTTCAAATATGGTAAACTGAAAGAATATTCAAGATCACTATCAAAATATTTACAAGCCGTAAGTTTATCCAACATTTAATATATTCATAGTTAGTTTCTTTATTTAATTTATATCTTGTGTACATGTAGAGTTCAACTACACAAATGAGTGTTAAAAATATGTTATTCATATGTTCTGCTCAAATTGTTCGTTGAATTGGTGTCTCTGATGTGCATTTTCTTACATACACGACTACTAATATATTGTCATCAAACTAGGTTGAGTCATCGGGTCAAACTTTTTGAAATATATAGATTTTCACCATCTGAAAGCATCAAGTTGAGTTTGACAGTGGTACTGTTCACATTTCAGATTTTTACATGGTAAATTAATGGGTGGCAGATTAAAAAAATTGGACTAAAAAGCATCTCCATTAAAAGGTGTTAAGATTAGAGAGGTGTTTGGATATAATATACATGTTTACTGTACAATAACGTAAAATTTGCTTATTTTCAGCAAATTCAAAAAGGTATAGAACTTGACCCGAATGCTGAAGTGTCAAGTGATGTAAAAATAACAGAAGTAAAAGGTCTGAACATGGCTGAGGAAGATAATGTTGCTTTGAAGGTCACAGTCAGGAGTAAACAGAAAGCAGGTTAATATTTTATACAGGCTGGGCCAATTTTATCACTTGTTTTCAATCAATTCTTCCCTATTCAGAAAAACCAAACTAGAAAAGTGTTGAGTGAGCAACTATTTATTGGTCCACTTTGTATATTGTAGGTTACTGGTGTTATATGAGGAAAGAGGAAGTGTATTTATTTTTAAAAAATTACATTTCTGAAGGAACCAAAGAAGTCCTGGTTACAAATTATATTTTGATGAATAAAAACGCATTTAAAAAATAATAACACCCTGAAAACTCTTAAGTTACTCAATGTGAATTTCTCATATTTGGGATTAAATTATTAGCTTAATTTAAAGGTTTCATGTCGCCACCAATAATCATTGACTGACATTTAGTGCTGGTTGATGTCTGTAACAATCGTTACACTCTTGTAACCATTACCAGGCTGTATCATGTCATGTCATGTTATGCCTTGTTTGTAGAATGTCCTGTTTATCTGTGATAACAATCTAGTACATTTCTAGTACATGCACCAGGGCTCTCACCAGAAAAAAATTAGGGTGTGGTGCTTGTTACTGCGAATACGCGATTCGAAGCGTGAGTAAAGCGAACGCGCGAGCGGAGCGAGCCTAAGCTATTAAAAATATTTTGTAACTATATTCACTTGCAAAAGTTCTTAATTTATCCATAATTTGTGTACAATATTAGAAATATACATTATACCTTCTTCTATTGAATCACTGCAAACTTTCTGATTCTGAATTATAACCTGCTGGATTGGCAGGCCATACATTTTGACTTCCTGTTTACTTGCTGAATTATAATCTGCTGGATTGGCAGGCCATACTTTTTGACTTCCTGTTTACCGGCAAGTATAATTCACTCGGTATTTCTCAAATACCACTGGCGGATTAGGGGGGGGGGGGCCCAGGGGCCCGGCCCCCCCCCCTTGGGTGGGCCCAGAAAAAAAAAATTGGGCCCAAAAACAAGGCCTTCAGGCCCCAAAAAGTGGGCCTTTTTGGTCATTACTGGGCCTTTTAAGGCCTTATTTGTTAATTTCAGGCCAAATTTTGAAGAAAATGGGCCTCAAAATTTCAAAATTTGGGCCCACTTTTGGATTTTAGGGGCCCAAAATTTTTTCCCCCGCAAGCGCGGACGTTTTTTCTCTGACCTGAAATTTGGGCCCCCCCCCTTGTTGGTTCCTGGATCCGCCCCTGAATACTGATGATTATCTGTCAATTTCACTTAAAATTTGTCTTCTCTAAGGTAGGTGGGTTCTTGTTCTTTTATTCTGATTACGTTTTGAGTAGAATTTACAATTAGTTTTATAGAAGAGATAGGTTGAATTTTTTTCAATTTTTTTTTGATCTTGGCCTTGGGCCGTGATCTGCCGTGGGAAAAGTGCGTCCAAGTGACTCTGAAGCTCCTTGCGCAATTATTTTGGCGCAGAAGCAGTACCTCACGTTCAATACAAATATGGCTGTCAGGTAAAAGAAATTTGTTCATAAATCGTGATTTAACACGATATTAGCATGAATTTTCAACAATTTAGGCTGTGGTTACTACAGTTTAGACTGTGGTTACTACCTTCTATTTTGGATAGGTTGTGGCGGCACTCAATTAGAGTGTGACGGGGCGCCACACTCTAAAAGCGTAGCGAGAGCCCTGTGCACATTGATGATAATCATTTTATTGTTATCAAGACATATTTCAAATAGTATTAGATGTATGGTACTCTATGCAAGAGAAAGATGTGCTTGTCATTTATATTCTCATAACTCAATTTTTTTGTTTTTAGCAAATGGTGAAAAGAAGGTATTGCTGACTATGTTATTATGCTGCACCGATGCCCTGAGAGAGTGCAAGCCAACATGTCCTGATTCATTCACCATTCTCCCCCTAATGCTGAGTAATGGGAATATGACTATGGGCAACCATATAAACAATTGGTTCAAGGTATGAATTCGTAATATGTGGATGAAGATATTTTTTCATTATATAAACAAATGTTTAGAGTATCATAAATGTGATTTGGTCATTAGAGAACTCAGAAAATCAGAAAGTTGTATAACACGTTTGACAAATTTTATTTGATAAATTTAAGATCTTTTTATTTATTCATAGTCTAGAATCTTTAGGTGAAAACGTTTCAAAAGTATATAGAAGCAATCTTAGGGTGAATTTCAAGATGTGATAACATCCTTTTGAAAACCTGAAGTGATACCAAGCAATCAATTGATTTTTTCACCAAAATCCAAGACGGTCAACACAAATGCATCCAAATATCACAAAATTGATGAATATCAACATTGAATCAGTCAAAATAATTGAATGCTGATCAAACATGACTTATGTTTTTACCTATCAGTAGGAATCTGATTCTGACAGGAAAAGTGAAATTTTTTCTGGCTCAGTTGATTTTTTCAGCATGTACAATTATCCTTGTATAGGAAAATAACATAGCAACATGGCAGCAATTATAAAAAAAAATCTGTAACAAAAAAGGCTGAACAATACTGTAATTCATTATTCATTGCTGGGATATTTCAAATCACCCACCCTTGTCTAATACAAAAATTTGCTTCTTGCATCTACTTTCAGACATCATTTGACTGTTCTGTCCAAAAGATGGTGTTCAACTCCATTGAGTTAGCATGGATGGTTTCTATGTGGGCCAGTTTAGTACCAGGTGAGGCTTGTCATGGTATATACACAGTATGGTCCATGTCATGAGGCAGTCTTGATATTGGCCCTTTAAACCAAAATGATAATGAACTAATCCATGGCAATTAATGAACCATTTTAAAAACCTCATTTTAACAAATAGGGATAAAATATTTGATCCTACCTTATTAGTTATAGTTTTATGGTATAAAGTTTGAGATTGACATGGTATCAAAATTATGTGACCTGTAATCTAATGAGGTTGTTATAGCAAAGTATGATATTTATTGTGTAATTTTTATTGTAGATTTGTACATAATTTATAAGCAAATGTATGGTCTCATATAGTTTCAAGACATTTTTATAGATTTTGACATATTTTTCAATTGTTGAACTACAACTGACGACAACTGAGTAAGCAACAATAAAGTCTTGAATGAGCAATTTAGTTGAATATCATATACCATAAGTGCAAGAATATTACTAAACTGCTTTTTAGCCAAAAGGTCTGTAATTAAAGTGTTCCATTTTTAGAACGCAGTGCCAAGAGTGTTGAGTTAACCTATAAGGTGCCAGATGAGGTGGAAGGCTTAGACAGAATTACATATACTATAGATCCACATGATTGCAAAGCAATATGGGAAAGGTAATCAACAATTTTGAAAATAACTTTCTCATAAAGATATCATCTTAGGCCTTTTTAAGTTAATTTGATAAAGATTGATTTTGCAGTTAGAATTTGCAAATGAAAATGTTAGTTTATAAGTCACAAATTACTAATTTGTTTACCAATAAGGTACAATCAATAAAAACTGAAACAATGAATTTAATTTAATACCTCTCATTTTATTTAAAAATATCAGTAAATTTAAATTTTGAGAAACTTGCCTATTTTCATGTTTGTACTTGTAGTGTTCATGATGAAAGCAAAGATATGGCAGAAGCAGATGAGGTGTCTGAGTTTGTGCTGTCTTTAGAGAAACACTTTGATGTTGTCTTTAAGACTCACCTCAGTGTAAGTAGCAAATATGTCATATAAACTAGATACCAAGATTGCAAGCAGATGAGGTGTCTGAGTTTGTGCTGTCTTTAGAGAAGCACTTTGATGTTGTCTTTAAGACTCACCTCAGTGTAAGTAGAAAATATATCATACAAATAATTGAAATTATGCTCTTAATTTCTTAGTTTGTGACAAGAAAAACTTTCCAAATTATCCTCCCTCCATATTCCAGCTTATCGATTTCAAAAATGTTAAAACAAATTATAGTAGAGCTATCTGAAATAAAAGTCATGAAATAAAAAATAAGAATGCTTTGTTTAGGTAGCTATCAGTATAAAAAAATCTTTGTATCTTTTCAAATCATTTCAATAGCTCAAACAAATAACCACTCATGTTTCTGACATGTTTGTGATAGAACAAATTAAGCAAATTTAAAGAGCTTTACCAAATTCATCGGGAGTAGTGCTCCAAATCAATTTCCGTAGAAAATATTGGGACTCCCCTTTACAAATTTTGGCTACTCACTGGTTCAATCAGGTTTGCGATAGAACATATAATACATTTCATCAGCACCTAGCCGCAGCCTATATTGTGTATTGTATGCAACATTTTTATTGCATTTCAGTCGCTGTTCTTAACCAGAGTTGGGACATCTGTAGCTTATGTATCAACTGAGGGAAAACTAAAGGTGAATATACTGAATATTACACGACTCACTAGAATGGGGATGAACGTCATGTCTTGTAAAATTATTTTGGAAATAACCTCTCTTGATTTCATTTTATAGTGTATATTTTATTTTAGTTCTATGATTTATTATTTATCTCCATATATAAATACAAATCAGACTTTAACATCCTTACATGTCTACCTTTGTATTGATGTGTATTTAGAAATATGCCTTAATATGAACAAAATGTTCTCTTTGGAAAAAAATTACATAACACTTGACTTGATTTGCTTTTCAGCTGTTTACAAAAAAACACATACACAAAGTTTTACGATATTTGACTGAACTAGCATTAGAAAAAATCCAAGCAGGAACAGGAACGTAGCAACAAAAAATGCCAGAAAGTATCCATTTTGGAAATAAAAATAGATATTCATGTGTTGTATATAATGTTATTGGAGCATTGGATTACTGCAACAATCATGTGATTATATTACAATGAGGAGATTATAGTGATTAAGCAGGATCATCTCTAGGATTATTTACTTCTGAGATAATTACAAATATAAAAACAGTGTTTGGCAAGTATTTATTATAGAAGCAATTAGCACCGGGCCTGGTATCCTAGATTGACAGAACCAGAACCCTGGAATGACAGCACTAGTACCCAGGATTGACATGACTGGTACCCTGGATCGGTAGAACCAGTGCCCTAGATTGAAAGGACTAGTACCTTGGACTGCCAGAATCAATACCCAGGATTGACACCACTGTTACACTGGATTGGTAGAACTTGTCTCAGGATTGACAGAACTGGTACCAAGGAATACAGATATATGAACTTGATGTAATTCAAAAATATGTGTACATGTATTGGTACAAAATGATTTTTTCTTAATTTTTATCAGTTTTTAGTGATTCTCGACACAATTGAGAAGATTTGTTGTAACTATTTTATGTTCTTAGGTAAAACTGTCGTCAGTTTTAATATGATGTTAAAAGTTTTATTTTAGTGATCAGAAAAACCATGAACATAAGAAATCCAGAAAAGGGTTGATTTTTGCCTTAGTTTTAAAGCTGAAAAAACAAGCACTTGTCAGAGTGTATACCTGACGAACATTATTCACAATGGTCTGTATTATACCAATTTATTTAGGAGCTTTCTCAGTTATATGAGTGTATGAAGTAACACACACATTAGAACCATCAAATTGTTACCAGATAGATTATATGAATTTTTATTTTTTAATTATAATTGGTTTTAAAGGTAAAATTCTATTTATGCAACCAAACACAATATTTTAGTTGCTTCAAATGGCATTATAGTATAAAATGTTTTATTTAACCAAATGTGTCTTTTGTGCACCAAGTACACATGGTCAAATACAGAGTTGCCATTTCCAGATTCAGTAGAGACTAATGTTTTACAACATGTTATTATTAAAACATTAGTGTGCCTTATTAGAGCATTTGAGAAAAATATGTCACAACTCAAGGTAAGCTTGCAGCTTATGAGTACTTATCTGCTTATTATACAATATTTTATCATTTATTTGCATCTTAATTAAATTGTTTTTTTGGAATCTTCAGTTTTTCAATCCATTCTATGGCACTATCAAATCAATGTGTCCATTTTAGGTTCAAAATACTTGGATACTCATTTAGAAGTAAGCTAATCTCATATTAAATATTTTAACAGATGTAGAGAAGGACTACATGTATTATGTACATGTGTTTATACTTCACTGTAAAAGTATATGATTGTTATTTGTAAATATTTTACTGTAACTATAAATATATTTATATAATTATGTTCAAAAATAAGTTTGTTTTTCCTAAAACTGAAATCAAGGAATTACTCTTGTATTGGCTGGTGAAAATGTTTGTGTTTATTTTCTAACCAATAGACTTATCTAATGTAAATTAATTTACAGTTTCAAGGTCATCTCAGCACCTCAACTCCTGTAAAACTCGACCTGTAAAAAACACTTTCATTTTTATATACAACCTTTAAGGCATTTTAAAGCTAGAATCCTGCAATTAACTGATTGTCTTGTGAATTTGATTAATACTAGTATTTCGCCTATTTGTTGGATCACACAAATCCCTCGAATGTCCGGCATTTTGGTCTACAAATTCCAAACATTCCTGCAACATATTGAAGTAATTTATTGTGATTGATCATCATGTTGATTAGGAACGAAGTTTTCTGCATTTTTCTTGAATTTATATCTAATTCTTCAATCAGAATAAACATGGCTAATAGACATAATAAAGGTTTACCCAGTTTGTTTCCACTTTGACAGAACAATGTTGCATTGCATTGTGTAGGACAGGGTTGTAGGCCTATTGCATTGTATAAAACAGGCTTGCAAATGCAAGCATGCAATGAAGTATAAATTAATCACCTAGAGACCCAATCTTGCTAGGGTGCAACATTCACCACAACGCCTATCGGACTAACAGTCTAAGATAACACTGACTAGTAAGATATACCTTTGAATTAACAAATTTTGGCGTGATGTTCAATTTTAAAAAAAACATGAGTCTTTGGATCAAACTTTTGTTCACAGAATTCATTATTGCAAAGATTATTTTGACAGTGGAATCTGAAATTGACGAGATTGGGTTATATAATACTGCACTACGGGTCTTACTATGGTTTAACTATTTAAGGACAAGATAAACTTTCTAATAGTAGGTATACAGAATTTGTGGCTAGCTATTATAAATTATAACAAACCAAGCACATGCTGTTGTCGGCTTCCAAAAAAATTATTTTTACAGATCCATTCGTTACATTTAATTTCTCAGTCCCTCGAGGTTAGATTCATTTCTGGTATAAAGTACATTTAAAAGGACAAGATAGAACTTCTAATGACAGGTTCAATCTTTTGTATGTCCGGTGTAAAAGAAATTATGGTCCCCTCGGGATTATGGTCCCCTTTCTTAAAGGCCCTTACTGGCCCTGATTGTGGATAGAATAATAAGGGAAAGAGTTGTATTTAGGTCACCATATAAATCAATGGAGAGTAGGACCATAATTTGATAGGACCTCCTACCCTTTTACACCGGCTTTAAAATATTTCGTCATCTATTATTGAAGGTCTATGCGTTACACTTGAATTTCCAGTTATTGAAAGTTGGATTCAATACATGTATGAAGAGATTAAAAGATTTAAAAGAAAACACTAAGCTTTCCAATGGTGTGGTGGATGTGTAGCTGACTTTCCAAATCATATAATACGAGGAAATGTATATAGTTTTGCCAGTTTGCAAAAATTTCGTCGATATATTACTGCAATACACTTAATTTCGTATTATCTAAAGTTGAATGCGATCACACGTAATTTTTCGGTCTTTGAAAGGAACTGAATTCAACAATGTTTTTCTCTTAAACCAATTACTGAAAACATCCTGTAAAAAACACGGTCCTTTATGTAATGTTGACCAATTTGCAACAATTTAATGCAAAAATTAATTTTATATAACTGTTTTTGTTAACATTTTTTGTTTTTAGTGCAATTGTTTTTTGTTCCTTTCTACCAATTCTTGAGAATGAAATAAGATGTCTTTCCGAACCTTGTCGGAACAAAATAGCATACACAACATTTTCTAAGACCTCTCAATATTATAGTTATACTAAGGAAATTTTGGTTGATTTTACAATAAGTATGCAAAAACCTAAAACAACCCCCCCCCCAAAAAAAAAGATAAAAATTAAGTTCAACCTTTTATTTCATTAACAAGATACTTTTTTAAAATCAACCAAACTTGTGTAAAATTTTCAGAATGTTTTGATGACTGGTTTAAGAGAAACGCGTGTTCAAAAAACGCTGAATGTGTGGCAAGCTATTTTAAATCATAGCCTAACGGAAAACTGTACGTAATATTTCTATTCTGTAAAAATATTTTGACAATTATTTAATAAAGTTGTATGCGATACATTTAATTTCTAAGTTTTTCATCACTCACTCATTGACAGGGCTCACTCACTCATTAAAAGGGCAGTTGGCTTAGTGTAAAACACTTAGTGTCATACACTAAGCCCCTTTTAATGAGTTTGAGTGATGAAAATGTAATGAGCATGCAATTTTTTTCTACATTGTGGTAGATTAAAGTGAGAAGTGTAACAAAAAAGTGTGGCGTTCCACGTAAGTGTTCAGCGTAGAGAGCACACACATACTGTAAAGTTCTGCATCAATAGCCAGTCACTATATTCTATGATAACATATATTATTCTGTGAAATAAATACTATATAGTAATGCAGGTGCTTTTCAGTTACCCAAACCTAGGATGAAGAAATAAAATGGTCGGTAACATGGATGAAAAGATTGAGGTAAAGCGTAACAATTTAGACTTGTCATGAAAATGATCAATCCCTGGGGGAACTGCGGAAACTCTTTGAGGAAAAGAAAGGGAATGCGAGAGTCTTGTTCGGTCGAATGATCAATTCCATGTAAACTCTTTGAGACGGGACGCGGGCGAAAGTAAACCTTAGAAAAGGGTGGGATGGCCTGCCAACCAAGGCATCGCCATCCGAGACGGGACCGATTATGCCGAGACGGGACCGATTATAAAGAGTACCCCATAGCATGGCGTTTTTTCAACAAGGTTGTTATTCGAACAGTGTACAATAGGATTACATTGACATGCATTGTATTTTATTGCCACTAAAAATAAACTTGCATTGAAAATTTTCGAGGGTTGACCTGTCAACCGTTCCGTAATTAGCGTGGTCCCCGTTTGATCAAAATTTGGCCTATTCGCGGGATAACACAAATTCCTTGAATGTCCCGCGAAATCCCGAAAAATTAAGATATAAAAATCTGTCCTTCGAGAAAATCTTTGGGTTTATGACAGCACACTGGAAGCTTACGGGAGACTTAAACACACTTGAAAGCCTAAAATGGCCTCGCTTCTCTCGGGTTCCTAAAAAGTACTTATATTACATGAATTAAGAAAGCAAAATATAGCCTAAAGGCTCTAAAGTCTACTGTCATTAACCATCGATATCAGTTTATTCATATATCTCATGATTGAAATTTTACTCCATTTTTGCAAGTGACTCATTGATCTCAAGGGCGGATCTGGAAATTAATAAATTAATAGGGGGGGGGGCAAATAATTTCTTGATCAAATCTTAAATTCCGAAAACATTGGGCCCTTTGAATAAAAAAATGGGCCCAAAATTTGAAAGTTGAGGCCCATTTTACTCAGAATAAGGCCCAATACAAAAAATAAAATGATTAGTTATGCCAGTATAGCCGTGCTGTATTTAGCATCTCAAATTATCAAACACAAGACACTGACATTACATCTGAACATGCAAAATGTCATCATCAATTTGTTACAGACGCCGAACGAAAAATCAAGCCTGTAAACTGAACTAATAAACAAAAGACACAAGTATTGCAATCAGTGTCCATTTGAAGTGTTTATTCTCTGCTGATAGAACTGTTTCTTTTACAGCATTTCTTGAAATGAAGACGTTGACGATCATTAACTGTGACTGCTGTCATAAATAAGATTATATTGTCTACTTATGTTTTGTCCATTGACCTCTCTACCAATTACAAGCATCCAGTACATTTCCCGAAAATTCAAGTATCCTGGGATGTCTCGCAGAAAATTCGTCAATGATCTGACGTACATCTATTTCAATGTCATGCACATCGGTAGTCTTGCTTAAAAGACCCTGTACTCCCCCCCCCCCTTTATCTCTCTCCCTAGATAGAAGGATAAATGGGGGGGGGGAGTACAGAT